GATCGGAGTTATTTAAATAGTAACAATTTCATAATTGTGGTAAAAACCACAAATGGCAATCCTAGCAAAATGAAATGATAAACACTCCATAGTCTACATGTATATATTATATTGTATTGTATTGCTTTCACTAGGGTAGAGCATTTGTACTGAAAGGAGCGTTTTCAGTACAAATATGTACTGAAAAATGTACTGAATTTTTAAGTATATTTTTCAGTATAAATATGTACATGTACTGAAAAATATACTTAAAATTTCAGTGCAAATTTCAGTATAAATATGTACTGAAAAATGTACTGAAATTTTAAGTTCATTTTTCAGTATATATTTATACTGAAAAATATACTGAATTTTAAGTGTGATTTTAAGTGCAAATATGTACTTAAAAATATACTGAAATTTAAGTGTGATTTTAAGTGCAAATATGTACTGAAAAATATACTGAAATTTAAGGGCATATTTAAGTGTAAATTTATACTGAAAAATATACTTAGATTTTGAATTACGACATCTTCCTGACTTTGACATCTATACCATGGATTTTGCTATACTCGAACAAATGAGGTTCTATGTTCATGTTATATATTTTAGTTTTGATATCAATTAATTAATTTGCTCAAGCAATATGAGTGAAAATCTCATGAAAAACTTATTTTTAAGACTGAAAAAATGTGTACCTTTAATGTTTTTGAATTTTAGAACTTAATAAGGGAGAATGTATCTAGAAACCTCAAAAGGTATGGAATACACATGTTATGTACGATCAGTTTTAAATAAAGGGTTTATCCCTCAGGAAATATGGGTATCCAAAACCTCCCAGTACATAACCCTTATATATGCATTACATTTGATAGGTTTGATCGGGCTAAAAAGAAATTTATTGATGGAGAAAATGCAATCAGATATTATTACAGGATGCGTCTTAAATAATTAAATCCAAAAACATAACTTATTAAAAGGAAAACACTTGATTACAGTAAACCTAGCCTCTCCAGTTTGATTAGAGTCTGCTTTAAAGGATGTGTCTAAAGAAACTTTATTAATCCATTAACAAAACAAAATATTTTGACAAGGCAAAACAAACCTGATTACTGAGAGACTCTTTTAAGTTTGGTTAAAGTCTACTGTAAAGGAAGCATCCGAAATAATTTCATAATGTTACAGCATTCCTGGGGGGGGGGGTTCAGGGGTCCAAGCGAACCCCCCCCCCCCCCCCCCGGCCAAAAATTCTTTTAAAATCATGCACTTTTTCACCATTCTAAGAACTTTTTGAGTGATTTAGAGTTAATAAAGTATGCCTTACATTTACGTTTTCTCTTATTTCCATTATTGGGCACAAATATTTCTCATTGCATATATTTATACTTAAAATTATCCTTAAATTTCAGTATATTTTTCAGTACATTTTTATACTGACTTTTGCACTTAAATTTCAGTACATTTTTCAGTATATATTTGTACTTAAATTTATCCTTAAATTTTCAGTGCATTTTTCAGTATATTTTTGCACTTAAATTTGTCCTTAAAATTCAGTACATTTTTCAGTACATATTTATACTTAAATTTGTACTTAAAATTCAGTATATTTTTCAGTACATCAATTTGTACTGAAAAATATACTGAAAAAAATTCAGTGCATTTTTCAGTACAAAAATATACTTAAATTTGTACTGAAACAAAACTAGTACATTTTTAAGTACATATTTGTACTGAAAACGCTCCTTTCAGTACAAATGCTCTGCCCTAGTGTTTATTACCTTCATTATGAAAATTTATTACATATTGACAAAACCCCCATAGACCCCAGAGAATTACATAGAACTGATCCCTTATTTTGTTATTTTATATTTGTAGTCCATGTATTATTTTTAAAGCGTGTTTATTTTTATGCAGAGTTTTAGCCTTCACAGTGATTGGTTTACTCAATCTAATTTTTTTAAATATTTATTTGTTATGGAATACCATTGTAGTTACTGTACTTCTACTTGATGTGGCGCTACTTTTTTTGGCGGATTTGCTGTTTTGAACATTTTGCGGCTACTTAATTTGGTGGACTTGTAATATTACAATGTAATAATGATACTCATTAATCTAAAATTACCAGGGAATTTGGCTGCTACTTAATTTGGCGGATTCGCCAAATTAAAATGGCTGCCAAATTAAGTAGAAGTACAGTAATTGGTAAATTGTTATGAAACTTTTGTGTTGTCTTTAACGGGCTCTGTGAAAGATATCAGTAATGAAATATGGCATTGTGATTGGCCGATAAAGATCAAAGAGTGTTTAAGGGTTCCCTCATTTCCAAAGGGTAATAGCAACTCTGAATCTGATAAATTGTAGAACGTTGAAATTGTTATATTTATTTGTCTGGCTCAATAAATTCCATCAAGCTCTAAGTGTTTTGGTATTTTCCACTCATTTTTTACCATTCTCCCTTCTTAACAATCTAATCTACTGACTATACAAAACATTTTTCTTCATTATCCCAGTGAACAAAGTGGAGAACTGTATAAAGCTTCTCCATCTCTCCAGAAAATAACTCACATACCACTGACCCTATACTGATTAGGATTTAAGCACCAGACTTAATCCTTTGTTTGTCTGTTTGTTTGATTGTTAGTTTGTTTGTTTGTTTGTTTGTAAAATATATCTCATATTGTCTATGGGTGCTCATTTAGTATCTATTTTACCATATTTTTGATAGAAACCATGAAATAGAAATGTTGTTATGATTTTAATGCAAATAAATACTTGTTAATGTATTATATGAAAATGACTCTTATATAGATCTTCCCTTGTAATACCCACACACTACATTACAAGAATATAAAATCACATGAATCATACATTTATAAAAAAAAGTATTCAGTGTTGAATTGAAGATTTGGGCAAGATTAACCCAATTCTCATTTGTATATATCCCGGTTATATCAATTAGGCCTGTGGTGGTTGCATGTGAAGTTCATGGTTGAAGCCTTTGAGATATTGAAAGCCTGGTCAGGAACTACTTTAACAACTCTTAAGATTATCAGGGCATTTATCGATTAGATGCCATCTCAAATGTTTCACATACTTCATTTCAGTATAGTAGGCAAGTGGCAAAAAGCTGTTTTGTTGTTTTGTTTGTCAATTAAATATTATTTTGGGAATAAAAAGTTGTTTCTTTATTCATTGAACCAGTATTTTAAGCTCACCACTTATGGTAATAAGTCCAAAAATGTTAGTAGGGGATCTAGAAATAACTCATGTGGAATTTAGTATGAAACTTTGAGTTGATCCCTTAACAAGCTTTCTGGGTCTTACTATAGTAATGCTAGGTAGGATTTTGAACGGGTTTTAACCTTAAAAAACGAGTCCCACAGATTTAATTTGGTCTTTTTATAATGCATACATGTACAGTATAGAAGAAAGGGTATATCCAGTTTATTGTTTATATATTGAATTACAGATACATGTACTTTTCGAATCAAAGTAATAGTCGTGCATTTGAATATCTTTATACATTTACTGTCATCATGGGGTCATTAACAGAAACTTCGTAAAGTAACAAATTCGTTAATCAATTGTTGTAACCATGACATCACAGTAAGAGAACAATGAACTTTACAAATTCTTAACTTTAAGAAGGTTATGTTAATGGGCCCTATGGTAACAACTATGAAAAATAAAATAGCTATCACAATCTTGTAGTAGATCTCCTCTTTCTCATATGCGCTACTGTATATTTTGTATGAAAAATGAGGAACCCAAATATTAATATAAACCATTTTGTAGAAATAATCTCCAAACAGGTCACATGCATAAGTTATATTGAAATTACTCGTTATTCTAATTTGGAAATAGCAATTTGTTTATTTAAGTCTTTTATAATATATTGATATGAGATTAATAATATTATTTCATAGAAGTGACATTAGAACTGACAATTTACCAAATTAAATGCAAATAGTAATAACATTTCTCTTACAATTATATTAATTACATTTATCATTTCAAATGGGATGAGTTGTCTTGGCATTAGTTCAGAGGTTTTTTTGAGATTTGAAGAGTTCTATTTGAATATATTAGCCACTGTTATGACAATGTTTGGAATTACCTCGCCTATTTTAAAATCTTAGCCATCATGTGTCATGGCAAACTGATAAAGGGAATGATCTTTAATTTTAGTTAAGTTTATGAAAAAGAAAGAAAACCTGTGCTAAGGGCTGATTGGAAAAAGTCAGTCCACCCCAGGGGTGATCGAACCCACGACCCCATTGAATTTGTCTTTATCTTTAAATTGTGAAGCAATGCTTTCTTGTTTAAAATAGTAGAACTAGTTTGTTATTGGCTCATTAGGGTGTGATATTATTCACTCTATGTCTAGTGACTACCACCAGAAGTGGTGACATATTGTCATAGTATCCAACCTTGGTTGGTGGTTGGTGATTGGTGTTCCATGGTTGTTTTTGTAACAAATGGCAGGTAGTGACATTTTGCATGTTAATACCTTGTTAGGGCATGCTATTCAATTGACTGACCTTATTAGTAATATAATCTGATATATTATTTTTGGAGTTCTTGTTCAATGATCTGTGTCAATTATTTACTAGCTGATGGCATGTCACTATGTAGTGGCATCAAGTCATAAAGCTAATGGAATATAATATAAGCATCAGTAGGTTGAAAGAGAACAATTATATTCATCAATTATTTACAGGCTGATGGCATTGCACTTTGATATAGTTACCATCTTTGAAATGCAAAAGAATTTGATCAAATAGATTTTGGAAAAAATGTGAAGTTTTCTTAAAACTTAAGACTCGTGAAAGGGGTATCGTTTCAAAGATGTAGGTGTAGTTACTACTTTAAATTGAATATGCTGTATTTTTGGCGCATTATGAGGGTGTTGCATTAAAATATTGTACATAATGTAATAGTAATAACATAATAGTGTCTTCCAGAAAATCCAACTTTTTGAGAGATAAACAAACATTACATTTTAACTATTGTATTTCCAGGTGAAGGATATGGTATACTTCATAGTTATCCTCTTAGTTGTACTGATGAGCTTTGGAGTGTCTCGCCAGGCAATATTGTTTCCTAATAAGGAACCCTCATGGCGGCTGGCCCGTGATGTTTTCCTCGAGCCCTATTTCATGTTGTATGGAGAAGTCTATGCTGGTTCTATAGACCGTAAGTAACTCTGCATATTTTCAATGATCTTTTGGAAAATCTTTTGATTGTCCTAGTTTATCAAGTGTATTGATACCATCCTCCAATCATAGGGCTTCAAAATCCAGAACATCTTCTTTCTTTTTACCCCCTGTGATAAGCAGTTAGCATTTCCCCGATTAAGAACTCACAATTTGATTCGCAACATTGCCACAGCAATCATGTATATGTCATCGGCGCATAATTAGATCACGTTATAGCAGGGGGAATGAAGGAGGTACGGATTATGGACACCTGCTTAGGAGGATGATTGATACAAACTCAGTCTTTCAATTGACACCAAAAAGAACTCAAGCACCTGCTAAATTGAAAATACCTTGATGAAAAATGTGCTTAGTATTGTATTTATTTTAATTAATTTTACATTGCATTAATTTATTATGTGAGTAGCATGTTTATACAATTTGTTGTTCCTTTTTCTGTAATATGCATAGTTCCTATTTAAGAGCCAGGGTTTAGGATGTTCCCTAAATGTTCATTCATAACTGATAAACATTTGCGGCTAAATTGTTACATCTTATATCCCAAATGAGTAATTATCCCATCGAACGAAGTTCGGAGGGATATAGGGAACGCCTCCGTCCGTCCGTCCGTCCGTACGTACGTCCGTCCGTCCGTCCGTCCGTACGTCCGTCCGTCCGTCCGTCCGTCCGTACGAACGTCCGTACGTACGTCCGTCCGTCCGTCCGTCCGGGCAATAACTCAAATACCGTTGGCCCGATTTTGTTCATATTTTGTACACATATACCCTATGGGGGTAGAAGTTCTGCTTGAAAGCCGATTTTCAAAATGGCTGCTCATTTCAAAATGGCGGCCATTTTAGTGCCGATTTTACAGTAATTTAGGTGCAATATGTAAAACTGTAATAGCAATATGTTTTAAATGTAAAAAAATTATAAAGGACATTAATAATGCTACAAATGTAGATATTAAAGAAGCACATGGCAGCCATCTTGAAAAATGGCGGCCTTTTCTCGTCATTTTACGATTTTTGCTGTAACTCAAAAAATAGTGGAGCGATTTTGTTCATATTTGGTATGTGAATACTATAAGCATTGCACACTGTCTAAAGACACCTTTGGTAGAAGGCGGCCATTTTGAAAAATGGCCGCCATTTTAACATATTTTACTATTACTCAAAAAGTAGTGGAGCGATTTTGTTCATATTTGGTATGTGAATACTATAAGCATGGCACACTGTCCTATGACACTTTTGGTAGAAGGCAGCCATTTTGAAAAATGGCCGCCATTTTAACATATTTTACTATAATTTGAAAAGTAGTAGAGCGATTTTGTTCATATTTGGTATGTGAATACTATAAGCTTGGCACACTGTCCTATGACACTTTTGGTATGAGGCGGCCATTTTGAAAACAATTTTTGAAAAATGGCCGCCATTTTAACGTATTTCACTATAACTCGAAAAGTAGTGTAGCTATTTTGTTCATATTTGGTATGTGAATACTATAAGCGTGGCACATGCCAGCCATTTCTGTTCGATGGGATTCGCTACGCTTTGGCGTTGCCGTTGTTCTGGTTGTAATTGTAGATCTGATTGAATTATTGTACCATGAGGTGTAACTTGTTCTGGATATACATGGCTCATTCTACTTAAGACTTGGCTCATTCATGATCCAGTACTCCCATGGTTGCCTATGAATCAACTCTATGATAGTGGTGTGCATTTTATGAACAAGTTTGTTGTATCATTTTCTTAATGAATTAAAAAGATGATATTTCAATATTGTATTTCATTCTTCAAAAGATTAAGTTATGCATATACTTGTATGTGTAATGTCCTCTTGAAATAACAATTTGATTTGAATTCTTCTTCTTTATCCAATTTACATGCTTGTGTACTAAACACGATGGCACTTTAATGCTGCCTTAGGTCACTGGATACACTGGTTTCACTATGTACTAAATTATCATTTGCACTTTTCACTAATACATTTACTTGTTTTGATTAACTTACTGAGAGAGCGCATTTTTAACATCTTTTTTGATATCGGGATTTGAAAGTTCAATGAGCATTGTTGAAAGATGTCCTCTTTAAATAGCATAGTGTCAGTTATTCCACAATGAACCTTTTTTGTATGTCATGAGTAGCAATACATTTATATGTATTTTATTGAATGGGGAATATGTATGCATGGGCGTAGCGCCCATGGTTGCAAATACACTCCAAATACAACCAAACTTATATGCATGTCAACTGATGCAATGTATGTTAGTCATCAGGTGCAATACACAAGATATTATTGTTCTAAAATAACAATTGTGTTTTCAAATAGAAATTAAAAGATGCCATTACCACATTAAACCCTTCCAAGTTATAGTGAAACAAAAAAACTAATTTTTTTTCAAATGTGTGGTATTGCAAAGATTTCTTCATCCTAACTGTGAAGACTTTTCAAATCGTTGCTCAAATATACTAAAGCACGGAGCCATCTTTTGTCAATGAATAACTACATCAATAAACAAGACACGAGAATACCTTCCTAAGTTCCATAGATAACGGTATTTTTCAATTGAAGGTGACATCTATTATAATAACATTTGCTAAAGCATGGAGCCATCTTTTTCCAATGAATAACTACTTCAAGAATTTCGAACAAAATATAAACTAGCTGGCAATATGCATGCCATCTTTTCTTACTTTCATACAGTTTTATCAGAGTTCGTATTTTTGAGTACATATGGACGGATCATTCTGTTGTGAAGAATGGGGGACCAACTTTTCACAAAACTAGATATCTCTAAATAAATATATTGAAGCTTAAGGGTTATGTAGGTTAACATTAATGGTGTCAAGTCAAGGTCATGTTGAGCTAAAGTTAACTTGTTTTAGCTGTAATAAGTTAAAACATTTGAAAACTGCTGGAATAGCAATGGATTTTGAATGACAAAGGTCAGGTAATTTTCCTCAGCTAAAATAATGATTTGTTATTTGGAAAAAAATTGATTTTGAAATGGTTGATTATTCTGAAATTGAAACAGGAAACATTATGAAAAAGGTTTAACTACATGTATTCTACCATTAACATTCTAGGAACCCTTAATATATATGGTCCAGGCCTACTGTAATTGTTTATGTTACAGCTGAATGTGGTCAAGGAACAGCACATGGGCCATGTATACCAGGGGCATGGTAAACACCCGCATTGATGGCAATATTCCTCCTAGTGGCCAATATACTTCATATCAACCTTATATATTGTTTATATTACAGCTGAATGTGGTGAGGGAACAGCACATGGGCCATGTATACCAGGGGCATGGTTAACTCCCGCATTGATGGCAATATTCCTCCTAGTGGCCAATATACTCCTTATTAACCTTCTCATTGCAGTATTCAAGTAAGTTTATTACACAACAATAGACTACGTAGATGCGAGTAGAACTTATCTTGTTTTGATTTACGTCATTCAGTTAAAGTGATATCATATTTGAAATCTACATGCAAAAGTACATCTCACATATGGTTTCGAGAATCAACTTTAAAATTTAATTTTTTTTGAAAATGTGACTTCTAGTTCTGTGAGATTCCCCATAGACCCCATGTTATTAAAGGGTTATTAAGGGTGATAATATTAATAGAAATATTAAAGGGAACTTTCTACTTTACCCGCCATGCTATCTGACCCGAAAGAGCCACCTGGTGTCCAATATCTGCTTGAATAATATGTATACTTGTGTTGATTGTTTAAAATAGGTAATATAAGATAGGTAAAACAGGTAGGGTAAAGAATATGTCAAAGTCATTTGATCTCATCGTAGAAGCAATATCTTGTCATTTCTGTCGCCCAGAATTCCTTTGAACTATAGTTTTCTGTAACTTGTTTTATTGCTGTAATTTAATAAAGGAAGTGTATACTCCAGGTTTCATTTAAATATTTTTTCTAGCTTTGTTAATAAAATCTTGAATGTTAAAATGCAACTTGACCTTGAATTGTGTGTAACTTCAGCTTCTATCATAATTTATATGATAAAATACTTTTTTGAATTTCTATTTTGATATGCTAGATGTACTATATACTGTATTATCTCCATTTTATAGATTCACTCTTAAGCAATATATGTTGCTACATAGGAATTTTAATTATGCAATCATTTGTTTCTTAAATCCACTCCCCTGGTCCCCTGGAAATAATAGTGAAAACAACTGAAGTCTTTACTGGAATATATACTAATCATGATTTTATTCCATTCCAATCATCATTTATGACACTTTTTTTGAAAATGATAATTTTATGACAAAATATTTGATCCTTAGTTATGTACACCAGTATTAGTTGATTCTAATATTAATAAAAAATGCTTTTTTATTATTTTGTATTTTGATGTGCAATATAATTTCTTCTTGTTTTTTTGACATCACACACATAAACCACACATCGTATTAGAATAGTTAATGTGGAAATGTATTACTCAATTTCCTCTCAGTTTTTGAAGAATCAGTTCATTGTGTGAGTTTGTTCTATAAACATGCACTAACACAGACACCTACATTGCATACTTAACACACCAGATATACCCATTGATATCTCCCACCAATAACTGGCCCTCTTTGTCCACGGCTACAGCTTGTGGGCGATAAAGTCCATCTGAAGCTTGCAGGAGGTATTTTATGAACTTGCCATCTGGACTTAGCAAGTGCACCCTGTTGTTGCCAAAGTCAGCCACTATGATATTGTCTGCTCTATCTGTACATAGACCCCAGGGACAGGTCAGCTGGTTCTGTCCGCAACCTCCAGTGCCATACCTGAACAGCTCATTGCCATCTCTGGTCATGCCCACCACACAATGTGCACCATAATCATTCACAAGCACAACATCTTTACTATTGACAGCTACATAGAGTGGGCAGTTTAAGGTACCTGGATTTGACTTGGTCAGGATTTTGCTAGTAGCACTATCCACATGGTATACATTCTTTGTGCTAGTGTCACATATAACAAGTTCACCCCTTGAGTTAACAGCAAGACCCCTCCATTCTCCCAGGGAGGGTATCCTTATATCTCTACTGTGAGTACCATCTTTGTTGTATGCATAGACTGTATCAGTTGCACTGGTGAGGTAGATATCATTACTTTTACAAGTGGCATTGTAAAATCCCTTACCAAATCTAGTCTTTAAAGTAAAATCCTTGTCATAGACACTTGCTGATGTTCTATAACCATTAACTACAGTTTCATTATTGTCAGTTACAGATATATCAGCTATATCCGAAAAATTTGTCTTCACTTTCTTTAACACTGTTGGCTTTTCACATAATCTTAGTGTCTCTGATATATATCTCAGGATGTCAATGTCCACCTTTCCAAACACTATTCTGTCATCAAACACTTCACCTCTGTGTATTTTGAATGTAATGGCATTGTAAAATTCACAGTCCTTGGGTCCAGACCATTTTTTTGATTTAGAACTTATGTCATGAGCCATGTTAGTCAGTTGGGTATCATGTCCATGCTGTTTCAATGCACGTAGCTGGCTCATTGTGCTCTCAGTGGTGGCCTTTTGCATATGGAGATGTCCTAGATGAGATACAGCTTGCTTGGCACGTGTGGCTCTTTTCTCACCTACTAAGTCAATATGCTTCGTGTATTTATTACGGATTGCTTGGATAACCATATTCATATCATTATTCAGTTCATGTGTCACATCATCAGCCTCTTGTTCCATTATATCCTTCTTTGTATGAGTGTTCTGTATTGATTCTTCAAAGTTCTGATAAAATATTTGATCCCTAAGTTATGTTCACCAGTATCAGTTGATTGCTTTTTATTATTTTGTATTTTGATATGTAATATAATTTGTTCTTGTTTTTTGACATCACACACATAAACCACACACCATATTGGAATAGTTAATGTGGAAATGTATTACTCAATTTTTCAGTTTTTGAAGAATCAGTTCATCTTGTGAGTTTGTTCTATAAACATGCACTAAGACATACACCTACACTGCATATTTAATATGCCAGATATACCCCTTGTTATCTCCCACCAATAACTGTCCCTCTTTGTCCACGGCTACAGCATATGGGCGCTCAAGTCCATCTGAAGCTTGCAGGAGGTATTTTATGAACTTGCCATCTGGACTTAGCAAGTGCACCCTGTGGTTCCTAGAGTCAGCCACTATGATATTGTTAGCTCTATCTGTACACAGACCCCAGGGATGGTACAGCTGGTTCTGTCCATTACCAAGAGTGCCATACCTGAACAGCTCATTGCCATCTCTGGTCATGCCCACCACACAATGTCCATCAATATCAGACACAAGCACAACATCTTTACTATTGACAGCTACATAGAGTGGGCGGTTTAAGGTACCTAAATTTGACTTGGTCAGGATTTTGCTAGTAGCACTTTCCACATGGTATACATTCTTTGTGCAAGTGTCACATATAACAAGTTCACCCCTTGAGTTAACAACAAGACCCCTACATTTTCCCAGGGAGGGTATCCTTATATCTCTACTGTGTGTACCATCTTTGCTGTATACATGGACTGTATCAGTTTCACTGGTGAGGTAGATATCATTACTTTTACAAGTGGCATTGTAAAATCCCTTACCAAATGTAGTTTTTAAAGTAAGATCCTTGTCATAGACACTAGCTGATTTTCCACTACCATTAGCTACAGTTTCATTATTGTCAGTTACATCTAAATCCCAAACATTCCCAACATTTGACTTCACTTTCTTTAACACTGTTGGCTTTTCACATAATCTTAGTGTCTCTGATATATATCTCAGGATGTCAATGTCCACCTTTCCAAACACTATTCTGTCATCAAACACTTCACCTCTGTGTATTTTGAATTTAATGTAATTGTCAAGCTCATAGTCCTTGAGTTCAGACCATTCTTTTGATTTAGAACTAATGTCATTGGCCATGTTAGCCAGTTGGGTATCATGTCCATGTTGTTTCAATGCACGTAGCTGGCTCATTGTGCTCTCAGTGGTGGCCTTTTGCATATGGAGATGCCCTAGATGAGCTACAGCTTGCTTGGCACATGTGGCTTTTTTCTCAGCTACCAAATCAATATGCTTTGTGTATTTATCACGGATTGCTTGGATAGCTGTGTTCATATCATTATTCAGTTCATGTGTCACATCATCAGCCTCTTGTTCCATTATATCCTTCTTTTTATGAGTGTTCTGTATTGATTCTTCAAAGTTCTGTACCAACTTATCACCTTTCTCAAGGAGCTCATCAATAAGCTCCATATTGTTAACCGCAGCCTTATGAACATCGACACATTCGTGGCCTGAGTGGTCAATCACATAACAAGTAGCACATACAGCACATTGGTCCACTTTACAGTATATCTCAAGTGGATTTGTTTTATGCATTTCACAATAAACTACACGCTGTTTGACAACATTCAGTACACTCGTCCTATCTTGAGTCTTATCACCAGTAAGGTCAAGCACTGTGTGACCTTTATTATATCGAGTATGAGATCGATCACAGTCCTTACATAACTGCTCGTTACACTGTACACACTTTGTTAGAGCATCATTGTCTATTCCATCTTCCTTACACACTGTACAATTGGGATTGTCTCCAATAATATCCATTGATTGAATTAGGTCCACTAATGAGCTAGTGGTGAAGTTGACCTTAAATTTAGCCACTCCTCCTTCTGGTATTGTATGAATTTGCCTACATTCTGGACAGCTTAGACTTTGTTTCTGTCCTTGATCGATCTTCTCCAACTTATCCAGGCATTTGCAACAATAGGTATGCATACATGGTAGGGCCCTAGGGTCTGTTAGTGTCTCGTAACACACCTTACATTTCAATGTCTCTTTGACGTGTTCCTCCATTGCCGTCGCCATTTTAACCTTCAGTATCACTATAGAGGCATTCAAGTACTCAGTTGACCTAGTCAGTATTTAACAAACACAAAGCAAACTCATATATTTTAACACACAAGTTCCTTATGCTGATTCGGTTAATGATTAACACTTAATGCAGATATCCTCACTTGTTTCTCTTTGATTGATTAATGTCATATTGCAATGAGTTAATGTGTGTGAACTTTATGATCAATGTATACGAACTGCATTCTTTATTTGAACGATCAATGCTTTTAACGATCAATGCAATGGGCTATTCAAAGCACTAGAATATGACATACAATACACTAAAGTTTCCCAGTTTCTATTTGCTATGTGTGTATGAATCAGTAGGTGTTAGTGACCTTGGATGTCTATGTTAAATCTTTTATATAAAACACAGCATTATAAGATCATATTTATTTTGAGACTCTTAAAAGATGAATAAAAACAATTCATTTATTTGGCGGAGGACATTATTAAATTTTTGTATTGTTTAATGTTGAGTAGAAAGCAAAATCAAATAAATAGAAAATAAACAATTTGAAATTTATTGTAAGGGTGTTTAGGTAAAAAATGCATATGAGTCAAATGAACTTTCTTTTTTATTTAATAGATCTAGAAATCATTCTTGGTTTGAAAAATCAAAAACAACACAAGCAGTAATTGGAGAGCTGGGCAGTTTTCCTCTTAGCTTACAATTTAACCCCCCTCCCCCCTGGTATTGGATAACCCTTACAAATGTGCCTGATCGGGGTATCAAATTTTCTGGGAGGATGTATACTCCCTTCCATAAGTTTAAAATCAGATTTATAATTATCCCACCGAACGAAGTTCGAGAGGGATATAGGAAAGCCGTCCGTCTGTCCATCCGTCCGTCCATTCGTCTGTCCGTCCGTCTGTTTGTCCGGGCGATAACTCAAATACCGTTTCACGGATTTGATTCAAATTTTATAGGCTTATGCCTTATGGGTGTAGGACCTCTGCTTGAGAAGGAATTTTCAATATGGCCACTGAATTCAAAATGGCCGCCATTTTTCGTAAAAAATGTAATCTTTAATAACTCAAATACTAGTTTGCGGATTTCGTTCAAATTTTATATGCTGATGCCTAGGGACAAAGGAGTTTCGCAGAAAAAGAAATTTTCAAGATGGCCGCTTAATTTCAAAATGGCGGCCATTTTTCGTAAAAATATGTAATCTTTGATAACTCAAATACCAGTGAACGGATTTGGTTCAAATTTTATATGATGATGCTTAGGGACACAGTAGCTATGTTCGACAAAACATTTTCAAGATGGCCACTTAATTTTAAAATGGCAGCAATTTTTCGTAAAAAAACGTAATCTTTGATAACTCAAATACCAGTTAACAGATTTGGTTGAAATTTTATATGATTATGCTTAGGGACACAGTAGCTCTGTTCAAGAAATAATTTTCAAGATGGCGGCTGAATTTCAAGATGGCGGCCCATATTCGTAAAAAACGTAATCTTTGATAACTCATATACCAGTCAATGGATTTGGTTCAAATTTTATATGCTGATGCCTAGGGACAAAGGAGTTTCGCACAAAAAGAGATTTTCAAGATGGCCGCTTTATTTAAAAATGGCGGTCATTTTTCGTAGAAATATGTAATCTTTGATAACTCAAATACCAGTGAACGGATTTGGTTCTAATTTTATATGATGATGCTTAGGGACACAGTAGCTATGTTCGACAAAACATTTTCAAGATGGCCGTTAATTTCAAAATGGCGGCAGTTTTTCTTAAAAAACGTAATCTTTGATAACTCAAATACCAGTGAACAGATTTGGTTGAAATTTTATATGATTATGCCTAGGGACACAGTAGCTCTGTTCAAGAAATAATTTTCAAGATGGCGGCTGAATTTCAAGATGGCGGCCCATATTCGTAAAAAACGTAATCTTTGATAACTCATTTACCAGTGAACGGATTTGGTTCAAATTTTATATGATGATGCCTAGTTCACAATGGTATAAACTAACTTTGTGCAAAATTTCATGCTTCTACCACAAAGTGCACAAACATTTCAACATTTACACTAGCTATAATAAGCATAATATGTTCTGTTCGGTGGGATTTGCTACTCCGTGGAGTTGCTGTTTTTCTAGTTAGACTTGGCTTGTTTTTGTGGGGTAAAAATGCAAATAGAGCAAAACCCTAACCACACGTCAAACCCGAACATGAAACATTGTGTAAATTTTGTGGAGTAATAGACAATAAGAAAATACTGTTTTAAAACATCACTAACAAAATTAAAATTGATAAGGATCATCCTGAAAATGTCAAGTGGTGAATTTCAATGATAAGGCATTCAAAATGTGAACTAATCTGAGCTTTATCCATTATGTATTGTATGATTGCATGAATGTAAATAACATGTCACCATATACAAGACTAGATATTGGGACACCACCTTCATTAAAATCAATAAACCATGATTGTCCCTTTATTTCCAGTAATACATTTAATCGAGTCAACTCCATGTCAACTCAGGTTTGGAAGTTCCAACGATATAGTCTGGTGATAGAATATGAATTGAAGCCTGTCCTCCCTCCCCCACTCATCATCTTCAGCCACCTTCTCTTGTGTATCAAGTACATCATGCGCAAGTGTAAGGGCAAGAATGAAGGCTTTGACAATGGACTTAGTAAGTTTATGTTATTTTGCTTGTTTCTTTTTCATTTAGTAATTTATTGTGATAAAAATATATCCATAAAAACTATATAATTTTTTTGGGCCAGTCAACAAAATTTTCAAAGGATCCTCAATTTTATGAAAATAGGCTTTATGGACCTTGTTCATGATCCACCTAAGATACTCTCCATTAATAAAGCTGTGTAAAGTTAAAATTACCATGAAGCATGAATATTGTTATTTGGCAATTCTTATACTTGAGCCCCCCCCCCTCCCTCCCCTCTTGGGGTTCCCACTGCCCTCATTGTACAAACTGGTACAGTATACAATATTGTGAATATTCTCCAGAGTTGTTTCTGGACAGCGAAGACATTGAGAAGGTGCAGGACTTTGAAGAGGAGTGTATGGAAGATCTGTCAAGAGAGAAGGAGAGTAAGATGATGTCCAGCACTGAAGAGAGAATAAGACAAACAAACGAGAGGTAAAACATGGTAAAACAAGGCAAAACATGTCTATATGTGATACATTTGGAGAAAGATAAAAAGGGATCAATTGATGAATATGCGTTTTATGTTAGCAGCAACACAAGTGGAGACATATTGTTGCAGTACTCCAACTTTTTTTGGCGGTGGTTGGTATTCAGAGTCAAGTGTCTAAGATGGCATCTGTAACAAATGGCAGGTGGTGACATTTTGCATGTCAATGCTTTGTTTATATTTTATAATCATTCTATCAGCATTTATGTCAGAAATGAGATTTTGAATTGCACATTTGAATTTCAAAGTTCATCTCTCCTATACAAAGGACCAAGTTTGGTTCCCACATGTCACCCCTGTATTGCAAGTTGTAACCCCCAGTTTGACTTTCAGGGTTGAGAACATGTCCATGAGGATGGATGACATAGTGCAGAAGGAGAACCAGATCAAGCTGTCATTACAGACTGTGGACTTTAGGCTGGCAAAGATGGAAGAGTACGCACTGCAGACTGTGGATCACTTGCAGGTATATTATATTCACTGCCGAACCTGGATAGAGTCTCCCTATACCTTATCAGGGACTTGCTTTCAAAAGAGAAAATGTACATTTGCTTGAAAAATGGGCCTCAATTTTGGTCCTAGTTTCAAGATATGGCCAATTTGTCAATTTCCTGATCCCTCTCCAGAGATTGATTTGACTTTCGCTTACTAGTTCACATTATTGATATCCTGAACTTTATTTTATAAAACTAAAGTGAAGTAAGTATAAGAGGTGGAGATGCCCCAGATTCTAGAGATAAACCAATCTTTATGTAAAGATGAATTTTATAAATTCTTGAATTTGAATTATTTTATCTTTTGTTTCCAGTCCTTACATCAGAGGATGGCCTCTCAACCTCTCAGTATAGATACCAGTCAAGACCAACCTACTGACCCTGACAGTGCTACAGACATTGACCTCAGTGCCAGTGGTAACCAACTCATTATCCCAGCACCCCTTATTCAGCCTCAACCCTCTCCCTTGCTGGTACACTCAAAGAAATCAGTCAACGAGAGTCGTTTGAAACCATTTACTGATTACAGAAAGCGTAAGAAAAATGTAGTGGGAGGGCAGTATCGTCGGAGTAGTAGTTCTGGTAGGGGTTCTTCCTACACACGCCATCTATCTGAGCCAGATTATGTGACCCTTGATAGAAGATGTGAGTACCTTGGTAGGGAGGTTAGGAGTAATAGTGATGCGCTTATCAACCAAGCTATTAACCCACTCAGTAATCTCTACCAGAGACGTAGAGCGAAGATGGCACGATCAAAGACAGAACATCGAGAGGATTTAATGGAAGATCACAATGAGGCTCAATATGAAAGTATAGATGGTGTTAGTAGTACCCCAAGTGGTTGCCTAGGAAGACGTCGCCTCAAGGTTACATTCAGTGAGGATAGATTGGATGAACCAGACAATGAGGGTGTCATCAAAACTCCAGAAGATTGGGTCTCTAGTGAGGAGGGAACCCCATTGACACCTCGTTGCAGTGATGACAGTATGGTTCTGCCGGGAAGGGCATTGTATACTACAGTGCCATTAGACACTCATACGCACACTTGTTCCAGTACATCTATACCCGAGACAACCCCTGTTAAACCCAATTCTACTACTCCTGAACATTCAACAAGCGATACCAAAACCTCTGATCATATCACGCATGATCCCCAAACCACTGATCATAATACAGATGATCCCCAAACCACCGGCCATTATTCAGATGGTCTGTCTTCTCCAGCTTACACGTCGCAAGATCAGAATGCTAGAGGGGATAGTGCATTACACCAAAAAGACAGTGGAAAAGACAATGATATTCCAGGACCAAACTCTAGTCCTGGTAACTACCCAGTGCCAACTTTTAGCCGATTCAACCCTGGGGTTCCATTTGATGCTACAGTTCTATACACTGGCCCCAGTGTCCTTGCCCCAGCTGTAGCCCCTATCGTGACCCCCAATAGAGCAGATTATACAAGCATCACTGATGAGATTGACACGTCATGTTTATTTGAAGAAACCCCCAGTAATAGCCCCACCACACCTGCTGCTTTTCTCATGTCAGATGTCCCCCAAGATATTGCGTCATATACACGAAGCGAGAGCCCACAAAAGGATGCACTCCAGAAAGAGGCTTCAGCGTTGAAGCGAGCAGAAGAGCAAGATTACGCTGAGTATCTTGGCCCGATGATCCGACATCGAATGCGCCAGATCTCCCTAACGGAGAGTGATAGTATGAGCAACATCGCCAAAGCTATTTTTGCAGAGATGGAAAATCAGGGTGAAAATAGAGGAACAATCATAGGTGGACCTGATGACAATCTTCAAACATATAACAGTTTTGATGATGAACCGATCACAATGAGACCGCGGGAATATATAAATGATCAGTCCTCTTCCCCAGAACAAAATGGCAAATCCTCAGCTGAAAATGAAGCATAATGTTGAAGAATTTTATCTAAGTTTACATTGTTTCTTATGCCATAACATACTTGAAGATATAGTTCTAAATGAGCTGATATTTTTTGTAGAAGTTCATTTAAATAGAAAATTTTTGTATGAAATGAGTTTGGGATTTGATATTTATTCAATAATCTCCTAATAAATATAAGTATTTATTTTCTTAAGGCTGTAAATTTGGATTGACTGATAGTAAATAATTTTTATTGGCTAATGAGGATTGTCTAAACTGTATATTTTTCAAGGCCAATAGCATATTGAAATGTATAGGTTGATCCAGAAGTAATTTCAAAGATGCTAAAATTTCCAAGTTAATAATGTAGTATATGGATCCCTTCTGAAACAGGTTCGGTAAATTTTAAATAAGATTACTACATACCGTACCAATACTTGCAATACGGCCATATCATGGGTGAATGTACAATAGAAACATATTTTAATGTGTGCAATTAATGCAGCCTTTCCCTTGCCAATTCATGTTCAGAGCTTATGATGTTACAATAATATAATTACAATGTATGATACTACTCAGGATAAAACTGTTGCAAAATATTTAACAATTTTAAAGGTATATGATTGATTTATTAAGTGTACTGTAAAACTAGACAATTTTGGGCATGATATTTTTCTGCAATATATTTTTGAAAAACCATGGGCTTTCACTTATTGAAAGCCCATGGAAAAACTAAGTATACACAAAAGTCAACGCAGGAAATACGCAATATAAACTTTACTAAGACAAATACTTACATCGTAGCAATAACATTTCCAAGCTTATTTGTGAGCCCTGCTAAATTCTAAGAATCATGAATATTACAAAATTTAGTTATGCAATATCCCTATTTATGGCCTAGTCACATAGCCTGGCCGATGTCCGGCATCGGTAGAGCTCGGTGGATTTTTTTGGTGCCACCGAGCTCTCCTCATCGGAAGCAGAGCTCGGTGACGTGAACGGACTCCGTCCGGACATCTTCAGGCGACCGACCGAACACCGGCCGGTGACTGTACGGAGTCTGTCTCAAAATGGTAGTTTTTTTCTGCCGATGTGGCAGCAACTACCGGCCGGAGGTCGGCCGGACATCGGAAGGAATACGGCCGGTACCCGAGCAGGTAACAGGACACCGTGCGATCGCCGGCCGGGTTGTTAACGGGCTTTGAACAGTGACCGGCCGATGCTCTGTCCCACATCGGCCGAAGCTCGGTCGGAGCTCGGCCGCTGTCCGTTAAAAAACCTCGTCCTCTGGTTGTCTCAGATGCATGGGACACCAGCCGATACTCCGGCCGACGTGTTTTCCGATGTGGTTACGATGGGGCTGCGATGACATGATGAGGGAGCTCGGTGAGAGCCCGGTGAAATTTAACTCCGAAGTTAAAATTTCACCGAGCTACCACCGATGCGGTTTTAAGCAACAAACGCCACGGATGTCCGGCCGGTGTCCGGCCGAGTTCGGTGAAAATTGCATCGCTGGCTCATCGTAACCTCATCGGCCGGCTATGTGACTAGGCCATTAATAACGCAGATGCGAGAACGTAGTTACCAGTATCAGCACCAGGTGGCTCGTTCGGGTCAGATAGCATGGCGGGTATAGTAGAAAGTTCCCTTTAACTTAAATTACATCTGTTTAAGTGGTTCAATTTTCATATAACCCTTATGTATCTAATAGTTATGCAAATCATAATATGTCCAGTATATGAAAATGTTATCTGACCAATACAAGAAAAGATATTCTTCGTAACATGGGCTCTATGGAGAATCAACCCGAACTAGAAGTCACACTTTAAAAAATAATTAAATTTTCAAACTTGATAAACAATTTTCGAAACCATATTTCTAGATGTACTTTTACATGTAGATTTCAAATATAACATCGCTTTGACTGAATTTTGAATACTTAATGGCGTAAATCAAGATTTTTTCTACTCGCATCTAGTCTATTAAATAAACATCTGCTGCATTATATCACAAAGTGTTTTACATCCCTACATAAATTACACTTTACTTGATATTTAAGCAAAAAGATAACCTTAACTTAGGACCTTTAATGCTGAACGCCAGTTGGACTGGTCTAAAGTGTTCAAATTGGGAAGTGTTCACTTTTCAATTTTTTAACATGGAAGTCTATGGCAAATTGAAAAAAATGGGACTGAAAAAAGTGTTCACATTGAGAGGAATTCAAATTAATGTTCAGATATACAACAGGTCTTGCTGTATAGCAATAACACTTTATATGTCCTCGCCAGTGTGGAGCCATATTGCCACTCCAGTTGTTCTTATTATTATTAGAAGAAAATATTTAATTCTGCAATGAATGTAAATAAAGTTGGAGTAAAAGATCCTAACTGTGTACAAATATTGAATTAACGGTTATCATTTAAATGATAAAACCTATATATTTAATAAAGGGGATGTTACTTATTTGAATTGTTAATTTATACACTGCTATATTAGCAATGATTGTGTTATGCAATACATATGTAAATATATAATGTTATCTTGATTTGCTTTGTTTAATACAGAATAATGCAAATATTTGTAAAATTCAATTGGGAATGTTACACTTGTATAAATAAAATAAATGCCCAAAGTTGAATAGAAGCCATTTCCTCCTGATACGAGCTACTCAAGAAACTGGGATTGACCTTGTACACTTGGTGATTGTGCTCACCTTGCCAAAAAATTGAAATGTTGAAATATTGTATTTTAAAAAAGCAATAGACAGATGGAAAATATATTGATGGCTCTAGCAGTAATTCGATTAGAAATATAAAAGCATAGCCTTGCCCAAGTCGGTCTCTTTTACTTATCTTGATTCCTATTATGACCGCCGTTAATAATTCAAGATCAGATAAGTAAAAAAATACCAACTTGGGCAAGGCATATCATATTATTTTTGTGATTGTGATTTAAAGTACATGAATATGCCTGAGAGGGTATAGTTGTGTTTAATAGCCAATGAAAAATAGTGCATTTCTGTACAGTGTAAATTATGAAAGGTGCTTACATTGATCAAAGAATTCCATTTCGAAGCATTAATGATTTTCTGTGGATTCTTTTGAAATAAAATGGGGAGTAGCAAAATACACAGTATGCGAGGGATTATGCATCTCTAAGCCATATACTGCTCCCTATCGTGTATTCAAAATGAGCGGAATAATTAATAATTTTAAAATAAAATGAAGGGCTATGTAGCAATATCATACATGTTTAGGGAATTAAATTTTCCCAAAGATTCTTGCTTACTGAACAAAGAATGCAGTTCTTTGCTTCCTATTTTTAAAATAAATTATATTTATTTAAATTATTTTCTCAGGAATTTCTGTATATATATTAATGTTTGTAATATTAAGGCGTCATTAACCCCATTTTAAGTTCACCACCATAATGTTATCAATGGAATATAATGGGGTTTCAATGCGAGACTTTTTGGTACACTAAATCTACGAAAGATATATACCAATGTCAAGGATTTCAGCACATTTTGGGAGTGATTAGTGATACAGCAAAAACTATTTTATTAAAATAAATATTTTTGATTTTGTAACACTGAAATTATTACTTGTTCAAGATTTAGAATTATAATGTTTTGAATTTTAAGCAACTTTAGTCACAGAAATAACACTGATGCTTACTGATGCTTGCATATGGGCTGATTACCAATGCAGAAATCTGCAGTTTTGACTTTAAGATCATAATGATATAAAAAATACTGTGGGCTTGAAATTATAAATACTATTAAGATATGATATACATGTTGTAAAATGAAATGAAATTCCTCAAATAATAGCCTATATGAATATTAGACATTCACTCAATTTTTATGTCACCACAAGTGGTGATATACAGTATTATTATAATCCCCATCTAATTTCTTGTGGATGGAGTTTGGCAGTCGTTGTCCATAACAAATGGCAGGTGGTGACATTTTGTATGTTAATAAATTATGTTATTTATTAGGATTCTTGAAATTGTGGTTGAATAAAGGGTGGTGCACCTTCATGCAAGATGTACATGTACAGTAGTTGTGAAAATGTAGAATAACAATAAATTGTTACTGAAAAACTCAAAAATATTTTCTGTTATAATATACAAGTTTGTATATATATTATATACTAGGTATGGTATTAAGCTTGTGTAAACACTTAAGAACACTTCCAGGATTTTAGATTTCCCATATTCCTTTTTCACTGCATTATTATTCAGTTATTCAATGGTCTCATAGTCAATGTTATTTGTCTCAAGTTTTTAAAATATACCAGAGCAGTTCATTGGAAATTATATTATATCTTGGGAGAAATACATAGGCAATGCCTCGCTCTCCTAAAATTGAAACAAAAAAATGCACTATGAAGCGTAATAAATATTTGAGTCTAATGCCTAATGCAGTAATGGCACGCCAATAAAAGTAACAAACTAAAATATAGAATATCAATTTGTGTATTACTGTATATGAATGGCCTTTAAAAGGACCATGTGCCACCAAATAAATAAAACTAAATATGATGTTACATTAAATGTTAATTGAAGAGGCAGATGAACACATTATTCTCCACAGTGGCACCTTCTTCCATTGGTGTCCTTGAACTGAAGATTAATCATTCTTTGTTTACATAACAAACTATAACAATGGAGTTCAGATTCTGTTTTGGAGAATAATGTTAGCATAGCAGTACTCGGAACTCCACATTTATGCCACTTTTGGCACACAATTATGCCAACTATTCAGTCCTCCATACAAGGTAAAAAACAAGCTTGGCTTGTGACATAAATGCTAATGATATCAACTCGCATTTGATGACTATTGCGGAATGACGATGAAGGTTGCACGACCACATTGCATTGAAGACTTCACACAGCTGACCTCAACTTGATAATTCACAAATTAAATAACAGAATCTTCAAAAGTGGCAGATGTTATTATTTCTATTAAATATTATAGAACACCTCATAAACATAAACTATTGGACATTAGATTAATTGACAATGAAATTCAAGTAAACATTTCTTCATTCTATAAACATAATTTGAAAGTGTGGTCACAATATAATAAACATTCCAAATTTTTATGTAAACATCTATTTTGATGTAACATGGACATTTCACTAAGTAACACATGTAACATAGATTTTATACAGTATTTGATGACCAAACAGTGTTTGTACATAAAGGCCAACTCTATTTCAATACAGAATCAACTGATCAAAATAGGACGAAATTAGTCTATATTTCCAATAATCAATCATATGATAATGAAATGCGGAACAATAAGACAAAATCTCCATAAATGAAATGACTGACATGTACCTGCACAACATATACAAACACAGAGCCTTCCTGATGGAACACACTCTAGCATGTTATGCACAGCCTCCACCTTTGAGTTCGAGTGAACCCCCTCCAACTTAACCCATCAAAGAAACTCAATGTAACTTTGTGTTATAACTTGCTGTTCTTTGATTCAAGGGATTATCAGGTGATTTCATCCAGTCTTTTTTCAGAATTTGTTTTAGTTGAGAGAGTCTCATATTTGGGTTCTCTTGTTTGAGTTTAGGTAGTCTCTCCGATTCATAAGATGCGTAAGCTGCCTTCACTCTCTTCTCAGGGTGCTTCTCGAGGCTTTCCTTTGCACTGGAAAAAGATTTTAGAATTTAGATTCAATAAGACGATTCCAGTAGAGTTCACACGTTACATGTATGTAAACATTTTTAACAAAGGATGAGTCTGGGAATGAGTCTGGGTATCGACTTAGAAAATATTGAAAATTGTAATGTATGAAAAACCAACTCAATCACACATATTATTAAACTTCAATATCTTATCCTTCTTCTGAGATTACTAAAATATCAATTTGTATCACAATTGATGAAGAATATTGGCATCAAAGACAGTGCAAATCACTTTGTAAGAATTGAAAAAAAAATCAATGGCAAATATTAAATGAATTATTTATACAAAAAGTTTGAAACATATCCTCCAAAACATTTCTTATTTTCTTTGTATAGACATTGAATGGTATTTCTGGATAAGTGAATTGGTGTTTATCTGGGTAATCAAGAGATTATAGTCACTCAAAGTTACTGAGCATCCAGTTTTGAGACTTCAATTGTGTTGTTGAAGTTACACATATTTCAGTCAAATTCATGCTGAGCACAACATTTTGGTTTCAATATTATAATCTCTATACATGACCCTGGTGATGAAGAGTCAGAATCAGTCAAAAAAACCAAACCGGAAAACTGTGCTCATTGTGAAAACTAAAAGTGAAGCAACTTTTTTTCTGATATTTCTTACATCAAATGGCAGCCATCTTGTTTTCCCCTCTTCAAATTAAACTGGCGGGAAATTCAAAAATTTGAAAAAAAATTTAATCCTTAAATATATTTCAAAAATATGATTTTCTTTTTAATTCTTCATGGGTCTTAAGTTATTTCTTCTTTGTATGTCATACATGTTGCCATTGGTGTTTTTTTCTATGATAATGACTATTTTTTGTTTTGTTAGGCTACTTATTCTGACTCTTAGCAGGGGGCTAATTATGCATCAAAATTCATGAAAAAGTAAATATACTTATCAAATATAACTAGGACAGTAATAAAAACCATATTTTACATACATTTGACTGAGGGACCAAAAGGGCATATACCCGGACACATCCTTTGCAACCTTTGCTATATAACCAAGCTCTATCTGCACACTAAATGAATCGAATACTCAAAATATTAATTCCAACAAACTTACACATTACATAGGAGTCAGAACTTTGTAGTTGGTAAGGAGATACTGTACTCCTGGTTAATTTCGTGACGAATTTTGAGGAAACACCATTTCGCGGCTATTAAATTTTGAGAATTTCACTAAGTACACCTACTGCTGTACGTGTCATCTTAGTCAATGACATGCTGCACCTTAACCTCTATCACATCGTAATTTTGGGGTTTATTTGATCAGGTAATAAAAGATTACACAAATCACTGGGGATTTAATTGACAATTTACCACAATCGAACAAAGCTCGAAACTAAATCGCACATGAAAAATACCGGGAGTACAGTAAATGAACAAGGCTCACACATGTCAATGTAACAACAAGGCATTAAAATGCAAAATGTCATCACCTGCCATTTGTTACAGATGATGACCCATGATCAACAACTGCCAAACACTAATCACCAAACACCATTCACAAAAAAAGTTGAAGACTATAACAAGATGTCAACACTTCTGGTGGTGACATAAAAAGCAGAGAACAAACCAATACAAAACATCTTGTTTTGTAATAAAATACATGTATTACTATTGGACACATTATAGCTTCCATGTACATCATGTGTAGAATTGAAACCTCTGAAATGCTGAAATCTGTCAAACATGGAGCATACCTAAGCACTTGTATTGCATCTTCTACAGTCCTAGCCTCTCCCTCTTCAGGTACCAATCTGTTAACATTCTCCTCTAGTGGTACTTCATCATGTACAGGGGCCTTTGTCTCTTGTTTGGCTGCTTTATAAATAATATAAATTATACGAATTAGTATTCATTCTATATTATCCTGAAATATTGAGGCTTTCCTCTTCCAAATGTAACCGAGATCCTTCAAATAAAGCCAGACACCTTTTGCTACACGAAAGAAGTGATGATATATTGGCTAGATTTGACTTCATATGAAGAAATTCACTTAAAGCAGAACATACAGAATTAAGTTGAAATTTATTTGTTGAATTTTGCATGAAGAATTTGAATATTGTTCTCTCAGATAACATTAATTAACAGGATATGATTCATAAATGGAAATCTATGTTCCATACTATTAGTACATGCTCAATCCTTTAAGTCTACAATTTTGAGTCAAAGACTGAGAAAATAATGAATGTCGGGAGAAATAATAGCTCATCCATTAAATTGCATTTATAGACTAATATGTACCTTCAGCCTGTTTTCTCTGCACTTCTCGCTTATTGTGCTCAATCTGAGCTCTTGTAACTTTGGCAGATGGCGCTGGTTTTGCAGAATGTAGCGATGACTCTTCTTCATCCAATAATCGTTGACTTTCAAGTTTCTTCTGCAGCAAATCAAGACGTTTTTTCTCCTTGTCTTCCTATCAGAAGAAAAAATACTTACTCATTTGGGATTCTAGAACAATCTTAATCATTGCCAGTTTTTCCCATTTTACTAACTAAAAGTACAATATTTGATTTTGAAATCTGTGAAAAATTCTCAGTTGTACCTGTACAATTCTAAAGAGTTCTACTGCAGAAATTTTGTACCTTTCTCTTCTGTTTCTTGGCTGCATCTTTGTCGTCGTCTTTCCAGTAAGCATCATCTTCCTCCTGTTGTTTCTTTGCCTTTCTCTGCTCCTCTGCAGCCGATCTTCTCTCACGGGCAGCAACTGCCTTCGTGTTCTCTCCCTTGAACTTCTTAGGCATCTTAACACTGCGTTCTGATAGCAGTCGCTTTCTGAAAACAATTGTTGCATACTCAAAAATTTAAGCCATTTATAAGGGGAATGCACTTTTTCAATGAAACAACTTTCTGAGATTAGAATTCAGACTAGAAATTAACTTAGAAAATCTTACAACAATTTTCACATAAACTTGAAACCTTTACTGTTATTTTTACCATTATTATTGCAAACTGTATTTTGGATAATTAGTCGTTAGGCTTTTCAATATGTGTTCTCTTTTATTTTGATGTTTCTCTGCTAATAGGTGTGATAGTTTTAAGACTACCTACACTTGGAGGAAGTGTAAGTTGTCACTCTTTAGTTTTTGTGACTGAAATTTCATACAAAATTTCCCCACCCATCACCCTACTACTTTTTTCAAGGCCTGACTTCGTCGCTAACATGCTAAATATAAGAGTTAGCTGACGTTTGGGAGTCTGACTTACCTTCTAAAGGTTAGAACCCGAATCTTAATGAAACCATATCACCTTTGTTGCGTCGATGATGATGCATAAACATAGCATTTGATAGAAATTAGTGTAAATGCTTTTCCGACTTTTTCATTTTTCATCAATGTTGACTTTCGGGAAGGCGTTGTAGTTATCACGAAATAACGCATTGACCCTTGAACTTTACTTTGTTGATGTGTCAACCAAGCATGTCTGGTGTGAAAATTAAAAGAATATTAAGCAATGTTCTACATCCGCCAAGCTAAGTGAAGTAGCCAATATAAAATTACCAATTTCAAGTGAAGTACGCAACGAACGAAACTGCGTGATCTACAGTCCCACTATTTGTCTGAACGAAATGCTACGTAGAAATATGAGCCGTCTGCTGTATTAGTCGATTAATAGAGTAAGACCTGTTGGTGATGCTTTATAATTTAGACCAAAACATTGAAGAACATACGAACCTGTTAATAGTGAAAACAACGAACAAAGATTCGGTTTTCATATATGTTCGGTAATTTTTCGTATTGAAACTTCCGGAACTTACAAGGAAATCATTCATTTTCTCGGTCCATGATTTACCTCTTGGATGTTGTGGCAAATGCTCCATGGTTGACGGAACAAAGGTGATATGGTTTCATTAAGATTCGGGTTCTAACCTTTAGAAGGTAAGTCAGACTCCCAAACGTCAGCTAACTCTTATATTTAGCATGTTAGCGACGAAGTCAGGCCTTGAAAAAAGTAGTAATTTCCCGATGTTGAGATCATGTTTGAGAAACAATGAAATGTCATCGAGGCAAATTAGAAGGTGGTGTCAAATTGCTAAAGAAGTTGGATTGTGAAATGCAGAAATGTCTACAAAATCACCAAAAAGTCGAGTGGCATTCTGCATTTCCTCCAAACTAAGCTAGGCTAGCCTTGAGCCTAAGCTTAAATAAAAAAAAATTCCAAAAATTTGAAAATCGAAAAAACAGAAATTAGTCCGTAAAAATATATTTGTTTGCCCATCTAGGAGTCAAATAATGAGCTAAAATGAAGAGCTTAATTTATACTCATACAATACCTTGTCTAATACATCAGAAATGCCTTAAATTTCACAATTTTTGTGAAATTTTAAAAAGTAATGTAGGTCTCGTTTGACTTCTCGCCTGCGTGACTTCCGGGTTGACATCAGTTCCTGTTTTGCTGATTTGCATTTTTCGCAAGAAAATCAATTGCCGTGTTCTAGGAACTAAGGTAAAGAAGTATACAAAAATGTCATAGTCATAGTTTCAAGCAGAGGCACGGATCAGATATTTGAAATGACCGAAATGAAATTCCACCCTCCCAACAATGTGTGTACAGGAAGTCTTTCAATTTGGCCTGTGGGATGAATGCGGATTTTCTATTAGTTCTGGTGCATATTGTTTCAAGGCTGATGTATGCTTGAAACTGTCCCATTCAGTTGTGCTCAACAGAGGCAAAATTCACGGTAACGACCTGAGCATAGGCCAAGGGAAAAGTAATAGTAAGCTGTATATAGAAGCGGCTTACTATTACTTTACCCTTGGCCTATGGACCTGAGGGTGCCCCGAGGGAGCTGTAGTGTAACAAGCCAGATACTGGACATGAAAGGAAGCGTGCTAAATTCAATGTCCCCTGCAGGAATCGAACCCAGGGGTTTCTGTTGCACAGACTTCTGCCCCTGAGCCATAAGGGTTAGCCACTGTTAGACTAAAAAAAAGAAAAATATACCTGATAAGGTCTAATTGAAAGCCCATGGAGCAATGCATAGTCTAGTAGTCCACGGATAGTGGGAAGTCCTCCATCTAGGAGGTATATTAATATAAGTAATATATGGAGGACTTCCCATAACCGTGTAGTAGCCATATGAGCAATAAACAATTTACTATCTTAGTCATATGAGCAATGGGGAGTCTAGAATTAGTCATATGAGCAATGGGGAGTTTCCAGAAGTCAAATGAGCAAAAGGGGGAGTCCAGAAGTCATATGAGCAATGGGGACTCTAGAAGTCACATGAGCATTGGGGAGTCTAGAAGTCATATGAGCAATAAACAATTTACTAACTTAGTCATATGAGCAATGGGGAGTCTAGAATTAGTCATATGAGCAATGGGAGTTTCCAGAAGTCAAATGAGCAATCGGGGGAGTCCAGAAGTCATATGGAGTCTAGAAGTCATACGAACAATGGGGAGTCTAGAAGTCATATGAGCAATGGGGATCTAGAAGTCATATGAGCAATGGGGAGTCTAGAAGTCATTTAAGCAATGGGGAGTCTAGAAGTCATATGAGCAATGGGGAGTCTAGAAGTCATTTAAGCAATGGGGACTCTAGAAGTCATATGAGCAATAGGGAGTCTAGAAGTCATTTAAGCAATGGGGACTCTAGAAGTCATATGAGCAATGGGGAGTCTAGAAGTCATTTAAGCAATGGGGACTCTAGAAGTCATATGAGCAATGGGGAGTCTAGAAGTCATATGCGCAATGGAGACTCTAGTAGGCATATGGGCAATGGACACTCAGTAGTCATATGACATGAAGAGTCTCTTTCCTGAATAATGATGAAATCCAAAAATTTAAAACAATGACTCAAAAGAAAATTGATGTTTGAATGATATTTATTTAAGTTTCCAGAAGCTCAAAATTATAGATATGTAAGAGACATATTCAATTCATTTCTGATTTTCAGATATCTAAAGACTGCCTTCAAAGAATGCTTTGGGATGTTGCAATTATTGGTGGCGGGGTGGTGGGATGTGCGACACTAAACAAACTCACCAGTCTTGGATACAAGTGTATTCTCTTTGAGAGGAACCAACACTTAGTATCTGGAGCAAGCTGTGGAAATAGGTAAGAATTGATATTTGCATCTCCTTGAACAAGGCATGGGCTTTCAATGGATTATTGAATGCCCATGAACAAAGTTACATCATCAGCCTAATATGGATGTACTTTTCAATTTACTAAATTAATATGTTAGCCCATGGGCTTTCAATTTGAGTTGACAGCCCATGGTTAACCCCACCTTTAGATGAATATCAACGACTTGTCAATTCAGTGAGCTTAATAAATCCAAGGGTGTTTCAAAAACTTCCTGGAAAAAACTTTATAGAATCATTGATTTTTCAGTGGCATTGTGTCCTGCGGCTTTGATTCAGGGGGACCTCTTGAAGAAAAGTTGATACAGCGTGCCAGAGAAATCAACACCAAAACTTTCTCCAGTCTTGACATTCCACACAAATACTGTGGAGCAATTGTAGTAGCTTGGTCACAAGAACAGGTTACAGTCATTGCTTTATCAGTACAGTAAAAAATGTCTAGTACTATTTATTATTATTTTTAAATATGTAAATCTTAATTATTTTAATAAGATATAAATTATTTTTTCAGCACTGTATACTGTATATTTTATTTGGGATGGTCTTCATGTAGAAATACCATTGTTTTGTTAATTACAAATATTGCATGTAACTTTGTCACTCCCCCTTCCCCTTCTCCCCGTATGTTCCTAAAATTGTCACAACATTCCGCAGTTGTTTTCTATGATTGGTGTTCCATTTATACAAACTCTATTCGATATCCAGTGTGATAAGCTACCAGAATTGATGAAAGAGGCTCATTCTATGGGGGCTAATGATGTAACTCTGCTAACACAAACCCAGCTGAGAGCACTGGAGCCTAACTTATCCCACAATGCACTAGCAGGTATGCTGGTACCTTCTGAGAGTGTAGGAGATTCCTGGTTGTTACCCATAGTTCTTGCACATCAAGCCATTCGCTCTGGGTCACAGGTATATCTCTCAACTAATTTCTGTTCATTCCTTGGATATAGAGTGAATCTTTGAATTATAGCAAACATTTTCGGACAACTTTTTGGACACCCTTCAAAATCTACGAATACATTGATATTGATAACAGAGCTACTATATATATTATGCTCCAATATATTTACAGTCTTCAAGCAAGTAAGAACTCAACAATCTGAAATGTAACTTTCATGGCCTTTTTTAGGAGTTTAAATGTGAAGTAAATGAATGCTACTATTCATTTCTATTGGTATAAAATGTAGTGTTTATGTCACCTCCAGAAGTGGTAACTTATTGTTCTAGTCTCCAACATTTTTGTGGAGGGTGTTCAACATTTGGTGGTTAGTGTTTGGCAGTTGGTGCTTGACATTCAGTGGTCAGTGCCTGTAACAAATGGCAGGTAGTGCCATTTTGCTTGTTATGTATGGCATTGAGCTATTTCAAAGGGTAATTCTCTGTCCTCACAGGTGAGCTGCAATAGTCAAGTGCATTCAGGTAGACAGTTGGAGGATGGCACTTGGCAACTGGAAATCAATGACTCTGCACCATGTCTAGCCAAATGTGTCATTAATTCAGCTGGTCTCTATGGTGATGAGGTTGAGCAAATACAGGGTGAGCCAAAATTCAGGTAAATATGTTTTTAATGTATTGGAAATCAAACATAAACATAAATGTATTTCATAATAACATGTATTTTTCATTATGACTAACTAAGATTCAGCGATCTTGACCCTTAACGTTTATCTTGTATATCACACGTGCAAGATGAAAACAATGTTTCGTGACAAACTTCAAAACTTGACAACAGAAACGTTGCTATGCATATCCATTATCTTCGTACAGATTCTGTCATGATGTCATAATTATTGAAAGTATAAAGTTGCATTTGATTTAAACTTTTTTCACTCAGTTTCGTGGTTAAATAATGAAAAGGCATAATATAACTTTCTTGCACTCCTACTTGCGCAATACCAGTAGCATTCTCAACTAAATGCTTCTTGTTTTTGACTTGATATAGAAGAATTATAATGAGAGTCCGTTAAAAATGGACCATATTGCAAAGGTATTCATGTCATAACCTCTATGTCTTACTAGGATCCAACCTGTCAAAGGTGAATATGCGTTATTCAGTAAAGATGCAGGACAGCTGGTGAAACACATCATTGCTCCTGTCTGTACAGATCCTAGAGTCAAGGGTGTTATGGTTATCCCCTCAGGTATGATGGTACTGTTTTTACTGTAAATTTCTTGAATGCATATCTTCCTAGGATCCTGCCTAGGAAAGGAGAGTATGCAGTGTTTAGCAAGAATGTAGGACAGCTTGTGAACCACATCATTCTACCAGTCCCAACGGATAGAACCAAAGGAGTCCTGCTCTTCCCATCAGGTATGTACCTAGCACAGGAGGACATTTAGTGAACCGCATCATTCTACCAGTCCCAACAGATAGAACCAAAGGAGTCCTGCTCTTCCCATCAGGTATGTACCTACATGTAGCACAGGAGGACATTTAGTGAACCACACCATCTTACCAGTCCCAATAAATAGAACCAAAGGAGTCCTGCTCTTCCAATCAGGTATGTACCTAGCACAGGAGGACATCTTGTGAACCACATCATCCTACCAATCCCAGCAGAATGAACTACAGCAAGGAGGAATTGTTTTAGTGTTATTTCTGGGAATCAGTATTCACATTTTTAAGTGAACGAAATAACGAATTTATGAACAGTTTGCGTATTTGTGCATATTGTTTTATTGTATTGAGTTACCTTCATTGAAATAATGTCAATTGCTTTATATAGATGTCTCAGAACATCCACTTGAGAAAGAAGTAATTTCCCTGAATAGATGGCACATCATTTGATTTCCATAGCTCTGTCGTGTCTCAAGGAGGATTTGCTACCAGAGATGCCACTCAATATTTTCCAACAATCAAAATGTCAGAATGTCATTATGTTCTGCCATTATAACTGAGTATAAATTCATAATCAACAGTCCAAAAGATTCAAATCAATATCTTGATCACTTCTTGTGTTTTTGAATTTTTGTTTGGAAATAAGACCAAAACTCATGATTCAAATTCTGAAGTGAACAGAATGGCGGCTGTTTGAATTTAAATTTTGTAATCATGACAACTCCATATATGGCAGAATATCGAGTTGGAACCCATGGAGCCACTCCTCCTTAATCATGTTTGTAATCTGAAAAAAATTGTGAAATTTTAACATTTTAACTAAGGTTATTTTACATCTCATTTCCAAACTTCCAGTACACATTGAAAATGCATTCAAAGAATGATCCACTTGTAACACTGAATTTTTTCTTTAATTGGTTCTTTATGTCTCTTCCCATCACAAATATCCCATCCCCATATGCATGATTTCCATCCTGTCCCAAGAATCTTTGTCTGATGACATCCCTAAAGACTAGCACATGAACGTCTTTTCAACTATCAAGTTTGGCTGGCAGCAATAACTGACTGTGATTGATCTAGTAACTGAATTTGTATTGATCTGTTTGCACAAACCATTTAGTAATCCTGTCTTTATGTCAGTATTGTAATTTGATGAGAAATCAAACAGAACTGACTGCCCATAAGAAAAATCCTCGTGTGGTCACTTTCAGATGTTTTGCATTTCAAGATATGTAGGGGCATTGGCAAGGAATAGAGCAAAAAAGAGAAAATTGGCAACATTTTAAAATTAATAGTGATAGATATACCAGGCAACCAGTCAGATACATATATATGTTCTTATAGAAGGGAATTTGAAATAGTTCAGCAATGATTAGCTGAAGAACATCACATTTCTGCAGGGTTACAGACACGGTATCAATGACCTCGTTGAATACAGTTTATATCACTATTCATCAACATATTTCAACCAGTTCTGGCCCAGAATTTATTGTACTACTAAGCATCTATTTTTAGTGCAATCGTAACTTATGATTCCCCCAAAATATTATTTATTCACTTACACTTGTAAGATATGATAAAGATAAGGGAAAGATAACTATTCTTTAGCCTTTGAGCCAGCTGGGCCCAAACTCTGAAGGTGGGCCCAAAGGAAATATATTTACTCATCCAAAAAAACTTTTCCAAACTGTTAAGGCCTTCCGGCTAATGTCAATTTTACACTTTCTCATTGATTTTCAGCTATTTCTAGAAAATTACCATTTTGTTCGTTGATACGTGTTTTTTACTTACTTATTACTCATTACTCATTTACATACTCATTACTTATTACTCATTACTCATTTACATACTCATTACTTATTACTCATTACTCATTTACATACTCATTACTTATTACTCATTACTAATTTACTTACTCATATGTTTATTTTAGTATATGGAAACTTAATTGTTGGTCCCACTGCAGAAGATGTAAATGAGCGATCAAACCCCACAATAAATGATGATGTCATCAGTAATCTTGTGAGCCAAGCAAGAGATATAGTCCCCGCCCTATCCCAGCATGCACCAGTGGCAACATATGCTGGTCTACGTCCTGCCACACAATTTAGGGATTACCAAATTAGTGCAAATTCTGAAAGGTAATTAAGAATGTAATAGGTGATTAAGAAAGATATTCAGTATTAATCCACTGAGGCTGAAATCATTTCATGGTTGGTTTATTAAAAATTATGAGAACTAAATATAATTGTTTGAACTGAAGTCTTAGCAGCTCTTGAATTTATCCTGAATATTTAATATTTATTTTGGTTTTAAGTGTATCATACATAACATGTTACAAAAATAATGTGTCCATAAGGTCCATTCTTATATGATAAATGCAAGCATTTTCAACATTGAATAAAAACAGATTCCAAAAACTGAACCTCAAAAATCAAATATCTAGATGCAGTATATATCAAATCAAATATCTAGATACGGTATATATCAAATCAAATATCTAGATACAGTATATGTCAAATCAAATATCTAGATACAGTATATGTCAAATCAAATATTTAGATACAGTATATACATGTATATATATCTAATCAAATATCTAGATCTGATACCGTATATGTATCTAATCAAATATCTAGATATGGTATATATCAAATATCTAGATACAGTATATATATATATATCTAATTAAATATCTAGATACAGTATATATATCTAATCAAATATTTAGATGCAGTATATAACAAATATCTAGATTATATAACAATGTGTAATCCTTCAAATTCAATTACTCTAGGAAATGGGTGACAGTTGGTGGGATCAGGTCCACAGGTTTTTCAGCGTGTCTTGCCATAGCAGAATATGTAGCTGGTCTTCTCCCCCAGATTCCTGTTGCACCCTCTAGATCGCCACCTCCAGAAAACACCCATCCCGTGCCCTGGTGGCCTGATGGAAACACCCTTGTTCTTGATGGTGTGAAGTATAATGTCACGCATCCTCTCACTTCACATGGACGATCAGTCGCTAAACTTTAACTCATCTTAATCTTAAGTATTGAGATGATCCCTATCAATGGTGATAAAGGGGCTCCTTATTGATGCAATAAAAGATTGACTGTGCCATATATAGAAGTTAATGTAATTAATGACTTTGAAGTTTGAGTGTGGAAACAGCATGTTTAAGATGAGGAGTGCCATTCTCAATAATGTAATATATTTAGTAGATTTTGACGTCTGTGTAGTTAGAGTAAAAGGACATGTCCCACCTTAATGTATTAATAGTTACAATATGTTACATTGCATAAATGCATCGATACATTCATAATGGTCTTTCTACAATTTTAGGGGTCAGATCAAAATCTCAGTATGTGTTTTCCATGAAAACAACTCAATGAATGGTGTAACATTTAATGATTTTATCTTAAAGAAAGTGGACTTTTTACACTTTCCCCAAATAAAATCTTAAATCCAATATAAATAACTTGACCCAGCCTGTATTTCATTAGACGCCAGTAGTTAAACGATGAAGTGAAATACATAAATGGACTTTGATGATGCCATAGAGACTGTTATAAATGAACTCAAATTGCAAATGTCTCTTGAAGGACCAATACTGTTAAGTATTTGCATACTGCTTTGTACCAGTGTTCCTTCCAGTCAATTTCAGATCATGACGAGTGAATATTTGACATGTTCCCTGAACTGTTAAAACTTTTAAGAATAATGAATATGCATGTTATGGACTTTTAAATATATTTTTTATAATATTTATGATTACCCGATGCACATGTAGTTTGTTGAATATTTTGTAAAATGAAATCTGCTATGTATTGATAACGGTCGATATCTGGTTCAGCTTTACAATGGCATACTAGATATTGTATTAGTTAGATGAATGTTTCATTAATGTTTGATTGATTTGATCATCTACTGAACCATCCTATCAGGCAAGTCTTCATCAAAGCACCATTTCCACACTAATCTTAAAGGAAGTGTAAATTTTTCGTAATTTTCTTAGTTTCCCATATTCTCTTATGACATTAGATTTTTGAAACTCCTTGCTACATAATTGTTGATTTATGAATTCTAAATTTTTCCTTAAAGGTCAATGTTCAAGTGTTCATCTGTCCATGAAATTCAGTGTTAAATTTATATTTGTGTGACATGACTGACCACTATAAATAAATAAACTAAACTTTGTTTATATACTTCATGTGTGAGAAGTTTTCATTTCTGTCAAAGATGTGATATGAAAGTTTTATATGTCGCTTATCCCCCTCTTATGTCGCTTTGTCACCACAAGTGTTGACAAATTGTTATTGTCTCCAACTTTTTCTTGAGAAGCTTTCGTGCAAAACTTTTCGAACGACCCTAATATATTGTATTGTGTTGTGTTACTGACTATAGCTGCATCTCTTATTTTCTCCCTTGTGTATAGCTTCCATATAAGATCATGCCACTGATAGTTGTTTCCCCAAACATTTAACAAGATATATCTTTGTTGAATAGGGATTAACACAAGTGATTTATCCATATGGGGCTTATTCCCTTGCTGCTCTTGTGCTCTTCCATATGATAGCAAATCAACTAATATACTTGTACTGTAAATAGTCTTATAATACAGTAAAACCTGTATACGTTGAACATTTTTTGCAGAGAAAAACGTTCATATTTGTTAGGTGTTCACTACAGAGAGGGTAATTATCCCAACGAACGAAGTTCAGTAGGGATATAGTCAAACCCTCTGTCCGTCAGTCCATCCGTCCTTCCATCCATCTGTCTGTCTGTCCAGAAGACAACTCGAATACTAGTGGATGGATTTGCTTCGAAATTGGTGGAAAGATGTATATTGGTGAATAGTTTTTCACAAAAAAATATTTTTTTCAAGATGGCTGCTTCTTTAGAAATGTCAAAATTGCCACCTTATGTGGGATTTCACAATAATTTTCTGATCTCTTCAAAGTATGGCTACTGTATATTATACTCAAATTGAAGGAAATTTCAAAATATAAATGTGCTTCGAGCATTCATACACAGAACATGCATTGTATCTTCGTGGTAAAGTTAGTCTAGCTGAGGGGTTTTTGTATATGCAATTTTGTGTTTTCACATATGTAGATGAAGCCCTCTTTTGAGATGCAAAGTAAATATTTTTTAAAAGGTATCAGGACAGTGTACTGCATGGAAAGCTGTCACCAAGGAATAACATACTCAAGCAAAATTAAGGGTTTGGTCACTTTTTGAGGCATTTGTGCGTCTAAGCATTTTACTGTCTGCCCCTACACGTTCAAAACTTGATACCCTTGCCAATATTTTGAATTTGCTGAACTTTGAACAATTTTATTTGTTCTATTCAGAGCCTCTTCCACTAAAGTCTGTTAATAACTTTATAATAGCCAGTTGAATCTAAAAATAAGAAATCTAGACTATGAAATAGTATATGGAGAAATACATTCTTATTGCACACGAATGACTTTGTTATCTTGGATTGCACTGGCTTATTGCACTAAAAACTAAATAATCTGAAATATACAAATGGCATTTGTGTACACAGTAGTCTTTGGATTTCTTATTTTTAGGTTCAACTGGATATCATGAAGCAACTGTAGTCTTTGAGTCTCAGGGTACCCACCTGCCATTATAAGAGACAAGATTAAGTTGAGAATCCAAGTTTATCATATAAAATATTCACTCGGGAAATCTATCGGGAATATTTTCATGTAGTAATTTGAAAGTGATCAATCTTGATTCGAACATGACTGTACATGTATTCAGGCCTTCTATAAACTGTGACCAAAGTCAACATTTTACCCGGGGTATATTCGCGAACAATACGAGTAATATGTGACGTCATAACGACGGGCTGTAGTAATGGTAGTGGCGATGGTAATGGTAGTGGCTATAATGAATATTCGAAACAATTTGGTGAGTTTTCATGTTCGAATCGTAATATAGACTTCAGAGCAGGTGTTATATCGTCGAATACACCCCGCAGGGCAAGGCTTTCGAACCCCTCACTCCCTTCGGTCGTTCGGGGTACAAAAAGGTTTTTGCCTAGCGGGGTGTATTCGACGATATTACCCCTGATCTCCGGTCTATATTTCTTAATTATATTGTGTCAATTGATGAAAGAGTTGTTCATGTTTGACACTAAGGAGGATGATTTTAGTTGCACATTGATTGGATCAATGGGTCATCTCTCTATATGTTTTATTAATGTGTTCCACAGTATTCTTGCTCTGTGGAATTAGCTAAGAATAGAAGAGGTGAGAGATGGTTCTACCAACTAAAACAAAAAATTAATAGATTTGTGTTTGATCTGAATCCAGCCTGTGTCGATTAGGTTACGGTATCGGCGCAAGTTCAGAGTTTTTTTTTAGATCGGCAAGTCTGCCTCATTTTGTATTTAAGTCAGAGCTCGGAAGGCTTTCCAAATTGGCGATGGTTACCTTTAAGACCTATCTAAGTTTGCACCACTCATTCCAATGAAGCAATTTCTTTTAAGAACCCTTGAAAACATTTAATTATATTGATTTCCTGAGAAAAATCTAAACATATGCTGTGTTGCAACTAAACCTACCTAGTGGGATGATTAACAGTTCGCAGAACTCTGAAATATGTCAATTGGTAGAAAAAATATTTAGCCTCCAAATTGCCCAGTTAAGTTTTTAACCTCAAAGGAACAATCTCATTGCAATTGATTGAATGGTTCAATTCACACGTAGGTTCTAAGAGAGCCTAACATTTAAAGAACTTGCTGGAGAGTTATCTCTATTCTGGACACATTTATACTTGAACATTTGCAGTAATTTGTTGGATTTTTACAGCCTACTTCGATTTTTATGTATATTGGGAAAAATTTGTACACTATTCTATGCCTAACACATCATTATAGTACTAGGAAATTGGGAATTTAGTTGATCTCTTGTTAACAACAAATAATTCATTAAGACCATTTCTGATTTTGAAAATGTTTAAACTCGGCCTATAAGTATATCGAGGGGAAGGGTGATCGCGAAAATAATTTGTGTTGCTCATATACACGTCAATGATGTACTTACTAAGGTTTTTTGTCGCCACCACAAGTGGTGACATATTGTTATAGTCTGAACTTTTTGTGGACGGTGTTCGATGGGCTGTGGCCGGCGTTCGGCATTCGATGGATGGCGGTTGGCATCTGTAACAAATGGCAGGTTGTGCCATTTTACGTTTTAATGCCTTGTGCGAATAGTTCTATGCAATTGTATTGTATGTATATTATTTGTAATATGGACGAAAAGTTGTAAAGCACATTTATTTTATTTTTTTATCTTACGTTAAAACCATTTTAATATTTGTACATTCGTTTGTGATTATTAATTGTGATTAAACTACTGAACTGATTTATATATTACGTCCTGAACGATCCTCTCGAAATTCACTTTCCATTTATATTATCGAACAACTTCAATAAGAATGATTATCTTATGATTTTTTTAAAAGCTTCAAATTTATTTGGCCACTCTATATTAAAAGTTCATCACAAATATTGTATCACCTTGAGGTGGGAAGATTTTTGATGACAGCCCCCTCATACATAGCACTCACAGTAATACGTCTATCTCAGTCTGAAAATGAAACCAGGTGTAAAGGGGTAGGAGGTCCTATCATATTATGGTCCTACTCTCCATTGATTTATATGATGACCTAAATACAACTCTTTCCCTCATTATCTTATACGCAATCAGGGCCAGAAGAAAGGGGACCATAATCCCTGGGGGACCACCATTTCTTTCACACCGGGAAATGAAAGTACTTGTTTTGAACCCATTTGATGGATTGACTACCCAAATGATCAGTTTGTTTGGAATTTTTTCTCGTGACTATCTATCGTAAGTCTCCTAATTATAGCTTAGCCTTGACGATGTATTCTTTTAAGACCCAACCTAATCTTGTCGAAAACATGTCACAAATTCAAAGCAAACAATTTGGGCTTAGTACCATGGCTAATATCCTGACATGTAAAGATAACTCTGGTGTCTTATTGATATTCTATTGGATTATTCCATCAATGGATAAAGCACGAGGACTACAAAGAACATAAAGTATTACATCCACTGGCTGATTAAAATTCTTTTGAGGTATCTGATCAATTGGAGTTAAGTGATAGCCTGAATATCTGTGGTATAAATCAAGACGGACTTAATCAAATTATCAGCTTCTTAACTTGTCCCTCTGTTTATTAGGCTTCAAACGGTATGTTCCCAGTTTCAATATCATCATGGATTCATGGTGACTTTTATCTCAGATTAAAGTTGTTAACGTGATTACTCGTTGAGGTGAATAAGCAACATTTAAAATACAGAAATATCCAACGATCTAAAAACCACAGAAATGTAAAATCAGGTATGAGAAACAGAAAAGGGTGAATTAAATATAACATACTAGTCACCTCTTTTTATGACCGGCGTTCGGCGTGGGCCTTGACATCGGTGTCTTTATTTCCCCACCCAAACAAAGTTCGGCAGGAATATACAGTAGAGAAGCTGACTAACAGTCCGTCCGTCCGTCTGTTTGCCAATGCCATCCCACGGGTGTAGATTTTGCCAAAAGGAGACCATACTACAGTATTGTACTATTTTCTGGTTATTTCTATCGTGTAATGCATGTTGAATAATACGATAAAATATGTTTTGTCCGATGTGATTTGCTACTCCGGGAGCTGCTATATTTCTAGTTATCATAACTATTTGCAATAACTCTAGAAATAATCTCCAGATTGGTATTTATCAAGATACAAGATGGTAAGACAGTTGACAATGCAACTAATCGAAAAAAGGCCGCTTAATTCAATTTCATTTTTAACCTCCTAAAAGGAATGTTAATTTAGTTTGAAATATGTTGTGTTATCGATACCAGGAGGAATTCTATGAAACGGCTTATATCATGAGAGCAAATCAATCATACACGGATGCCATTCTCCGATAAATGTGACTAGAATGATTCCTAGTGGATGAATTTGGTGGTGCGGGATTTGAGCAATAACTAAAATATGAGATCAATTGTATTTATAATTAAGAGATAATCCTCTGGTTAATTTCAATGTCATATTTATCCGTTTTTCAGTTCAGGAAGTACATGTAGTCTTGCTTCAAGACCCTTATCTACTTCAACTGTTGTTGAAGTTTAGGGGAGGGGGGAGGTCTTGAAGCAAGACTTTTCAGACATGTCAGAAAGGTATTTCTGTTGAATCGAGTGAAACATATTATATAGAGAATAATAGAACAATAACGTCATTTCTAAGGGCAGTTTCGGCCCAAGGTCCAATATTTCACTATATTGCTCGCAGAAATGACGTTATTAGTATTATTACCACCGTTAAGATATAGTAAAATGAACGCCTTCTAAACTAGCACTAAAACCCCTAGAACTGGCCCGCAAGGTGGTAATAATTCTTTTTGAAAAATTGTTTTAGTTTTATATTTTCGGGTCAAGTCATTTTTTGAAATCCACAATCTTCATACGTTTTAATGTTTCACTCATCTTTATATAGATTTTGTATTTTTGTGTTTTCTGTATTAGAGCTAAAGATATTAGTCTGAAAAATGACGTTCCTTTAAAAAAACGTTTTCCATTTTAAGAGGCATTCATTTTCTACATGCATATGGAGATTTTTCAAGTTTCAATATTTACAATAAAAGATCCATCTTTTGATATTTACATATGGATTAGAAAGACTAGGGTTATGTCGGGTGATAATATCAGCTATTAGTTCTTTAGATAACGTGGATTTAGCTTATTAAAGACATAGTAGTTGGCATCTCAGTAACTTAATTCTATAGGCACCATGGGATTTCTAAATCACTGGACAAATAAGATTATTGAAAACATTGGTGTCTAGCTTATTTAATTTGGTTCAATATAAACGATGGAGTATTCTGTAATTTCATCTGGTTAACTTTGGCGTTTTTGTAACCAGGGCAATTTGCGAGATGGCGTATTCTCTGTTCTTATTGTTCTACTTGGCACTTTTATAACGAGAGCTAATGCCGTAGTCAGCCTTTGCCTGGGGGGGGGGGGCAGTATCTAACTTTATCAAGTTCCCAAAATTTCTAGAGGTTCCATCTTTTCTAATGACGTGTCTGAAGTAATCATGTTTAAAAATAAAAACATGCTTGTAAACAAAAACATAAATAAAAAACAGATCTCTTCAAATACTATTTTATATTCCCTCGAAGATAGCTTATTGTTTTGAAACCTCAATATACGATATAGCATTTCATTGAATCGCCTCAGCCTATTATTGTACAGCGATTATATCTATGAGGATAAGGGATTCCATAATTGGATTCATTTAGCAGTCAATCTGATCGTGTCAGCTCGAGTAGACACCACATCACTCATCCCAGTTCTTAATCACTGCTTCACATCCAGATGGGATCAAGTAGGGGTTCTGTCCATCCGACTGTGCATGTCTTTTATTACTATGAAACCGTTCAATCAGTTCCGCTTGAATGACCTTATTTGTTGCATCATAAATTGGAACATATACTAGAATAGTATCTAGATTTTAAAAAACAGGGTAGCAGTATATTACACAGAAACCCTTTACAGATATATTCAACAGAGCAAGACGCAATAGTTCAAGTAAATCGGGTATTTGCTCGTATATTAATCACACACTTTAACTTCTTAATGTAATAAGATTAGGGCCCAACAATAAGGCTGAAACATGACTGTTACTATTTGCCCAAATAGGCTATTACCCTATTTTTGAAGTAATTGGCAATGATCCAATTGTGATTTTAAAGAGATAATTCCCGATTAGAATAACATATAAAGCACATCAATACAGTTTTTGCAATGATGATTTCTGTCTTGTCTGATAATGACGATCTTCAATTCAATTTTCATTATGTCTTGTTTATATGATTAGGGCTGGCTAGATACATTTTCTTTTAACAACTTTCTGTGCTGATTCGTGACAAAACTGATCACAAATTTGATCCTCTACCACATCTGTACCAGAAGAGTCAAAAAAGAAAATACGTTTCAATAAAAAATCTGATTTAGAATTCATATCACATCTATAACAAGATAAGCTCCATGCCTGAGAATATAAAGCACTGGGTTATTACACTATTTTGTAGGCATTATATGGATCAATTTCTAAATCCTGTGATAATTTAGTATTTTTTCAATATCAACCCAATTTCCTCTGCTTAAATTGACAAATTGACATCCCTTTGTAGACGCGAAAAGACACTCTCTTGTCACTATGCAATGAGAACTGATCACGATAATAAAAGATTTAAAGCACAGGCCCTTAGCCAGGGGAGGGGGGGGGTTCGAAGGGTTCGAGCGAACTCCCCCCCCCCCGGCCAAGAAATCTTTCAAAATCATGCAGTTTTTCAAATTGTCACAAGTGAACCCCCTGGAATTTTTCAAAGTGACCCACCCCCTTTGCAAATCCTGTTTACGGGCCTGAAGCACATATATAGTAGCCCCCTGGCCTAGCCTTAGACTGAAAGGTTTGATTATCTTCAGAATTAGTAAAACTAGAAAATCATAAAGAAAGTGTCGACTATTTAAACATTTCTTATTTGAATCGATAAATTAGATTGCACCAGTTGAGGAACTATTGTCTACAATGACTACACCTGTACGTGAATTATAGTTTTAGAATTGAATACTACAAAATGAAGGAGTGGACATTATCAAAATAAAAAGGAACATTGCTCGAATTGGCCTGTATTGTAAAACTACCTGTACACGTATATTTCATTAGAATTCATTTTGCTTGCCTAGAAAATACCTTTGACTCTTGAAATTTGGCGTTTAGAAGGGAATTTTCCATTCAACGATCCCAACGAGTAGTTTTATTTTTGACAAATATCTGAACAAATAGTTCATATTTCCAATAATCTAACAATTCAATTTATTGATGAAATTCTCCACATTTTTCATCGTATACATTGTATAAAGTAAAAGTGAATACACGAAAAGAAGTTCCTAACTTCTAATGTAAAATCGAATTTTTCCGATCTTGGGAAAATACCACGAAACGAAAAAAATACGTGGAAGAGGTAATTTGGAGGTCAACTATGAACTATCTCTTCTTCATTTTGAAATTTATCGGATGCCTTTTTGGGAGATTTTCATGGAAGTTATGACTGTCTCTCTCGGAGATGATCATGAAAGAGATGCATTAAAGTTACACGATATCTTTAGACTGAATGTACAATAAAAACATGCATGTACAGGCTTAGTGTAAACGTGGGTCCGAGAAATGTAATATATGCAGATGATTCCAAACATGATGTACTGGCCTTGCTATGTGAGGCCTGCACAATATCTGCAATAACCTCATTTGTTGAGTTTAAATCCATTTTGACAGTTATGAAATCCATAGGTTTGGGAGTTGTTTTCGTTGCATAATGTATTTCCAAATATTTCTTAATGGTTCTTGCAAGATCCTCTGCATACCTGGAGATTGTTTCTCTGTGACGTAAAATCATTGGGGTCTCTATTTGTATGGCATCAATGAGACCACCGTATCTGGACCCATGGCGTCGTGTATTATACCCTCCTCTGTAGTACTTCCTTCCCTTGGGGCTAGGGAAGTTTGGAGATGGAATGGTTTTGTAAGAAAACTCTTGAAGGATTCCTCCGAAGCTTGTCTTTCCACGAATTAACTCCTCAAATGATACATCTGCATATTGAGCAAGGCTCCTTATAGAGGAACTATTTGGGTTTAGATTACCAGCATCTAGGATATCATGCCGATATAAGTAACCTAACTCTACCCAACCTTCCGGATGACTCTGTCCGTGAAAATCAAACAAAATTCCTCGTCCATGGATTGACGCCTTTGCATGTCCTATATAGTCATGGAAGTCCTCCCAAGCCGCCTTGGCGTATGTATTGTTGAATGCCGCTTCTTCAATTGCACGATTGGCATCCATCTTTGATCTATGTAAATGACTGATTATCACATGGGGCCTTTTCCCAAGGAATACCTTAAGGTCATTTGCTACTCTCTTTGCAAGATCTATAGTCAACGCATCACTTGACAAAACAGGCGCACAATTCTCAGGGTCCCGTTTCTCAACACTACAGTTGTGACTCCATCTACATTCATTTTTATCCTTATCATAGTCGCAGCCATTGTGCCGATCTGGAATATCTGGTGGTTTTAGTCTTCCGCCATGTGGAATTATTATTATAACATTTAAGTCACCCGATATGCACTCCGTGTAGCCATACCTTCCGAAAACTCGTTTATAATCTCCCGCCAATGTTGCGAGAAAAAGCATAGAGATTGTGATAAGAAGCAGTAATGAATTTGTGATCTCTGCCTTCATGTTGGCGTATATCTCTAGTCTGGATGAGGTTCCCAATACTACAGTACATTTACGCCATTCAAATCCCCATATTAGTTTCCAAATCAGGCATGTATTGTTTTCAATTTCCTCAAATCCCTCTTACTTATATCCTCCCGCTGGTAGCGCAAAACTTTCCCTATTGGAATTGGGAACATTCCGATTTTACACAACTGTTAATATATTGACTATTGAGTAACGATTTCTCTAAAGCTTTTTGGATAAAATATTTCCTATGAGGTATTAGTCTGTCAATAAGGACACATTCATTCCTGATTTTAGCATGTGTCTTTGGAGATGTCTTTAAAACTCAACGTATCTCTGTGATGTCATCGTCATCCTCCTAGTCATTACAATCAACACAAATCGATAGACTTAAGAATCTGCTGTTCTTTTTCTAATACCCATTTTATCCAATTCAATTTCCTATTTGAAATAAAGAGCTAGCATCAAAACGCTAAATAGAACCATTTACAAAACCAATTCTCTGTTATTTTTGGCTTCGTCTTATCAATGGCTTTGAGGGGATTGGAGACCTAATTATCTCAATTTCCACGAAATATCCTGCACGGGGATTGGGATGTTTGAAATGATGCTCTATACTTGGCTGGAACTGACAAATTAGATTCGATCAGAACATATCGAACTCTAAAAGAAAATGAACCGTGATGAATTTAACAAATATGGTGAAACAAACGATGAATCGTATTGCTTACTACTGCAAATTAAGCCCACTGTGATTACATTAAGCAATACATGTTTCTACGATTCAACCAGTGTCGTCCAAAACTTGACACAAAGGTAACAATAAAAGGCAGGACTAATGTACTGCCGAAGTAAATGACAACGAACATTAACAAGCCTCTGGGGGCGACTTAGTATATTTTTATATCTGGTATACTCTTTTTGGGTTCCACCCTTACGCAGTGGCAATGATTGCCAAACGCAAACCCCATGGTACATAATTGGAAATAAAGAGAAGTTGTCTTGGTTGAAAGAAGGTCAAGCTAACATTGAATTAAATTAGATCAGATCTCCCTCAGGCTATTCAGTCTACTCTGCTGTTTGATCCACTAAAGTTGAAACTTGTTCAGTCTTTTCAAATACGGGCATATTAACTTGGAGATTACAAAAGTACGATGATCTGAAAACTACGTCATATCACCCAGCATCGAATGGAGCACTTCAACGGAAGCACACGCGCTTCATCCCTTATCGGATTAGTATCTGGCTTTCGATTATCTTAATCAAAATATAGAAAGTCTGGGTTTTTAAGAGCTATATTTACAAAGTAAATTAAGATTTTTTTAAACATAAGAGATTCTGCGTCTTCATTCAAAATAAGCCTTGTGCTAGTTGTGTCAAGAGTGATTATCTCTGGGCCAGCAATTCCTTGATGATCTTTATTTTGATACAGGTGAAGAATTTTTCATGAAAGGGTTAGATCTCCAAGAGCTGATGGTCTGCTAATTTTTCAAATGTCGCTTATTGTGTTTTCTGATCATATTGTTATAAACTGTTGATGTCTAAGGTGACTTTAACTGGGGCCACTATTAATTTATTTGGTATGTTTTAGCCTAAAAAGAGTCTTCAGAGACATATTCTGCCCCCCTCGGTCAGATTGCCCAGACTAATGGATACAATGTCGTTCAAACAAGATTAATAACATGGATGATAGATTGGTCTATTTAAGAAGGCCGTGTCATGCATCAGTGATTGTTATCAACCGGGAATGTATTTCAAACTAGATATGATGTGATAGTTAGATTTTGTGTACTGCAGAGCAAGTGAACATTGTTTGGTGATATTAGGGTACATTGTAATCATCTAACATGCATGACAATTTAAGGTACTTTCAGCAAAATCTGGGAAGTGTCATTTCGACACATTTTAAAAAAAATATACTGATTTTGGACTATTTGTTCTACCATAACGTGTAGATATTCACAGAAAATGTGATACGTCAAATAATGGATGGAATAAAAGAATTATCATCATGAGGACCGAATTTACCGTAATATACTTTATTTTCAAAGATGTGAAATGTAAACTTGTATCAAAACTCCAACTAATGATATTGCGTGGACACAATCATCGTGTTAATCCTTACAGGCGTCACAATTCATGACACTGGAGTGCAGCATTTTGAGTAGGTTGCATTCCTGTACTTGTTTGAAATGTAAATCAAACTTCACGCTTCATATGTTAAGCAATGAGGCATACTGTGATGTATTCTATCCAAATATTGGCAGATCTGATTCTATTAAAAACTCATAGCTCACTGAAAAGCCTTGTATAATCCCAGAATTACCATCAGAAAGTAAGATAGTTCAACAATTGAAAAAACACAGTTGGTTAGCCATTAGGGTATTAATGCAAAGATCAACCATGTATCTTGTTTATAATCCAATTACTGGTTTATAAAGAACGATACCAGATGGTAAAATAGGAATTTGCTGCATATTAAACGAATCTCTCTGGTTCCAGTCGATTTTTATGGGATTCTTGGCCATCCCTGGGGTGTGTTTAGGTTCATTAGTGCTTTTGATCAATAAATACTGCCATTGGAGGCAATGCTCCGCTAGGCTAGTGCATCTTAATTCTTTGTACATTTTAGAAATTTTTGAAAGTACCCATTCAGGCTGCCATTGTCATCATGAGAAAGCATGGCCTTTTCCGATCGAAAAATTCCAAAACTCACAAGAAATGATATCGTTCGAATCTTCTGAACTGTTTATTTCGAATTAATAGTCGGTTTTAATTTCAGAAAATAACGACATTACGACATTTTCATTGTTGGAAAATATCGAGTTTCGATCCTGGGAGCCAATCCTCCTTGGTTTCATGATGAAAACCACTTTAGCTAATATTGTAGTCTTATTTTCCAATGATTTCAAAATGTGATGTGTGAAACTGTTTTTAAAAAGTGGTTTTTGAGGGACATTTTGTTCGAAAAATCGTGAATTTATTCAGAACCAAATTTTTGAGCTCACATATAATAATTGACACCATGGGCTTTCAATCTGTCAATAGAAGGGTAGGCAGGTAGGGTTAGGACGTTTCACGTTCTTTGCAAAACCCCACAAAACCAATCCTTCTTCCTTAACTTATAATTTGATCACAAACCAGGGTCCCTTGTTGAGCTCATTGTGTGGCATAAGACCATACCCATACCCAATGGCTATAACAATATATGGTACTCATTACTTTATGTCAGATCATCGGTTCACTTGTATTCCACAAAGGCATTTATTACACTGTTATGTCATTTATTGCAATTTATAACTGGCTTTTAATATTAATTTATACAATCAAATTGCCTATTAATGTCACTTTGAATTATTTTCTGTGGAGTCTAGTCGATAATTGGTTTCTTAAAGAGAAAAATACCAATACTTTTTATTCACTTGGGACTTAAATGTTGTTAAGTAAGTTTCAAAAACAATGTCATTTCACAAGTTTACTTAAAGCCCTCCTATGCAGTCCTTCTCACAATATATAAGTCCCGTTGTTCATGTACCATGTAAAGTATATTTGTTATTTTGGTCATATATAATATATTTGTACTTTTGGTCATGAACAATGATGTTAATGTCATTGGTCATGTACAATTTTTTGTCCTGTTGGCCATATACAATATGTTGGTTCTTTCGTTCTTTATGGTCATGAACAATGATGTTTGTATCATTGGTGATACACAATATATTTTTCTTTGTGATGTGCAATATATTTGCAGTGTTTTCATCTTACAATATGTTTGTGCTGTTGGTCATGCATAATATATTTGTTTTGTATGTCATGTACAATGTTTTGTTGATCTTGGACTCTTTATTTGTTCTTTTAGTCATGCACTGTATGTTTGTTCTATTGGTCATGTTACAAAATATTTGTCCTGCTGTTTGTCACATATACAGGGTGGTCCAAAAAAAATTGGAACATTTGTTAATTGAACACAAAACCTTTATTTTTCCTCTGAAATGCACCAAAATTTTACTGAGTATAGTATCTCTCTGATGTTAAGTTTATAGGTGCAAGCCACAAAGTTGATGCATTAAACTAGTCAATATTTGACATGACCCCCTTTTCTTAAATATACACTTGTCAATTTCGCCGCTACTTTTTCAAGTTTTCTTTATTTCAACACTTTAATGAACATGTTGATTGCTATACACATTTTATAAAATCATATTTAGTTGACAAGAGTTATTTACATCTATGGTTTACTAGAAAACTATTGTGTTATTGTTAACTTAAGAATACCCCAAATCATTATTTTTATTCAAGAGTACGAAAGAAAGAACATGTAAGAGTGAGTGATTGCATAACCCATACAGCTACTAAAGTGACAAAATCATTGTTTCCACTTTTCAGTAAAGGGGAAACTGACCAGTTATTTACAAGGCTTTATTCAAGACCACCTCTAAGCACATATAATATATCATTTGTGTTCTGGGAAACTCCTTTATGATATTGATATATTCAGAACAAGAAAGGGGGAGGGGGGCTCATTTACCAGTCAAAACAGACTGCCCTGGCCTCTTTCTTGAGAATATTCAATCAGTAATACACCTAACAATAGCCATCAAAATATGCTTGATACTACCCATCAATTTGTGTAAAAAATGTTGAATGTGTTCACATATTTGATCTTCCAAAGCAAACATATAAGTAGTTTGTTCAAGCTGAATTTTTTAATCAAGATGGCTTGGACAAAATCAAACATACAGCAAGAGTGAATGAATCATTTCAAAACTGAGTCCCAGGCTTCAACTTGTAATTCAGGAGTTTAGGGGTCATATCAAACATTGTCTAGTTTAATGCATTACCTTTGTTGTTTGCACCCATAAACTTTACATCAGATAAATAAGTGACCGAACTCTGCTCAGTTAAAGTTTGGTGCATTTTAGAAGAAAAATAAAGGTTTTGCGTTCAATTATCAAATGTTCCAATTTTTTTTGGACCACCATGTATATATATATATTTGTTCTTATTTTTGTTCTCTTGATCATGTGTTGTGTTGCTCACACAATATACGCATACACATACTGTCAGTCACATAAAGCATTTGTCCTGTTGGTCACTTACAATATATTGGTCTTATACAATATATTTTCCCTATTGAATGTGTAACATATTTGTAAAGTAAGTCATGTGCATTCTACAATATATTTGTCCTGTTGGTATTGTACAATATATTTGTCCTGTTGGTATTGTACAATATATTTGTCCAGTTTGTCATGGATCTTGTCAAGGTGTTCATTTTTTTCATTCATTTTTGGGATATCACAAATATGCAATGAATATCAATGTTAATGTGAACTTCCAAATCTTAAGAGACAAGAAATATTAAGGCTTGCAACACTGACATGTTAAATACACAAAAAATGTATAATGGGGTGGAAATCGTGTGTTTCTTCATCCGTGTAACACTGTCTTAGAAAGGAAATGAAATCTATTGTTTATAGCTTCGAAATGACATCAAGGATACTTAATGTCAGTCTTTGGATTTGCAATAATCGCTAAGCGTCGCATGGGAATGTCATTTAAAGAGATATAAATCATAAAGTGTGTGTGGTGCAGTTTTGGAAGATAAGAAAGTATTTATGAACGCACAAGGATTGTTTTGGTGTCGTTTTTTAAGGTCATAAATTGAACAAATAAGCGCATAAAATTAGTTCCAAACACAGTTTCGATCACACTGTGAACGAATGGATGTAACACTTTTCATGATTTAAATCTCTATAAACGATCTACTTATTAAAGTTTCGGGATACTTCGTGTCAAATGATCAACGTCATCCTGGTGGCCAAGATCAGTACCAATTTAACCAGCCCAAGTCAGAAATACTGAAAGAAGAACATAACGATGAAATGTCACAATAAGTTAGTTGTTTAGGTCTATGCAAGCAGTAACTACTGTAAAACACATTGAATTCGCGGAAGCGAATTTGTTGATTTGTTTCTTTTCGAGTATTCATGATTTCACGAATTACCAAACAGAAACCTGTATTTTTTTTCAAATATAATTATATGGGCGTTAATATTGTGAACCATGAATTAAATTATTCATATAAATTAGTAAGACTACCCTGAAAAAATGAATAATCATACGCACGTTGAATGGGGGGGGGGGGGGTCTGGCTAATTTATAAATCATTTCACAAGAAAAAACGATTGCTTCGTTTATCTGTTTAATATATTTGTAAGAATATGATTAATATATTTCAACAATAAATCAAGGATATTATTACATTTGCATCTAAACTTTGGATTATAATATAATATATATAATATACAAAAACATTAAACATAATGTATATTTCTCTGCTCAGAGAGCCTTACATCAGAGAATCATTAAAAAATTCTAAATATAACAACAAAACATATATCTTATTCTTATGGTATACCGGATATACTGATTGTGCTTGTGCATCTAATTAACATCACAAAACATCCTAAAGTGAACATGTCCTAAAATTCAGAATACCAAAGTCGCATCGTATATTTAGAGGTTCAGTACTGTTATTTATCCCATACTTGGACGTGTTACAGGTACATAAAGCCGGTTTGTAAAAACTTATATTTTCATCAGCGGGCAGATATAGCTTTACGTCCCGCTCCGAGCGGGCAGATATAGTATATCTGCCCGCTACGTCATAATCGCTGTTCCCGTATTGATTCTTTTTTGTAACGTACTGTAAACGACAATGGAGAAAAACGCAAACAATCGCGATCTGTTTGATGCTTTTAAGAAGGGAAGGAGCAGTATGCCCCATTAATAATCAAAGATTTGAACAGGAAAATCCGGCTACGGACAATAATACAAAACTGGACATGAATATTTTTAAATAATTCCACGGTTGGTTGCAAAGTTTCTGAACTGTGGCCAATTGAACAATGTGATTGGTATGGGATAAACAGATCATCCTATAGTCGGTTCCGGATATTTGGATTATCCCTTGGCCAATATAATACATCTACCCTCGGGACCTACGGCCCTCGGGCAGATATATTATGTTGGCCTCAGGATAATCCCAATATCCTGAACCTCATATAGGATAATCTCTATATATACCGAAGACGTGAATATACCCGGGTGAATATACCAGTTCTACCAATAAACTCTGACCTTTGGGGGTTCTCCATATGGCATATTTAAAGTTACAGGTTATACATATTCTGTTACCAAGGTTACAATACAATGCAAATCGCAATTGTAATAAATGCATTTGCTTTGTTAAGTTTGTAATACTTTTTTACATGTTCTGTGCCTATTTTATAATAAAAAAGCAAAATACTCTGTGAACCTACAGATGCCCTAGTATGATATGTATGAATACAATAACATAGCCTCAAGGATGACCATTCAGCTGCCAAGTGTATAACGGAGAATTACATTTTAAACAGTATGCACACACAACCCTATAAAACTGATTACAATCTCAACCGATACTAAAATGAAAATTGAATCGGATGGCAAAATGCTTTTTCTGTTTTAAAAAACATGTTAATTGTTAGAACTGTCACATGGCCATTAATTTAGCTTATGGCAGATACCTTGATAAAATCCTTTACATCAATACTGCCACATGGTCATTAATGTGCCTGGACCCAATGGGCGATAATATGAAATTTGTTACACTCTCATCCAAGCATTATCGTAGCAGATAATTTATAGGGTTTCTCTTTTCACCACCTGTCAAAATATTAAAGTAAGACAGAACAAAATCAAAATTTTAATATATAACCTGACTAGTTATTTGACACAAAAGTTAAAACTTTTTGGAATTTGATCTTGGAGCAACTTAGGATTGCAAACCCTAAAATCAACTTCTTGTAATAATGAAGTAAATATATAAATGAGCAATAATATAAAACTAAAACCACACGTATAACAATATACATTTACCTGTATGAGATATCTCATGAATATAAAACCTTTAATTGAAGATACTATTATTATACTGAATCTTCATATAACATATTCTTTAATAAAAGATTTACAATTCTTGTAAAAATGTCCCGCATGCCATCTTCAGAAACTAACATATTTTCTGAAGATTAAAAGAAAAAATTTGAGCCTTTGTTATGAGCTTTCTCTTATGTAGACCAATTTTATGAAGCCAGAAATTTTTTTCCAAAATTACCATTGCCTTGTTTAGGGTAAAAAGTTATCATCCCACAAGATCTAATGGTGATTGTCAAGTCCGTTTACTCCACTCATGCTTCAAATAAACTTTGTTCTCTGTTAGCTATTGCAATATTGTAGTTTTCATGTTGTATTTTGTCATTCCTCTCCTCAGGACCTTGTTGTAATACACTGTGGTGTTGGTGTCTCAGATATATACAGTTTTACTATTTTAATCTTGATCTTGGACTGTGTGACATTCGTTTCTTACTTCCTGTGTCCTTCTGAAATAATACAAATAACTCATTATTTAAGGTAAAACTATATAGTACGTAACACAAGTTTTTGTAGCTTTCTTTGATATTTTTCTACAGAACATCAAAGAATGAAACAAAAATGTGTGAGGGGTACTAAAGATTTAATGCCAATACAATGCATATCATGATTGAACATATGAAAATAAAAACAAATGCTTTGGAATTATATTTTTTGATGTCAATCTGCTGTCTTTGATTCTTCTTCAAAACATTGTAAAACCAGTTTTCCTCTGTTTTTCTCATGAAATTAGTACTGTCTAAAAAGTTATTCCTTATATACAGGGTGGGGCAAAACAAAGCAGAACAATCTTGTGAATCGTGAGTAAATTCAGTAAGTATAGGGTGTCCAAGAAGAAAGGAACCAAAGTATTAGGGAGATACCTCTGGCTTTTCTGTAATTGATGTAAAACATCATGTGTTAATATATATACAATGGATTATTCAAAATTGTACATGATGCTATGTAAAGTGAATGGTACAGTTGATTGTAAATATGAAGGTTTAAGGAAAGAATTTTAGAAATTGATGAATGAATGCAAAAAGAAATATTAACCAAGCCCAAAATGTCTGTTTGCCTTGGCTTGGGTTTCATACACATTGTTTGTAATAGTATATTTACTAACTGTTCTTAATTGAAAAAATGAAATAAGAAATAAAGAATAATTGAATCAATTAATATTTAATCAAAATATAATTTGCCATTACTCACACAACTGACAAATGACAAAGACATATTTAAGATTGTTTTGTGATTTTCAGAAATGTTAGTTTGGTTAAATTGGCTTTACAAATGTCAATTGATGGCAGGATAGTACTGTTTTAAAAGTATTTGTGATATTGTGACTCACAATGTTTGGTTACCTGGTAAGTTAGTCTATTTATAAGCGAATCATATCACAGGTATCTATGTTATATGAATGGTTATCTTTCAGCCAATCATATCGAAGGTATCTATCTACATTATCTAATTGGTTATCTTTCAGCAAATCATATCATAGGGATCTATCTATGCAATCTAATTGGTTATTTTTTAGCCAGTCATATAAACGGTATATATCTAAGTTCGTCTGATTGGTAACACCTTTCAGCAAATCATATCATAGGTATCTATTCATGTTATCTGAATCTGATTGGTTATCTTTGAGCCAATCATGTCACAGGTGTCTATCTATGTTATATGATTGGTTATCTTTGAGCCAATCATAACACATGTATCTATCTATGTTAGCAACACTTATGATGAGTTTAACAAAAAGTTATCCAAGTAAAACTTTTATGACTGTAAAGTTAATTGTAACAAGAACACAAATGTGTACAAAATGTCCCCACCAAGTGGTGATCCCGTGAAATGGTTATCCTGAAAATGAGTAGACAAGACTTTACCAACACAATTTGAGGACGGAAAATCCAAAGTGGCCACCTTAAAATTTACCCAGAATGCCAAAAATTTAGTCAGTTCTAGATTTTCATACTAAGAACCACCCCTGAAAATTTGAAATTGATCCGTCACACAGTTAACCAGAAAACATGTAAACAAGACTTTACAGACAAGATTTCAGGATGGAAAATCCAAAATGGCTGCCTTGACATTTACCAAGAATGTCAAAAAACTAATCTGTTTGTAGATTTTCATACTAAGAATCAGCCCTGAAAATATGAAATTGATCTACCAAACGGTTCACCTGAAAACGGGTAGACAAGACTTTACAGACAAGATTTTAGGACAGAAAATCCAAAATGGCTGCCTTAACATTTATGCAGAATGCAAAAAAAGTAATCAGATGTAGATTTTCATACAAAGAATCATCCCTGAAAATTTGAAATTGATCTATCAAACCGTTCTCCTAAAAACGCGTAGACAAGACTTTACAGGCAAGATTTTAAGACGGAAAATCCAAAATGGCTGCCTTGACATTTACCCAGAATGCAAAAAAACTAATCAGTTCTAGATTTTCATACTAAGAATCATTCCTGAAAATTTGAAATTGATCTACGAAACAGTTCACCTGAAAACGAGTAGACAAGACTTTACAGACAAGATTTTAGGACGGAAAATCCAAAATGGCTGCCTTGACATTTACCCAGAATGCCAAAAAACTAATGAGATCTAGATTTTTATACTAAGAATCATCCCTGAAAATTTGAAATTGATCCACCAAACGGTTCACCTGAAAACGCGCAGACAAGACTTCACAGACAAGATTTTAGGACCGAAAAATCCAAAATGGCCGACAATAAAAAAGTCCTTATGAGTTTTTGCTGATTTCTTTTTACAAAATTATCACATATAACTACTGTTAACAATAAAGTAGGCTTTTACAGCAAAGTACATCTGAAATTATTTATAAAGCTACTAAATAGTTAAAGTATGAAAACTCAAAAACACCATTCAATATGATACAAAGTATTATCGCGCGCTAACTTTTCTTAAGACATTCAAAATGGCTGACATGACTGAGCTAGCAGTTCCAAAACCTAATCAGATCTAGAATGAAGTGAGCTGAACAAGATGTTAAAGTTTTAAAAGCAACTGTGAAGCAGTTTTTCTTAAAGTTTGCAGACAAGGATTTTAGCATTCGACTTCAAAATGGCCGACAGGAAGTAGGTATCGAGTTAATTTTTTTTATCCACATCTGTATGCACTCATAAGTTATCCCTGAAAATTTGAAGGTGATATCTGTAGCGGTTTTGGAGAAAACTGCCGGATGTACGGACAGACAGACGGACAGACAGACGGACAGACAGACGGACGCGCAATTGCAATTAGTATATTGACCTTGACCTCTATTGTGTGCTCTCAATCATGGTCTCATGAATGTGGCACTTTGACTCCTATGCCGTCTCAGTGAAGGAAGTAATTTATACGATTTGAGACAGTTTTGAGGCAGCTAGTTAGACACATAAGTACAATGTGAGATTGATATTGGATGGATAAAACTATACCTAAAGTGTATGTGGATTGATCCTCCTAAAGAATTAAAAATTAAATAATAATAATTAACTTAATTTTTTTAACTTTTTATTTTGTAAAAAAATATGTTTCATAGTTTCATATATGTGCTAGCAATTAGATCTACATTGAGATACAATTCAGTTAAAATTCATAATTCAACTAAATTTACATTTTAACCTCATTTAAAAAGTTCATAATGTAACTGTAATTACAAGTGTATGATACTCTATGTCTCTAGAATTCCACATTAACCTTTACCATGCTGCCTTATTTCAGCAAATATATCCCACGCAACTGGCTTATTTTTCAAAGAGAGCAAAAAATGATATCCCTGGACTAAATAATTAATATCTCAATAACTACTGAATGAATCTGGATAAAATTTTCACAAAGGGAAGATACAGTGGCCTGGCTCATGAAAAAAAATGTTCTCATGAATTTTTTCGTACATTAACACGACTGGGCATAAATATACCATGAATACTCCTCCGGAATCCGCCGCTCCGCCTCTTCGTCTGGTCAGAATCCAAATCTGAATTTGCAGTGATCGAATGTTCAATTTTTCAATTCAGAAAATATTCTAGTTTCTATTTTCGATGACCGTTATCGGCTTCCAAAAGCCTAAAGAGCTCGAAATCGTAATCCATTTCCTCCACATTTTCGTTGTGATCGTATTTGTCCACCATTTTGTACGATTCGTTCACTAAAAACGACTAAAACACTGTTTAAATTGTTGAATTGAGAATTATTTTTCGAAATATCGCCATTTCTAGGTCAACAGGAAGTCATGTTAGGCACTGAATAAATCGGGCAATCTAATTGGACAATACGAATGGGGCGAAAAAGTAAAGTTTTTAAAAGTTTGAAATCGGGCGTACGGGTCCGCCGGCAGTTGTGAGAGACATTTTAGTCTCGGCGGACGCGTCCGCCGGCAGCACGCTAAAGGTTAATTAATGTTTGCTAGATGTTTTAAGTTCTCAAATCACTTATCTGTAGAACGCTTGAAGAATCAAAATTTGAGAAAATTAAATATCATCTAATTAGACCTGCCATGTTAGAAATTCATGTTTCCGGAAAACATCAGATAAATGTTGAGAAATAAGTACCTGATTTTGTATGAGGGACAGATAGGCATCAGTGGGTGGCTTGGGTAGGGGCCCTCTCTTAGATATTGGTTTGCTCCCAATCTCAGTGACGTAATCATAGTTCCTCTGTGGTAAGGGTGGAGGCACCTAAACAAGATCAAAAGCACAAAATTTCAATAGCGTGTGTGAGATTTACATAGGGGGGTTGAATATAGGTTTTATCCAGAAGGACAATATGATATTTCGTGAAACATGAGGAAATATTATGAAGGGAAACTTCAGGCAAATAGGTATATGTTCCAGTTAAATAGACATCTGTTCCATTTAGATAGGTGTATATTCCAATTATATAGGTAGGGCACTCAAAATACTCTGAAGACTCTAAATTAGCATTTTGTACTGCTATTAGGCAGACACAGACAAACTTTACCAATGCAACTTTATGTTAACATGTCCATAACCTTAACAATTTTATAATGTGCTATTAAACAAACTAGCATTTTGGACTGCTATTTAATTAAGAATCAGACACCAACAAAATACACCAATGCAACTTTATGTTAATATGTTACCACTATGTCTACAATCTTAAGTTAGCAATTTACTACTTGTAGTCAGATTGAAATACAGGGTGGGCCAAAAAATACATGTAATCAAATACACATAAATGTAACTTAATGTAATACCAACCACTACATCTACAAGTTTAAGTTAGCAAATTACTGCATTTAGCTCAATGTTGTCCAGTTCCACATTTGTAACTTGTGTTAGCTTAATGCAGGTAGTCAAATCATGCTAGTCAAATACAACTTTGTATGCAACTTTGTGTTATTGTATAATGCCAAGTAGTCAAATACATTCAAATGCAACTCTGTGTTAGCTTAATAAAGTACATGTAGTCAAATCACACCAATGCAACTTTGTGTTAGTATATACACAAGTAGCCAAAGTATGCTAGTCGAGTAAACACCAATGCAACTTTGTATTAGCTTAATACAAGTAGTCAAATCACACCCATGCAACTTTGTTTTAGTATATATGCGCCAACAAGTAGTCAAAGTATGCTAGTCAAATAAACACCACTGCAACTTTGTATTACCTTAATACAAGTAGTCCATCACACCCATGCAACTTTGTTTTAGTATATACCCATGCAACAAGTAGCCAAAGTATGCTAGTCAAATAAACAACACTGCAACTTTGTATTACCTTAATACAAGAAGTCCATCACACACATGCAACTTTGTGTTAGTATTTACGCGCGCAACAAGTAGCCAAAGTATGCTAGTCAAATAAAGACCACTGCAACTTTGTATTACCTTAATACAAGTAGTCCATCACACCCATGCAACTTTGTTTTAGTATATACGCGCGCAACAAGTAGCCAAAGTATGCTAGTCAAAGAAAAAAACACTGCAACATTGTGTTAGCTTAGTACAAGTAGTCAAATCATGCTTGTCAAAACACAACCATGTAACTCTGTGTTAGCATATTACAATTAGTGAACCAAACAAGCAATAATACAATGGGACAGTATGTGTACCAGCTCATATGAAGCATCCTCGTCCCTCTGCAATTGCTCATAACCACCTGTAGACCGTCTACCTCCTACTGCGCCCTAACATAAGCGAAGCAAGAGAAATAATCAATGAATGTCATGCATAGCTTCACTATAGACATTCATAAAACTAACCAAATACAGAATGACCCAATATAAAATTACTCACATATTTCTGATTTTTTCCCATAGACTAGAAATTATTGAAAGCAAAATGCAACATTTTTTGAACTGATGTTTTATACCCATAATTCATAGTAACCACAGGAGGTTCAGTACCCATGATCAATAGCAATCATGCAACATACATGTATGACTTATTAATGAGCTTGTTTTGGCACAGGCCAACTGTGAACAGTGGCTTATCTTCTTTTCTCGGTTATTTCAAACAATTAACCTCATCCTAGATGCACGTAAAACTGTTTAAAGTGTTTTGAAAGCCCAAAAAATGAAATTCGAATCATTAAGCATTGAAACAACTTTACACAGACTACAATGTAATAATACAATTATGAAGTCCTGTATGATACATGCAGACATTTCCTGCAGTACATAATCACAATGCACAGAGTTATGCATTCCCATGCATCATGTACATTCCCATGCATCATAATTATAACAAAATGCAGCACATCTATATAATATCAAACCATAGGCATATAATCTACGCTATTCATAAACTCACCGATGCCACGCTATCTCCCCGTTCCAGCTCAAAATATGCAGATTCACTCAATAACTCATCATAATCGCACTGGCCCGTTGTCTGCAATAAAACAAAAATGCATCATCAAAATAAGAAATATAAATGCAACATACATGTATGCAATGTGGAGGTCTATCAAGATAAGATGAAGTTAAGGATCACCAAAAGAACTATGAATTAAAGAAATGAAGTTAACTCCCCAAATCCAAATGAGATAGAGAGCGGGATTGTTGGTAAGAGCGGCAACAGGCATATAGCCCTGGCAGAGATATATGAGAAGTGATATAGCTCCCATGAGATACAAGAGTGATGTAGCCCCTTTCTCAGATCTAGCCCCAACAAATACAAGTCAACCAACCTGTCCACATGGTTCTTTAAGGGTTCCCTTCCAGTTAGAAATGGGGACTTGCTGATGATGTTGCACGAGATCTGCTAGTGACTTGTGCACTTTAGCCTCCCCTATGATGATGTATTTACCACTGGGTGTCTGGTCTATCATATAGTGGCGACACCTATCTTCAGCCCTGAAATACGTTTAATTTTTAACATATCTGTAAGGTTGAAGGAAATGCAGATTGTCACTCAACGTTTTGGTGGTTTTGAGGTCATGTCTGCACTTCACAATTCAATATCAACTTCTGTAATAATTTGACACCACCTTGACCTTCTAATTTGCCTACCTTTTAGAGACTATTGTTTCTCAAAACATATTCTCTCAAAATCAGGAAATATGGTGATAAGCAGGGAGATTTTGTAGTGAATTTCAGTCACAAAAAAATAACGAGTGACAACTAACCCTTCCTCCGAGTGTAATTGATTACTTTTGTACTCAAATATAAGTGATAATATTAAAGCTTACTCTCAAAATAAGCGATTCGGTTGGTTTAAAAAACTCATCATTTATGCTATCAGGAATAAATTTCCCCTGTAAATGAATCCAGTGACCCACACTTGGTCTTAAGTGAGGACCATTATTCAAACAATCTATAGACATAAGCATACTTTTTCTACAAGTATTATTCCCATATCTGCAGTTCATCATCTTTCTTCATAAAAATTATTATTGAAATCAAAAATTATTTTACCTGAATGAAAGTGAGTAACCAAATCGACTCTCACTGACTCTGATTAAGAAGCAGCCCAATGATTTGTTCTCTAAAAGTCTCTCTGATTCCCTACAAATACAAGTTCATGTGGATTATAGGGATTTGAATCTTGTTGCTGTTAGAATACAATACAGAATATTGTATCTCCTACTCCTTTTATAGATAGAGATCTCCTAAATTCATACATCTAAAATAAACAAAATGTTTCTAAATTCATTCAATAATATAGACCCTTAGAGAGGGATTTTGTAACATCTTTATAGGATATTTATAAATCTCCTTAGGGATAATGTCCAGTTATCGACAGTTTTGGAATAACGAAGCTGGTTTCATTAGGGGGAGGGGGTAAATGATAATTTTGTTAGCGAATAATGTGGATCTTTTTATATTCAAGCGAAAGACAAATCAACACCTCAAAATCATTAGATGAGGGAGGGGGGAGGGGGTCAAAGCATAACCAAGAAGTAAATCCACAATTGTTGATGGACAGCATCCCTTATAAGTTTGCATATGTCACCACTCACTATGTAACTGTTCAAATTTAATTTATTTGTACTTTTATCAAAGTCATAATATATGTGTGTACCTGCGTGTTATAATACCATGGAACCATTCAAAGAATCCACCTGACGATTTCTGTAGTTTCATAGACTGAGTCTGCTGGAACCATTTAATTGACGCAGATTTGGTGCCGATACGGCCAAATTTGGTCATTCCTGAGGATTGTATTGGGGTGAAGTCATCCTCCAGTACATCAGAGTCTGAGCCACTGGAGACACCATCCTAAGAATATAACAAAATAATGGAAGTGAATGAGAGTAAGTAATGTGATTGGCTAAATAAATCATAATTAAGAACAAAATAATGGAAGTGAATGAGAGTAAGTAATGTGATTGGCTAAAGCAAGTCAGAACAGAATATTGAGAGTGACTGAAAATGTAAGTAATGTAAGTGAGTGAATAGATGCAATGTACAAGAAAATTGTAGAATTGTAAAACATCAGATTTTAAAATGAATAAAGTATTAATACTAAGAACACAGAATGACAGATATAAACACACTACAGTGATCTCATTTTAGAAATTCAGGATACTACAAAGACAATCCTGATCATCACGAAATAAATGTTGTCCTTACATCTCCATTGGATGCCTGTTCAAGTTCATACGTAGCTTCTGATACGGGTGTCATGGTAACTGGTGCTGGGGGCATACTTTTTATAGATGGCGGGGAAGGTTTTTCAAGGAAATAATCTGCAAATGAAAAAATGATCAAATGAATTCAAAGTACAATAAATGTTACCACATAATAGAGCAAATTTTTTCATTTAATAGTTGAACAATAATGAAAGTTGAACAAATGTTTGACATGAAATTATTGTTGGAATTAATATATGACCCTCTAGCTGTCAAGTTGTGAAATATATAATGGGGTCAATCCAAATAAGATATATATTGGGCAAAAAGCTGTCCATAAAGATCAAGTCTGTGGTATATGGTACCTAATGTTTTATATGCCATCTAGGGACCTCAAATAGCCCCCTTTCAATTTAGCCCCCTTTTAAGATTGGATATTTAAGGAATAGTACATTGTACATACCATTGGGAATGGTTTTATCTGTACTAATCATGGTTTGCTGTGTGGAATGATATGTCTTGGATGCTACACTGACTTGTTCAAGTAACTTTGCCAGTTGTTCAGCCTGCTTCAAAGCTTCTTGTTTCTTGGCTTTCACTCTGCACCTTGCTAGGAAACCACGAACACCTGGAAATATAATCAGGTTTTACAAAATTTCAAGAATGCTTCACTTGACAGTTCCAGTAACCTAAATGCCAACTGATCATTTGATATAAGGCAATGCTACATTGATATGAATGTGGGGGTTTTTCATACAATAGTTATCACCATATGCTGTGATTGGAGATTTACATGGGGTGGATTTTGGATTATAAAGATCAAAGGGATTACTTTCATAACACACCGGCTGTATGGTTTCACTTAATGTGAGACAGCTGAGGTTGGCTCTGTAAATATGCGCTCCAAATTACACCAAGAATGCACGAAGAACACCAAGTCACACCAAGAATGTTCCATTCACACCAGATAATTAGTGACAATATCAGTAGCACAGTTTTGATGGTCTACTTTCAAGTTAAGATTGTAACAGGATATAAATATGTGAATAATGTACCTCTCTGTAAATGTAAAACTGCCTGTGCTACACTCTGCAGTTGGTCTGCTAATGCATCCAGATGGTGGTACTTCAGGAACACCTTTGTTTTACTAAATACACAAAATGTAGACATATTGATGACTGGTCTATAAATTATTTATGTTTGCCAGACATGTCTGACTGCAAGTTAATTGAAAGAGTTGTGTAATAATTGTAACAATGAAAATCCCTTATAAAATTTGATAAAGGATAAAGTTAAAAAATGAAACAAGAAATAACATGTTAAATAGTTCTTAATACAATTTCAACTTGTAGGTCCACCCTGATGAGTATATTCATCCCACTGTGTGTACCTACTCAACATGCATTCTGATGAGTATATTCATCCCACTGTGTGTACCTACCTAACATGCATTCTGATATATTCATCCCACTGTGAGTACCTACCCAACATGCATCTGATATATTCATCCCACTGTGTGTACCTACCCAACATGCCAGCCTTGGAGTCCAGTTTTCTTCAGGATCCTCTCACAGTTGGCTCTGTCTCCTGCAGCTTTGCTGTCCACTAACAGAATCTTATACCTATGTTAAATCAGTAACATGTGCTTATGTATATATTCGTTGTAAATTGTACACTTATTTTCTCTTTTAAATTATGAAAACAATAACTTCTATCTCCATTTAAATACAATAATACAATACAATACAAGATACGCATTTATAGTAAGAACATCTTAGACAATTAATTCAAGTCTTATAACCTATATCAATATTTTCTCAAAACTTTGTTTCAGAACTTTTAGAATGTTGAGATCAGAACTTACAGTATAGTTGTTTCATTTCAGTGCGTATTCCTTCATACAAGTAAAGAATTTGAACGAAATATGACAAGTATTTTATCAATTTGAGCGAGGACTGTCAATGGTTAGTTTGAAGTTAATGATTAAAAATACAGTACATGTAAAATCTGCTACTTTTGAATTCATATGAAAGTACTTCAGATGTCTATTGATAAAATCACTTCCTTATAATAATACACTGCATTCACAATTGTCATGATTAAATATATTTGAATCAAAAAGCAACAAAAATGTGATTTGAATGATTTTACTTTCGTTTTATTTCACTGTAAACAGTTGAATAGGTATATTTTTCCATTGTTATACCAATTTTCTAAAATGTTTGACAGTTCTGAGTGTGTTCAATATTTAATAAAGAGGAGGGATCCCTTTTATAAAAAATTAACTTCCACATCTTAACTTCAACATTTTGATCAAATATCTAAATCTCTCAGAAAACAAAATGAGGTTTATAAGAGAAAGAGTGGCATTTTACACTCTATCCATCCAACTCCCTTGACAAGCTATGAAAAGTTGATTTTGTTCAATTGAAATATTTTTAAAATATAAACAAAAAAATGCAAAATGAAGGCAAAACAATGTTGTTCAGTTCTTTACAGGATTTACAAAAAGTATGAAATCTGTATATTACATTACATTACATATATTACATCTACTAAAATGTTCACCTTTTCAATGAATCCTCACTTACCACTAAACATCTAACTAAATATCAAATAAATAAATAAGATAAAAAAGTTGCAATCTTTAATTTTAAGAACAAACTGTGTTAATATTAATTCGTTATAACAACCCATGAGTGTTAATATGAAAGAAATCCCACTTAAATATTTATGTACATCCCATTCATATAATAAATCATCTTTCAAAAATTGCAGTTTAGTGTAACGAAAATAATAATGCATGCATACTTGTCTACAAATTCTTGAAAAGTTGGTCTGACTGCAAAACCCTCTCGCCTTATGTTAATTGTCTCGAGCATCCCGGTGTATAGCAGCTACAACATGCACACCAAAACATAACATAACATGGTATATAGTAGCTATAACATGCACACCAAAACATAACATAATATTGTATATAGTACCTATAACATGCACACCAAAACATAACGTAATATTATATATTAAGCAGCTACAACATGCACACCAAAACATAACATGGTAAACATGTAATAACTATATCATACAACTCTGCAGCATGTAAAATATATCCTACACTACACAAGTACAAGACAGATCCCAAAAAGATTGTTACATGTGACATGAAACAAAACATATGACAAAATGTAACCACCTGGTTGCAATTTGAAAAGTGTAACTCTATGTTACAGGTAATCAATGCTGAATGCCAAAAATTGGTCACAAAATGGTGGTTTATAGTATTGCCACCACTTACATAATGTATTGGTGGTGACACAAAAAGGATATACATGATGGTGTTTGTACTAGTGTAGCCTAGAATGTTCAACAAAATAAAATTGCCATGCAAATCATAGCTAATGTCACTAGGGGAGGGGGTATGAACTGTTAGGCGCAAGTTTTGTTAGGAAGATAAATGTGAATTTTAAAATACTTAAACCAAGTAATTCATGTTCATTTACAATTCCTATAGATCACCATGTTCCCTAACAGGATATACATAGTGAATATACAGGGTGCCAAATATCTTTCCTTCCCAGTTACAGCCTTCACAGCATTATGCAAGGGCGAACGTAATACCCGGAAAGTTCACAAATTGTTTTTTACTGCATCCGATCTGAATTAGCCAATTAAATAGAGACCAAAGCCAGTTCAGCACATATACACTTAGCACCGGGTATTAAACAAACTCTTGCATTATGGAGGGAAATAACACTGATGTGACATCCTGTATATTGGTACAAGTTATAACAGAAGGCATGCAGCTTAAGGATCTTAACATAAGGGACAATCAATTGCCCAACCCCTGTAAATGACCACACATCCTGAATGGGGTTGGACACTAGATGTCTCTCTAGCATGCAGTCTACGCAATGAGGCATCTAAAGGTTTTCTACTTGTGCAGGAATATGTGATGAGGGGGTCTCCAGGCAATGTTCCTAAAGCGCAACAAGCGGGCGGTGGAAAGCATGCTTGTATAAACCATCTACAACAATACTACCCTATTAGGATGGGTCATGGACTAAAGCTAGCACGTTATAGGAAAAGAATCAATGCAAAAATATGAATAAATGACAAGTAAGAGTTTGAAAGCAGTGTGCCAAGACAATTAAATGTTACAAGTGCAGCATACAATGGAGATCAATGGAACAAGGACAACGTGCTTAAACAATAAACTTGGGCAGTGTTTCAATGCAACAAGGGCAGTATACTAAGAAATTCAAATGCAACAATGGCAGTATACTAAGGAATTCAAATGCAACAAGGACAGTATACTAAGGAATTCAAATGCAACAAGGGCAGTATACTAAGGAATTCAAATGCAACAAGGGCAGTATACTAAGGAATTCAAATGTAACAAGGACAGTATACTAAGGAATTCAAATGCAACAAGGGCAGTATACTAAGGAATTCAAATGCAACAAGGGCAGTATACTAAGGAATTCAAATGCAACAAGGACTGTTTACTAATGAATTCAAATGCAACAAGGGTAGTGTGCTTTAAAATTTAAATGCATCAAGGGCAATGAGCTTTAACAATTGAATGCAACAAGGGTCGTGTACTAAAGAATTCAAATGCAACAATTCAAGGGCAGTATACTCAGGGATTCAAATGCAACAAGGGCAGTTTACTAAGGAATTCAGATGCAACAATGGCAGTTTACTAAGGAATTTAAATGCAGAAAGGGTAGTGTGCTTTAATTTTTAAATGCAACAAGGGCAATGTGCTAAGAATAAATGATTAGTTACTGGAGATAAAACTCGTGAAGTGGGATTCTGATGGGGAAGCCAGTTTTACGCAACAGAACTGTATGAAGCATGTTCAGGTACCCCAGCTAAATACAAACATGTAAATCGATTAGGAAGTGTATCAGTATGTATATGCGCATTATTGGGAAGAGCAAAAACGAGGGGGGGGGTGTAAGGGGGAGGGGTTGTGTTTCAATGTGTATATACTCTTAATCCCAACTGACTCACATGTCCTCTCATATTTAACCTTATTCATGTGATGTCAGGTGGCATATGCATGGACTGGTGGCACAAGTATTTTAATCATTGTGAATACTGACCAATATTGAATTACCATAATAATTAGTTTTGATATAACTTTTAGTTTTAAAAAGGTGGAAATCAGAAAGCAAATTATAAGTAAAGCGAAATATGTGTATATTTGGTCGTCTAAATAAGCAAAGCAAATAAAATTAAAAGATAAAATAAACAAAATTATTTCAACATATAATGATAATCTTTACCTGAGCAGTGACGTAAGGGCCATCAAAGCATGAGGGAGCTTTCTGGTTGTTGGGTTTAATACATCTGACAAACACTGGGTTGGAGGTTGTCATCCGCTCCATCAACACTTGAAGTGAGTTCTAGAAGCAAATGTACTGCATATTGTATTGTATTGTATTTTATTTACCACCAATGAAGGTGAGAAATACCTTTTGGGTAAATCCCGTCTTGGAAGATAGACCCAGAAACCCCTCCTCAAAGGAGCCCTGTGTTCTTTTATTAGTGAACCCCTACACAGACATACAAGTACACACCACAGCCTTTTGTACAAGTTGTGGACCACTCAGTCAAACACCCTGAAGTACTTTATGCAAACGAGAAATTAAGTCTTGCCTGAACTGGGGATCGAATCTGGGACCTATTGTGTAAGAGGTACCTGTGCTACCGCTGAGCTATACGGGTGAACATGTACATGTTAAGGAATTATTCCACACACTGAGTTTAAACATTTCACGCTTTTAAAGAGAAAGAATAATTGTTTAACAGCGTTTATTCTTAAACCTGGCATCATATGGAGCCACCAAACAAGAATCATGCATAATGTAGTGTTCTACCTTGAACTGAGCACCAACAGTTAGTTTCCGTTCCTTGGTGGCCTTGTTCAGTCTTGCAGCATCAGGCCGAGTTCGACCAGTTGACCTCCTGGACTTCATAGACTTACGACTGCGGCCTTGTAGGGCAAGGGTTCCAGTCCTTGTCAACTTGCCTGTAAAAATAGCACAATAAACCTCTTGAATACACAGAGTGACAGGAAATCTAGTAGCAAAATTTTTCACTAAAATGTCCAACCACTTTGTACAAATTAGGTTATAAAACAGATAATTAAACAAATTGAATCTCACATATTGTATATTAATACAGTAAAATAGCAGAGAACTCAAGATTTGAACACATTGCCTCTCAGCTACAACACAGCTACTATCCAGATCTCATCATACCATAGCCATCATACTACGAGCATTTTAGTTTTAGCAGTGATCTCCCCACGATTTTTCTCAAGTGTGTGCAAAATTCTCATTTTCACAATTCACACTGAAATTGGTCAAAAATGCCCATTTTTATGATTTTTCTCATTTCCAAGTATGCGCAAATGGATTTTCAGGTGGGTGCAAGCCTATTTTCAAAATATCAGGTGGGTGCTGCGCCCACTTGCTTTAATGCTGGGGAGATCACTGCTTTGTATTGAGCTCATGTTACACCACCAGGCACACTATACAATGGTCCTTTTTGCATAAGCTATAAAACATCAGAAGAAGCTCACAATATCATAAGGTCTAGTAAGTAGCTGAGAACAATGTAAATCACAAGTCCAAAGTACACACAGTGTAAAACTAACATAAATAATAAACAAGACATTAACATACAAAATGTCACCACCTGCCATTTGTTATAGATGGCAAGAGCTGAACTCTGAATGCCCACTCCTTTCACAAAAAGGTTTGCGACCATAACAATATGCCAGCATGTGTGGTGGTGATGCGATAAAACACTGTACCTTTAAATATTACACTGAGTAGACTGTTTTCACTGCGTTGTAGCATTTCCATTAGCCCTGGGGGCATAGTGTCTCTGTTCTTCTCGAGCCATCCACTGCTGTCATAGACAACCTAGAAAAAAGTGAATAATCAAACAGAGAATAGTTAATAATCATATGAGAGAATAATAGGGAATAATAAAGTAAGAGAAAATTATAAAACCTGTAAAGGAATAAGCTAGCAAACGCATAATCAAGTAAAGAAATAATAGTAAGGAAAAAATAAAATCATCAAACAAGAAATACTCAAGTCAAGAAAAAAGTATACAATTATGAAGTAGGCGGATTATAAATATATTAAATGGATGATTTATGTAACCACATGAAAAATACCTCATACCATGTCAATTGGCCAAATATTCATTCCAATTGCCATAAATTGAAATGTATGCATTTATATAGTATACAGATTGAAAACAATAACAACTGTCTGAAGAAATAAAAATTACAAACACAAACAATTAATATTTGGCATCTGTTGTGTCAAACCACTGACTTAATATCAAATCCCCTGCACTAAATCACATAAACGACCAGATAATCTGACACATGATAATTAGAAACATGTTTGGTTCACTTTAACAATAGTTTTGTTTTTGCTGAGATTTACTGTGAATTTTAATGGACAAAATTTCTGAAATTATTTATTCATCCTGTTCAAAAATACGAGGAAATTCAAAATACTTTCTCGACATAAAATTTGAATGTATGATTTGTATTACATGTTTTACATATTCCTTCTCCTCATACATAGGTATGTAGAATAAATGAAAAATGTGCACAGATTCAGTCAAGACATGTTTTGTAAATATATTCTATCATAAAAACAAGCTAGGAAAGAGAATAGAACTTCAGGGAAGAGCAAGCAAATTAATGGAGGGACGGAGAAAAAGTATATTGATTTCGATGCACATGTTTTTATAAATGCTCTTTAGAATGATGTCTCTTCCTACCTTTCCTGCATAATGGGAAATGGTGAAGTTATTGCTGTGTGAGTTCTTCGCTGTAAGGAAATATCTGTTCCCAGCAAGGTTTTTGTTAAATTTCTGCACTAGTGAGTGGCCTGATCCCTGTAACAGACAGATACATGTTTACACATCATTCATAAAAGTTATGAGCAAAAGCCCATTTCATTTAGTGACAACATCAATCATTTGTATTCCCTGGATTTGAACTCACTATAGATTTTTTCTCATTGCACTTGGTTTGTTTACACTAGCATGCAAAATGGTAACAATGAAATGAAACCAAAATATTTCAGGCAAATTATTTGAATACTTGGGACTGCAGTACAAGAGCAGTGAACTGTGATTTGGTTATGTCAGCCAAAAACACTGGCAAAATGCCTGATATTGACAAATACATTGATATGGACAAAATGATGAATTCACTGAAACAATTGAAATTATTGGAATGAAATTTGAAAGTGTATACAGGGCTTTGGTTACTTCTTTCTTTCTGACAAATTGCATGTGAATGGGACAACTTTTGATTATGTACCTGAGGGAACTGGCTTTCCTCATCCAGTAAAGCTAGCAGCCCAATAGGTCGCCCAAGGAATAAATCCTGAAAAAATTTAAACATTCTACAATGTAAAACATTCAAATAACAATCATAATTTACATACGAATACAAGTAGGACTTTCAAATGAAACATGACTGTTTTCAAGTCGATACAACAAATGTCATATTATGTCTCATATCTTAGTCATTTAAAAACTGATTCCAATATCTGGGATTCAATGTTACTTCTGTCTCAAATTTCAAGAGATAAATTGTATCCTTTAGGATCTAGTAGCACTTACTGAAACAACTTTAAAAATAAAATATCATTTAAATGGAAAAAGGTCATTTCTATGGATCTGTCAAATCAAAATTGAGTATTTAGATATAGGCAATAATAATATCATATATTCCTACCAATAGAGGCTGATTGTCTACAAATGTGATTTCTTTCCAATCTACTCCTTCTTTCTTATACTCCTCTTGTTCAAGCATAAAAATGTGCTGAAATTAACAAACATGTCATATAATATTCCAAATATTATATTATTTCTATTTTTATTTACTTTTCCATTGCTGTTCTTAATGTTGGCCTGTTACACCACTGAGAGGAGAAGTTTGGAAAAAATTGGGAACATCAAAACAATTTAAAAACATAAACAGGAAAAAAATAAAAATATACATGTACTGTACCTTATTGAAAAAGAACTGTAACTGCTCGTTAGCAAGATTAATACAGGCCTGCTCAAAACTGTTCTTCTCAAAATGTTCAAAGCCAAATATATCCAGTATTCCTATCTCATTTGTCTCTGTTTGACCACTCAGGTCTTTAGGTGCAAGGAGCGAATTCACTTTGTTGATAATCCAGCTGAACAGCCGACCATATATGGCCTTAGCTAAGGCATCTCTCGCATCTACAAAATAACAAAAATAATCAAAATTTCATTTTATACAAAATTGGATGATTTAAAAATCCATGATTAACGAGTGGTGCACAATACATAAGACATATAAAAAATTGATAGATATATATAAATTGATTATTCATAATGCACTAGAATTTCATTCCATGGCCATGTTTATTACCTTCAGCCTGTGATTTTGTGTAATTGCGTTTGACCACTTCTCCCCTTGTTACAGCCACACTACATGTCAATGTATCAAGTACTTCACTTGCATCTAGGCCTAGGCATTCCTAAAATATAGTAACGATCAATCAATTCGATTAGTTGAATAATATTAGTTTTTGAACCCTAAGTGATCCAGATTTCTGTAAACTGAGAATGGAGCATGTTGATATTACTAATGCATAAAAGATGCTCACCACAGGCCCGTAGCCAGGATTTGCCAAGGGGGGCTCATTTTTGAAAAATCCAGGGGGGTTCACTTTTGACAATTTTGGCCCAAAAATGGCCAAAATCACTTAAAAGGTGCTCAGAATGGTGAAAAACTGCATGATTTTGAAAGAATTTTAGGCCGGGGGGTACCATGTGACCTAATGAGGTAATCACATTACTCAAACATTATATTATATTCAACTGGAAAAGATAAGGAAAACCGCAAAACTACAGTATGTCAACCTGTTTACAATTTTGCACATTTTCTAGGTTTGATAAAAGTAAATATATTACAGAGCGCATGAATAACTTACAGCAGTTAGTGAAAGTGCTTTATTGTTTGTGTTAATAATGTCCTCATCCTGTTGTTGGAATGTGATATCTCCTGTGTTGAGAACTCCACATAGAATTCGGAACATATTCTCCTGTTCCTGAAATGGTTAGAACAGAAATATGAAACCTGGTGCTGTGTGTTTTATATAATTCTTTTCAATTTTTGATACTATAAATATGCATCTATTATATTCACTTACACATTATAATATTAATCATTTAATATCTGGTAGATCTTTTTCTTAAAAATATGCTTTAAATCATTACTGTTGTAGAAACTTAGTGTATGTTAAAATATGTATACAAATTTTTGAGTGTTACATAGTTTAACTAGTTTGAGCAACATTTTGAAAATATCCTGTTTAAATTCATAATCTGACTTCTCATACATAAACCATTTGTTTACAAAATTGCCCACCTATAATTCTTGGTAAATATCAATTCATAATTTATTATATTTTCAAGATGTATCATCACATTCATACCTCTTCAAGGAATCCAACCATGTCCATTGCATTTACAAGTTCTTCATAGTCCTGTTGATAGCTGGCTAATTTGGCCTTCACACTCGACTGAGCTGTTGTCACATATCTGCAGAAAAGAAAGATAAGAACAGGTTAGCTTCATGAATCAGCATCAAATGACCAATCATTGCACTATACTACAGGGCATTCATAAAGTTCTTGCAAAAGTACTCTAACTTTTTGGTTTCTCAGTCATGTAATGCAGCTTATAGCAATTATCTTAGCCAGTACTTTGTTAGAGAAGTCCTTATTCCTGAATTACACTGATATGATTGATAAGTAAACAGGACAGTATATCAGTGAAAGAGCAACACAATGATATAAACAATCTAAACAATATATTCACAGAAATGGTACAATTATTGAATGAATCTCTTTTTTTAATCTGTCACTAGGGTTTACTCGCCATAACAATTTTACCTGTGAACATTGTTAGAGTCTAAGCCAAAGTTAGTCTTTTGTTCTGGAGAGAGGCCAGCAAACATGTAATAGAATATATGGAAATTTTCCTCTCCTTTATTCTGTTGTACAACACGTGACTTCTCAAGGAGGTACTCTGATATCTTAGCTCCCGTTACTGTAAATGAACACAAGATTAAAGCATTTTTTGTACATTAAATAAGAAAGTACATCTTGAGAACATTCATGATATTTGTGTGTTGGGAGGGGGGGGGGGGGTGTTTAGCATTTGTCATATTCATGATAATCCTTATTTTCTTCATATTCTGTATTCATAATAATGTACTCCTCCCATTTGACTTTGGTATTATGAAGTCTGGAGCAATTGTTGCTGAATAAAACTGTTTAAGAAAACTTTTAAAGTGGAACATCAGACGTGGAACAATTTCAAAATCCAGTGATCGTTGACGTAATGTAATGTAGAACACCTCAAAGTGGACTGATTGTCCAAGTGACCAACAGAGAAAATACCTCTTGTAACTTTGTAAGTAAAAATCAGAATCAGTTGAATCAGTGTATTTTTAGTGTCAGAACTTACCAGTCCCATTTTTGAATTTGAGTTGAATATATTTTCCAAAGCGACTGGAGTTGTCATTCATGAGGGTCTGTGCATTGCCAAATGCCTCTAGCAGGGGGTTGACCTGTAACAGAAATTGGGGGCTGTATACATGTAAATAGCTCTTCATTTTTACGTAAGACTAATTCTGCACTTTTTCCAACATTGACCTTTATTTTCAGAAAGTCTAGTTGGGGATGTTGGGGATTGTGTCCATACAAGACTGTACTTTTAAATGTTCCTTTTATAACTGTGTTTTTTAAAACATCGTGGTCTTTACCCTTTTGGTGTTTGTGCTTTCTTATATGGTCTTATATGGTCTTTACCCTTTTGGTGTTTGTGCTTACTTATATAAAGATTGGCTATACAGCAGGGTAAAATTGATTTTAATTTAAAGTCAAAATGCTTCTTCATAACGGATCATTAAGGTATTACACATGCCCAAAAGCCCAAAGTTTTCTGTCAAAATGGTTCATAACATTGAGCAACTGAACCATACTGGGTAACAGGTACCATTATCTCCAAAATTGGAAGCCTCCAGAATTTTGAACCACTGACCTGTAATATCTGTTGTTCTAACTGTGTGTTTCCTTTGCACAACTCTATCAATTGTTTGATCAACAGCTTTGTGCTCTCAGTTTTACCTGCTCCACTCTCACCACTGGAATCATATACAGGGTGTCAAAAAACAAATGCACCCCCCTCTACAGCGATAAGTACTTAATATTACATGGTGTGTCATATCTCATTTTAGAGACAATTTAATTCTGGAGTTAACTGAGAAATTTTCTTAGTAGTTAGTATAACCGCCAGTTGCTGCTCAAACAGCAGCTTATCTGGAAGGATATGATTTCAATGAAAATTCAGATAAAGGTGTAGCATTGCATAATCCTCCGAGCACTAACCTCAAATTCTTCTGAAATACATCCTTACTGTATCTTTTTTCAAGAGGCTCTTAGTCTTATCAGTTCCGATACCCTGTTTTTCAGAACTGAGCCCATTTGTTCAGTGCAGTTGAAATCTGGGCGAATTCTTTCATATTCCACTTTCTGAAGATTTAACCTTTAACCAGTATCAGAGCAGCAAACAAAGTACCGAAGTTGCAAACTTTGAAACAATGTAGCTTTTTAAATATAAAGTTTTATTAAATGAAATTTGAGGAGTAACTCCAGAATCAAATTATCTTTCAAATGAGGTATGACTTGATATGAAACATTGAGGACTTTTTGCTGTAGAGGGGGGTGCCGTTGTTTTTTGACACCCTGTAGATCTTCATAAACAGCAGCCAACAAGCATTTTTTCCAAAATTGCTTGGTTTTAAAGAATTTTGCGACTGTTTTCATGTTAAATTTTTCACTTTTAACTATGTTAACTGTTTACATTCATTTTGCCTGTTGTTGGAAACTTCAATTGAAATGATTGTTCCTTCATTTCCGAAAATAGTCATTGAAGGGTCAGTATGCTGTCTTTTAACATTTTGGTCAACTTGTGGGGGATGGGCTTGTCTATATATATATACCTGCCATTGTAAAATAGAAGGATACTTTGAATATTTACAGGGTGTCCCAGAACTCATGGCTTATATCTCCCTCAACAAATTCTCAAGAGTTCTGGGACACCCTGTAAAAGATAAAAGCCAAATAACATTTGTATATCTCGATTTACAAAAAAAGCTGATGGCTTTACCTGATGAGGATACATTGGTTGCGTGGGAGTGACCCCCCATATCCCAGCATATTCTGGTAGGTGGCATCTGCTACTGCAAAGATGTGTGGGGGGAGTGACCCCTTCTTGCTCAGCTTATATTTGGTACAATACTAGAAAAGAGATTCAAGATTTTTAACACATAGACTCCATTTTTTTGGCCTACCCTGAACATTCCATTTCATTTACAGTTATGCAAGTACAGAAATACAATACAATACAATACAATGTATAGGGGTCTCTTTATTTTCGTTTTTTCATTTTTCATCATATTGCCCATTATTTCTTGTCATTTTAATGCACAAAAAGGTTTTCCAAAATCCTTACATTCTGATTTACCAAAGCAACTCTTATCTGTCGCCACTTTGGAAAAATCGAGACAAAGCGGCGCAGTTTTATCGGGATGGAATTTCTGATAAAACAGCTCAATTTTTTTTGTTTAAATAGTCAATCCACATCCTAAATATTAACCTAAATTATTTTTAATCCATACTGATATGTAACTTACTTGGACACAAACCTCCTTTTCTGAACTTATCAAGACTTGAAAAGAATTCCTTACCTAGTAGGCAGTATTTAACATGTTTCCAAATCGAAAAAAATGCGCTCACATTTTTCAATTTCAAAAGGCAATTCAGTCTATCCATCATTAATTTTTCAATGCCCCTTGGAGTGTCTTTTTCATGTTATTTATGAAATATTGTATGATGGATTTTTGAATTGAATAAATTGAATTGAAATTGAACTTAGATAAATACAAAAAAGAATGTTTGTGTCCCAATGTAAGTTCCCCATCATAATGGATTAAAAGCATTCTAAAATATTAAAAATGAGAATTTAGCTATTAGCCCTTTAACATTGAGCAAAAATAATAACCTAAACTAAATATAGTACAAACAGATGGTCAGAGAAAAATGATGTATTTACGAGAGTCCATATGGGTCACCTAGTATTGTAACACACTAGCAACATAATGAGTACCGGTTACTTGAAAAGAAAGACATGAGTTGTAGTTAGGAGGCCTCCAGTGCAACAGTCATTCGATTATTTTGTCTAGGCTGCACTTGGGAAAATGGTCTTGCTAAAGTCCTTATGACCCCCCCCCCATCACAACACCCAAACAAGTTTTGAAGAAAATAAGGAGGTGGGGGGGGGGTCCAGGGACTTCAAGCAAGGCTATTGGAAAAGCTCTAATAACAGAATTGACAACATGGGCTTGGGTACCAAATTTAAATGAGAGGTATTGCTATCAAAATTTCAGGATTATACATTCTCATCAACATTTTAAGCTTATGGAACATTTACATGGTTGTAGTATATCTTTATTGATAACATGTAATCATATAATCCAAAACAATGAGATGGCCTTATATATGACAACCGATATGGAAAAACAAATATGAACATGTTGGCAATAAGCCTGAAAATAGGGATGATCCGGGATAAAACAATAGTAACTAGATTGCATGTGGTCCCCAACACAATTCCTGATTAACAATACACTTCTTTTTATTATGTTCTGCATGGTCAAAAGGTGTATAGGTATTTACCTGTTTGTCATAGAGGTTAAGCTTCTTGAATGGATTAATGGCAACAAGGATATCTCCAACATATGTCTGAAATAAAAAAGAAATACATACATATACTAGTTACATTATATAACAGTTTAATGTGTATTAAGAACAGTGAACACCTCTCAAGTGAACACTTATTTTGACTAATATTATTTCCCCATGTTTTAACACAATTTAAGTCACTATGTAAACACCTCTCAATTTTAACACTTATTTATGATTATGTAAATAATTTTTTCTCCAATTATAACAATTTTTGTGTAAACACCCAGATTTTGGTAGTTGAAGGACTTTAAACATATTTTAATATCATTTAAATGAAAAGAAACCCTGGATCAATTCATTAGGTTTGCACTTTTTTCACAAAGGGGGCCTCGTTAGAGACAAATTAATTTATTGAAAGGCTGATAAGTCTGAAGCTCTGAATGAGTCATAAACTATATGTGTATTTGGTAAGGAGAAATAATGACTGTTTAATTTGAACAGCTTTCAACTGCCCCATTCTTCATTGTGCCATTTATGGGTCAGATGTTCAAAAGGTATACCATAATTAGAATTGTCGATCAGTTCTAAAAGGTCTTCTTTCGTAAGGAAGAGAAACCACGACAGCAGTAAAATCTATGAGTAATGTGAACAAGTAAAAAATCACTGTCAGAAAAAATATTTACGTCAAGTAGGTGTCTAACTGCAAAAAGGTTATTTTATACAGAACTCAATAAAGCATGTGTGCAAAGTGGTGTTTTTTAGAAAAGGTGTTCATTAGTGAGAGGTTTCCATTTAGACATGTTTTGACGCACGTCATATAATCTAAAAAAGGCAAATATAAGACAGTTCATTGTGGAAATTGTATTTGGATCAATAAATTGGGAAGACATGTGTTTTTCTCTATTCAGCTAGTTGAAAATAATAGAGAACTAGAGCATTGGTCACAAAAAAGAAACCAATAAACAATATTCTCTATGACTATATTTAAAGATAACTGAAGATATTCCCTACTTCAGTATTTCGATTGATTATTTTGACTTAAAGAATTCATTCTATTCCTTCAAAATCGTGTACTTAATGATAGAAGACATTCTGTAATATATGAGGCCAAATAAAGACATATAGGGCAGGTGAGGGATATGCAATAGCATTATGTCAATTAATTAACCCACAGGTGCACAGACCCCACCTACTGATAACATAAAAGTAAAACATTAACGATAAGATCAAGTCACCTTTACCTTAATTTGTTCGTACATTACCTTGTACCATTTATATTGTTTCATTTAATGGATAAAAGCTGTAATTTTTGCTCCTTAATAACGAAAGATTCGTAATGATAATTGACACTTATATAATAAATAGATTTGGACACAAACCTTCTCAATGCAATATTATGATTTTCTTGAAGTGGACCTGTTTATTTTTCTTGAATAAGGAATCTGTTCAATATAATTGTAATTATAATTTCAATGGGGTCCCGAAGCAATTTATATTTATCCCAAACTTGGACATGTTTGAGATAGAGCAGGCAGGATAAAGCCAGCTGAGCAGGCAGATAAATCTTATATGTTATAATCAGTGGGTTTGCTTTGAAATCTCAAAGAAGTTTCATTTTTGAGGTGATCTTAGAAGATCTGCATTTTTAACATTTACAGACCAACATTTTCTTCTATTTTATGGCATTTTTGAATTCTATGTGTAGTTTTTTAAACAAATTTGCACAGTTATTTACTCAAATTTCAAGGATCTTCTGGAAAAGATCAAGATAAGTATCATTGACACAATGTTAAAAAATCTTTAAAAGTTCATTTACTTTTTTTCACCATTTTATTTTATTGTTAAATTACAATCCACATGTCAACAATATCACATAGTGAAAAGCCAATTAAGTTTTACATAAATCTAAATGGGAATACTTGATAAATCAAGAAATTGAATGACTTTGTCTGTATAGCAAAGTATCAGTTAAAAGGCATTCTGATACTCATCATATCTTTCTGTCTTCAACCAGAAATATGCTCTGATTAAGTTGGTTAAAATTTGCGATCTGATATTTAAGGAGAAAACTTATTTGCATGTTAGGTGATGTAATCTTTGAGGACTGGGGGCAAGCTAATGGAATTGTCTTTGACAATTTAGTCAAGAGATTTTTAATTAAGATTTTTAAACCGAGAAGTGTATAAAGTTCTTGTATAAATGTTTTTAGTATGTATTATTGTTTTAAAATGTGACACACCTATTTTAGTGTGCCGCCGTTTCTAAGGCGTATGTCAAATAAAAAATAAAAAAAAATTTCAACATATGGGAGGGGCACAACATTTTAAGTGTGATGGTTATCAAGTATTTATAGCCCTTTAATGTTGACACATTACTGTTGACACATAACAACAGTCTGTCTGTACTAGCCTCGTATTTCAAATCTCAGTGAGTAAAGTACAGTTAGCTTATGCTTAAAAAAATATGATAAAGCTTTCCCCTGCTCACAGAGAAGTATTTAAATATGATTCCTTGGTAACAAAGCACTTAGAACGATGCAAATGATCAATCTTTAAGTTCTCTGTGCCCCTTCCTAAAGCTGGTGACCTCCATTTTTCGTAAATAACAAAACAATACTGGCAGATCTGGGGGGGGGGGGGGGGGTCTGCCCCCCTAGAGAAAAAAATTGGGAAAAAAAATTTTTGAGCAAAAAAAGCGGACCTTTTTTATCATAAATGGGCCTTCTAAGGCATTATTATTTAATTTAGGCCAAATGTTGAAGAAAATGGGCCTCAAAATATAAAGATTTGGGACCACTTTTTGGTTTTAGGGGCCCAAAATTTTTAAAGAACAAGCGCGGCAGTTTTTTTTCAGACCAGAAGTTTGGGCCTCCTCCTTGGCCCTTATTAGTTCCCAGATCTGCCCCTGAAGAGGTCGTCGAATTGGATTACCAAGAGCATAACCTTACCCACAGTGAGTAGTTATCATCCATCCCTTTATATTATAATAATTATATATAAAGGGAAAATATATTGGGCTTTCCACTATAGGGTATGAGGCTTTCCCTGGAAAAATAGTGAAAATATACTGATACTCACATAAATTCGGTCATTCTCATAACGCACTCGCAGTTCGTTGAGCAATATTTTTTCATCTAACTTAGCGAGAACTGTAAGATCGTCGACCTCACCTATCTTTGGTTCTTCCATGGTTAATGGGAGTAGCTAAATTAAAGTTCAAAAGGTGTAAATGGATTGATTCATTTTCACATCTCCGAAGTCACGAAAATCTAACTTCCGGGGTAGCCTAGTCTCAAACAAAATATTATTAAATGACATACGAAGTTCCAATATACTGATGGTATCTAATATCATATCATACTATTCAATCAACCTATTTTATGTGACATTGCCAAGAGATTGTTATTATTGATATTGATTTTCATAGTGTTCTAATAGAATAGATATCGTTTACTTTTTGAGACTATTTATAATTTCTAAGGAATTGTGGGTAATCGAAAATCTAGGTCACCAAAAAGAACAATGTCTGGCGACGAATACGGATATTCCGGAGAATATACTGGCAACAATAAAGAAGATAATAATTATTCATCCTCTCCAGCATCATTCCGAGATCGGTAAGATCAGTTTGGTCTGAGGTTTTAATTGATTTGATCATTATTTTGCGAGATATTGTCATTCAAACTTTTGGGTTTCGTTTTGAAATGTCCACCATTTTTCACCACGCTTTCTTCTTGGAAAACCAAATTCATCGTTGTTTAAAAATGTCCGTTTAGAGCTTTAATAACTTTCTCTTCAGATTATTTTTGTTTGGCATTTTTTACAGATGATTTATGTTTATCGAGATACTGAACCAACACTTTTTCAAAACAACTTCTCAGAAATTCAAATAATTGTTCATGTTTTCAATGTTGATCTGTTCAAATTTAAACTAACATGACCACTGCTTCACCTGCTTATAAATACGTTACATCTTTATCACAAAATGGATGAATTCTGTCGATTGTATCGAAATATTTTACCTTACGTAAGAGTAGCATCCGTTGCTGAATAGCGAATCAGTCATAAGTACATGTGTACAGTTGGGGACATAAATAAATGACAGGTGGATTTGCTGAAGTGAGGATTTCCCATGTTAAAAATAAGAGAATTTTCAAGAGGCCATAAATCAGTGGATGAGATTATACAAAATGTAAAATATACAAATTTTAAGGGATATGTATCTAGACAATATTGGAAATTATGGGCTTTCAGACCACCATAATTAGGAAATGGTGATCGAAAATCGACCTGTCATTTATTTTTGTCCCCAACTGTATATACATCTTACTTCCTGCGGAAGCTATGTGGATTTTGATATATTAGCTTCCCCACGGCGCACTTGGACAGCTAATTAAAAGTGACCTTTAGACATGAATAATGAGATCTACGGCTTACTTTTGGTCTCTAACTGTGGCTTACATCAGTATCATCAATCCGTGCAAGTATTGGAGCGCTGAAATACTTCTTTTTCGATAAAGACTTGTAAATTGTTCATTGAGTGAACGTTTTTTCAACCCATGACCAATATGGACAACCTCCGGAGATTTACGAGAATGTCCGAGCAGAAAACGCCATATTGGAATTGGGCAGAAAAAACATTCACTCGACTATTAATTGCAAGTCTTGATCGAAAAGGAAGCACTTCAGCGCTCCAATACTTGCACGAAAGGATGATGATGATGTATGACTTAGTTAGAGAACAAAAGTAAGCCCTGGATCAACTTAATTTGTGTTTCAAAGGTCACTATTATTCAGCTGTCCATTTCTCCGTTGGAGAGCCATAAGTTTCACAATCTAACATCAAGTGAGAATTCCTCACTTCGGCAACCAGGACGTTATTAGGGCATAACATGAAGCAACCAAGACGTTTTGAAAGTCACCAGATAACGTCCTGGTTGCTGGAGTAAAGAATCCTCACTTGATTATTTAAATTCCGGGTAAAAAATTTAGTACATTTCTTGCCATTTTATGTTGTTTTACAAAAGAACAATGCAAAAACAGAGTGCAGCTATGGTTCATTGAGGGAGAGATAAGGTATAGCATCTTCCTAACATGCTATTGTCTATATACGGCATCCAGTGTCTGATTTCACTACCAGCACTGAAGCTCTGCGCTACTTTCGCGTTACTTCTGGTAATACCATGATGCACTACTGCCTAGATTTTTAGTAACCAGATGTTACTATTAACATACAGGTAAAATATTTGGATACAAATCAACCTCCTTCTTGGTGAAAATGATGGAAATAGAAGTTTCCTCTGACGAAAGTAATCCATTTTGTTATAAAGACGTAGAGTCTGAAAAACCAGATGGGGGCCAGTGATAATTTCGAGCTCCAAGATATTATCAGGTTCACATTACATATTCCATACATGATCTGTATCTTTCATTTTTGTTCAAATATTGCATTGATGTACCTACAGCCCATTTTACTGTTTTATTGCGTCAGTAGAACCCCAAAAAAAAGAAATCAGGAGACCATTCATGTGCAATAATATATGGAAAAGTATATTCATATTGTACATGAATTACATTTGTATATTTCAGACTATTTAGTTTTTTGTGCAATAAGCCTATGCCCTCTTGTAATTTAAAGAATTTTAAAGATGTTAATCCAAGATAAACAAATGTCATATGTACAATAGGAATATATTTTTCCATATATTATTACCTAATGATCTTTTGATATCTTATTTTTTAGGTTTTACTGATGCGATAAAACAGTAAAATGGACTGTAGATTCTTCGTTTTAGGGTTGATAAATAGCCAAATATTTAATCATTAAAAAGCCATTTCTTTGTTTTATTACAAATAACAATAAAAAAGCTTGATTAGTACATATTTTTTGTTATGTAATCAATACATATATTCAATATTATAATAGATTGTTTTCAAGATTTCTGTATAATATACTTTAAATGAATGTCTCTTTTCTAGCTCAAGGTCCAGATCTAGGTCCCCAGTAGGAAACAAAGGCGGCTCCCGCCACAACGGAAGCGGGATGAGCAATAAAGTGACATCCAGGTGTTTAGTTCTTGCCAATGTCCCATATGAAGTAAAATGGCAGGAACTCAAGGATTTATTTAAGAAAGAAATAGGAGAAAGTGCAGTGACATATGTAGAAATATTTAATAATGCTGATGGAAAGCCAAAAGGAGTAGGGTAGGTCTATTAACTATATGGTTAATGATCTTTTAAATTTATCTTAAATAAACACGACATAGCCATCTTCAGTCTATTTAGGCTAGCACTCTTGATTGTCCTTGATAATTTAGTTCACTTTAGTCATGTTGGTACCATAACCTAAACATCTTTTATTAATTAATGCATACTACCAATTCATTGTTGATACAGTATGTTATTAAACAGTTTTGTGTTGATTATTTTATAGAGCTATTGAGCTAAAGACAGAAGATCTTGCTCAGGAGGCTGTTGACAAAATGAATGGTTTTGAAATAAAAGGAAGAAAACTTGTAGTGAGAGAGGTGAGTAGTGATATATACAGTTCGCAGTGATCTCCCAGCATTTAAGCAAGTGGGCGCAGCACCCACCTGAGATTTTAAAAGTAGGCTTGCACCCACTTGAAAATGAGAAAAATCATGAAAAATTGGCATGTTTTTACCAATTTTGGTCTGAATTGTGAAAATGAGAATTTTGCACCCACTTGAGAAAATATCCTGGGGAGATCACTGGTACTGTCTAAATAGTTGTCAATGACCCGAATGCATTCCTCAGCAGGTATGGCCTGAATGACACGGATGGTCTCAGTTTTGAGGTTTGCAATTGTCCTGAGGTCATTCTCATGTACTCTATCTCAGCCATATCCCCACAGGTAGGGACATTTTAGACTACGAGTACAGGTTTCCCGACAGGGCAAAAGTGGCCACTGGGGTATGTTCTTTAATGTGCTGTAAAAGTGTGACTATCAATCTGATGGTCATGAAATTCAGTAGGATGGTAGCAAATTGAATGATGTACAAACACAAAATATCAGGGAGTTATTTTTTAAAATGACAAAGATATGAGGAAAATGGTGTAAGGGTTTCCATTTTTTGACCACCCTGTATAATAAAGGTTGTTGGGGTCCAGAAAATGACATCAGTGGCTACTTTGTACAATCTTGCTTATATTTTTGGGTCAACTCCTTTGCCTGATGCATGATGGTTAACATTGTGCTTGGGTCCACTGGCTTAACATCAAGAAGTGGGCTGTAGGCAAGTTTTATTGCAGGTTTAATGATGGCGCCACTAGTCCTAGCTAACCTAGTATTGCAGCCCCTGAATGATGGTGTCCCTGGTACAGATGTAACACTCTCAATAAATGGTCTAAGATTTAACCCTTATACAACAGGGATGACCTACTTACACTGTCAACAATGAGTTTCTTTCACATTTTAAACGTGTCATCTACCCCCCCCCCCCTCCCTCTATAAAAGGGTATACATTATAATTTTCTGAAATATTTTAATTTAAAGAACATATGTATCTTACATAGATAGCTTAGTTTGATAGATAGACTACCAGAATCTGCTGATATTATATTTTTCAATGTGTCACAGTAATAACAGTCATATTTTTCATACATATTAATATTGCTGAATACAAGGAAGTCTATATTAATATATTTTTTTTCTCTTCAAATAAATAAACTACAAGTCTCATATTTTCACACTATCTCTGACATGGGTTAATTCAAAGTCATGAATAATTTCAGATCACATATTTGTTTAGTTTGCAAAATATGCTTATTAAACATAGTGACCCCTTAAAATAGGTGGCGCTAGGGTAACAAATCAAGCATATCTCATTAAATTTTTGATTCTATGTAATGAAACAAAGTTGACATGTTGTTTAGACTAAATACAGTTTATCTGAATTGGTTAAAGTTTTCAACTCTACCAACAGCCCTTTAAAAAAAAATTTTGTGAAATGGGCATTTTACAAGGGGCGCCACCTATACAATGCTGTAAAAAATTTTGCCCACCAGTGCCAGTCCGGCACAGTTCTGATTTTGAAAGTAATTAACTTATAGATAAAGAAAATACAAAGATATAGCATACATCCTAGAAGGCAACCAAAAGTTTCAATATGCCATTATTCCGCTGGACTAAAAGGCCATAAGCTGTAACTCTTGTCTTAAATTATTCTGAACTATTTTTGATTCATAATGATATGTAACTTATCTATAGACTTGGACATAAACCTTATTTGTAATAATCATCAAGTTAAATCCATTTTGTAGGAAGTGAAATTTTGCAAGTTTGTATATCGTTTATTGAACGAATTTATGGAATAAATGTTCACCTGCAGTTCAGGTTTTATTGGAACCACTTCTAGGTGAGTAATGACCTCAGTTCGTTATTTTTGTAAATTGTTTACTTTCAGGAGAGGGAAAGAGACAAACGAGAAAGGATGAACAGACGGCAAGGTGGCGGTGGTATGGGAGGCGGAGGAATGGGAGGTGGTGGAATGAGCGGAGGAATGGGAGGTGGATTTGGAATGGGAGGTGGTGGTGGTGGTGGTGGTGGAGGAATGTCCATGCAAAGAATGATAAACCAACTTGGATTGGACCCCAACAACATCACAAACAAAGTCTTTGTATCAAATGTAAGTATTGAAAACACAGGTGGTATTCAAAATGTGAAATTTAAAGTCACATCTACCAAGTCATATATTTTGATTTAGCTGGGGGTCTCCTGGACGACGTAGCTTCTCAAATTCATATCTCATTCTGGTTGATTTCTCAACTGCACAGAAAATGACACCAATCTTAGCCAAAGTTTATGAAAATTTACATGGATCCTTTAACCTTTAAAAATGAGTTTAATATATCTGTTCTAGCTTGACTACAAAGTGACTTGGCAAAAGCTGAAAGATTGTTTCAAGATGGCTGGTAATGTTCAGCGTGCTGAAATCATGGAAGACAAGGAGGGGAAGAGCAGAGGGATGGGTATTGTCACATTTGAGTTCCCAATGGAGGCAGTACAGGCTATATGTATCCTTGCTTATAGGGAATTGTAAAAAGTGGTTATATTATATTGTAAAATCCAATACAAGTTTCAAAGATATTAATTAGCAACAATCTTTTCATTTCTGCATTGGAGTTTTTAAAAATTGTATTTGAATCTTTTTTCCAATGAAAATGGAAATCTACATAGTTTCACATGAAAACATGTTAAATATGTCAAGGTTTTGTAGGAATTCACTTTGGGACATTTTGCTTTGTTTCAGACCATTTGGAACACTTATAGAATGGGGAATCATCTCAAAAAGAAACAGAAATATTTCAATATTTTTATTTTCAATTGGTGTATGTTCATGGTGAACTGTAGTATCACCTAGCTCATTTGCTCAAAAACTAGAGTGGTCTTTCAAAATCTTATTCCAAAGTAGGATATTGAATTCCATGTTATGTTTTTCCTTGACTTACCAGCCATGTTCAATGGTCAGGAATTGTATCAGAGGTCAATGAGAGTGCGCATTGACAGCATGAGTAACAGTGGAAGTAGTGGCGCCAAAGGGGGCGGATATAACAGTGGCCCTAAATTACCAAGTAAGAAATAATATTTATTGTCTATTGCATCACAGTGGATTGCTTTTATAGATCTCCTGATAGTTTTTAATCAACAGCATAAATCTCTGACTCTATCTGTATGCATATTCTCCATATTAAGAAATGTTCTTCAACCAGCATCATTAATGTCCCTTTAATGAAATATCTAAAAATCACAAAGTTCCTTGAATCGGAGTTTTTGTTAAAATATTGTTCTTTTATTTTTAGGTGGTCTTGGTGGGATTGGTCAGGGTTTCGGTGTTGGAGGCCAACCTGCCAACTTTGGAGGTATGTCCGGCGGAGGTGAGTTAATCATTACTGACAATTATTTCATGTAACAAAAAATCATTGATAGGTGGTTGTATATTGATAGGTGGTTGGTCCTTTCTGGTTGTATTTTCCAGTTCATTTTATTTTATGTTAATTTTTGGGATCCGAAGCACAATTGAAGGTTCAACAATGTGGTGTTTGTCCATTTACTGTGTACATGGTCATTGACTGTGAATATATACCACACATGTATGTATATCGACTGAATATATACTGCACATGTATGCATATTTACAGTGAATATACACTGTGCATGTACTGTACGTTGTCTATACTTCAGAATTGTTTTGCCGTGATAGTAATCAATTTTATAAAAAATTTATTGTATTTTGTGATCTGTGTTGATAGTAATCAATCTGATAGAAAGTATATTGTGTTCATTTCCATATATGTAAATCTTTATATAGATATTTTATTTGGTTAGAAATTAGGTTTGTGCAGGAAATAGGTGAAATATATCCAGAGAATTCAGAGCTAAGGAAACCTATTGTGGTACTCTTATTCTAGATAAATTCTTCAGTCTCAAGTTTCTGAATGTGTATGTTGTCTTGAAATAAAATTATGGTTCTTAATTAATGCAGTAATTTGAAGCCGTCTCATCGTGTGTGTTATTTTAGTTCCCGCAATTTGAGATTGTGTGACTGCCTTCTAAGTTCTTCCAAGGAGTGTTTGAATAACTGTCAAATTAAAATGTTCAGATTAAGGAATGGCTCCCTCATATTTCGCTGGAAGTTCATTTAAGTGTCTTGTCTTATTAAGAGCACTTCATAAAACTTGAGTCTTGGTTCAAAAGTATTAGACATTTTCTGGTAATGACAGGGACATGTAACTCAGTTATCTCAACCATATACCTATGTTTTATAAAGTTTTGTTTCGATTAACAAAATATAGAACTTAAAAAAAGTCATTAAAAAATGTTTTTTATTAATATTAAAGATGTATTCCATGTATAAATGCAAATGAAATATGACAGGTTTGTATGTAATATTGCCTGTGCCTGTGTGCCAATTTTCTCAGATTCAGCACCTCAGAAAATGCATATTTTTGGAAATTATTCCTGGGAGGACATATTATTTTTCCCATCCCTTCATGCTTTAACTTGTAATCCCTTACAAAAATGAAGCTTTGAGAGTGAAGCTGTATGTTTATTATATGATAAATATAAAAATTATAGTTTCAAATTATCAGAAAAATCCTATATTCCCTCTTTAGGCAGTTTTGATCAATTCATTAACCTTATGAAACCTTACCCCCCTCCCCCTTTGAAAATGATATCCCTGTATATGATATGTTTTGAAATTTACTATGACAGCCCTCCAAATTGATGAATGTTGAGATTTTCATCACTGAGAATATTTTGTATGAATGAATATGCCCCTAATTTCAGACGTGAAGTCTTCTAGCAGGCAAGACTCAAGTAAGTTGAAAGAGAATGCACAAACGACAAACAAATTAGTTGAAAATAACATAATGATAGGTTAGAAAATAAATTGGTCTGCATGTTCCACCATTGACTTTGATACAAGAAATCTGTTTTGTGATGGAAATACATCCTATCTTGATTTATCCCTTATGTTATTGAATCATACTGGTTGTTATGAAGTGCTCTTTTAAAGACGTATCTAACTTCTGTAGTTTATGATGGTGATCCAGTCATATCCATAACACTCCTTTTCCGTGGGTTTTGTTCTCTCTAATGATTATTAGTTTTTATAGGAGGAGTCTTGAAAATATCATGTGGATTGTTATGTAATATGTGAGCCCAGTACCCACGGTACTATTTGAAAAAAATTCCGAGGCAGGGATTTTGTTTGTTCCATACGGGTACATTTATAGTTTGATCACAAGCATTCTGCATGTGAAATTTAAGAAAAGGCAAAATGAAAGTTGTGCCCCTCACCAAATTGAAAAGGCAAGAATCACAACTAGAACGTTAACTCAGTCTGAACTGCTTGTTATGCAATACTCAGTTTGTACATTATGTAATGTTTTAAGAGGAAATAATGTTCACAAGGGTTTGTACATTATGTAATGTTTTAAGAGGAAATAATGTTCACAAGGGTCGATTTTGGAATTGTTCTGGCTTCTCATGCATATTTTCTCTCAATTTTTGCTTATGATATTGATGGCCTGGATTCATTCATGTATTTAAACTGGATATATTGATCGAACAGTAGGATTGTTGTCACATCTTTTACTTGTTTACTTTTTCTAATCAGTGTGCAGTTCCTAATTAATAACATGTAAATTAGTAACATCAAACATTTTACACATGAATCTATCTTATTCCTTTAACATTGGGCTCGTTCATAATTGCACTGGACCAACTTAATCTTATGCTATTTAAAATATAAATAAATGATCTCCCTCAAAGCCAACCCTCATATTGTTTATTTTTTATTTTAGGTGGAGGAATGAGAAATATGGGAAACAGTGGAATGGGTGGTGGAATGAATATGGGTTCCGGTATGGGTAATTTTGGGTCAAATATGGGAAACAGTGGAATGGGCTCAATGGGTTCAATGGGAAACTTTGGGTCAGGCATGGGAAATAGTATGAATTCAGGTATGTCTGGTTTTGGCATGGGTAACAACATGGGTTCAATGAACTCAGGGATGGGAAACTCTGGCATGGGAATGAATAACATGGGAGATGGTATGGGAATGGGAGGTGGCAATTTTGGCAACTCAGGAGGTATGAACAACATGGGAATGATGGACATGGACAGTATGGATAACATGGGCATGGGTATGGGAAACTATGGGCAGATGAACTCAGGAATGGGAAGTATGGGAGGAAGAAGCACAGGGGGTATGGGACGTAGCTCAGGTGGTGGTGGGATCTCAATGAACAACAGAGGACAGGAGGGCTGCATAATATTCATAAGAAACGTGAGTTCAGTTTAACTCTATTATTATGTAACAACTTTAAAATAATGTTAAAAATCACAATTTTTCAATTTTCCCATGTTGTTATCATGAAACATACATATTTGATATGTTTGCTAGAATATTTGACAGCATTGTTTTGTATATTGTATCAATAATTTAGCTACAGTGATGATGAAAGTGCAGGGGTACAAAATACAGCTATTCATGTGGGCTGTTGTCCTCTGGGGATGTATCATATTGTCTGCATGTGGTGGATATATGATCAGTCCTTGGGGTAGGATTACGCAAATAACTGAGTAGCTCATAAAAGAGGAACATATTCCTTTCAAAACTTCAATTAAGCGCATTCTATGAGACCACTTAAAATTATACCATTCTTTGATAAAATAAAAGAATGTCCCATATTTTTTCTCAGATGCCATATGCTTGGGAGTGGAATAAGCTGAAGGAAATTTTCCGTCAAGCAGGAGATGTCAAGTTTGCTGAGATCAAGAAGGATGACAAGGGACGTAGCCGAGGGTGTGGAACAGTCAGGTTTGGCAACCCAGAAGATGCCCAGAGGGCGATCAGTATCCTTAAATTAAAGAATAGTCCCAAACATGTACATATGTATATTGAAATAATCAAAATATTAGCATAGCAATATATATGTACCATCCACTTTCTTCACATTTATTGATGTCACTGTCTGCTTAATTTTTTTCAAATGATCAGTCGCTTAAAAAAATAACTTGAGTATGCTTATACTAAATGTAACAGACTTTTCCTACCCCAATATAATTATAATATTTGCAGGCTTAAATTTGCATTTCAAAACAAAACGTCCTTAACTCTATCTAGCTCTGATGAATGGCATGGAAATGGATGGCAGAACGATAGAAGTGCGCATTGATAAGGGTATGAACTAACCCATGGTCCACAGTCGTTCTGGTCTCGCATCTTGAACTTTGGTTTTACACAGTGAATTGTCTTCACAATATATACTTGTGAATTGTGTTCACCGGCAATGGAGGAACATTCTATGGCGAATATTTGTGTTGTCTTTAGAGAGACTGGTCACGACAGTATTTTAATTATTTTCTGACGATTATTCAAAATATGTATTTTTAGGCATTTTACGGTGTTTGGGCTGCTTCTCTCCGGCTCATTATTCGGACATATGTTAATGTCAGTTCTTGTAAATAGCGGACTCCCCCTAGTGATGCATGAATCATGTACATATGAGATACTATCTAGAGACATTTATAGGAGGAGTGCATTTCATGGATATCTGAATCAAATTGTACTATATAACATTTGAGATTAAATCATGTGATTCTAGGCTGTATATATGTCATTATTTCAAAGTCAGTTGCTGCAACTGATCTGGAAAAAAAATTTGGAAAAAATCGTCACAAAGTTCCATTTTGGTGTCACAGAATTAGTTTCATTAGAACTCTTGTATACGATTGTGAATATTTCTGTATGTGTTTACTTTCATGTTCTGTGATTTCAATGTCTATTCTTTGTTCCAGAAAGTCGATGTACATTGTGTTCATCTTTGTTTTAATCTCAGAAATTCTGTATGTATAACAACAGTATATGATTACCCCTTTTAGTATGATATTAAAGTGGGTATATTTTTTTTAATAAATCTATGTAGTGTGTGAAATTTTTGTCTCAAGTTTTTTTGTGTTATTTAGACTGTTAGATAAAGTGAGTGAATTGGTTAATAGATGATGATTTTTCGATTGGTGCAGAACAGCTTTCTGAGCTTGTAACAGTTGTGCTAATGGTGAAATGAAATGTCCCAAGATCATCGCTCTTTGCCTCTAAGAGTCTAGTAGTTCAGAGTTGGTGCATTACCACTTCAAATATTTCATCTTTATGTTGTCTTTTAGTGTGAAGCACTATGAAGAGTTCAGAACAAAGCGGTACACTATGACATGTATTATCATTCTAATAAAAATAATTTGTGGATTTCTCAATCCGTTAACAAAATGGCATTATCATTTCATTACAAATTGAGTTGTTTTAACACAAAAGTAGAATTATCATTTTATTAAGTACAAAATGCTGTGGAGTTATTGTTTAAATACATTTATGTGGAATTCTCACATAAGTAGACCTTTTCATTGTTAATACAAACATGCGTTGTTATCGCATAGAAGTGTTTCTATGGTATTTGTCAGTTATTGCTGCATTCGAAATACTCCTGCATGCTCATTGGTTGAACTTAGGGAGTTATATAGAATTTATATATACATCTAGTCACCTATTTCATCTTCATTAAATTCTGATTCTGGCACAACTCCAGGTACAAATGTTTTTGACTCTGTAAGATAACCTACTCAAGGGCAATTATTTGACTGTCACGTGTGTTTTTCTTTTAAATTGAAAATAATATTTTGTAAGCAATAGGCTACTAATAAGGCTTAACTGCAGGTTCTATATTCAAGATGAAGGGAAGGTTTATTTTTATGGTAACATTTTGATGTTTAAAATGCTTGAGCTATGTTTGCATTTGTACATATTTCTTTGGTGTATTTCTAAGAAAACCCCTGGTAAGTTGCAATGTAAGAATAACAAAGGATTTGGGTTTCTCTGCTTTACTTGTTTTTCTATTTTAGAATTTTTCACTTCAGTGTTTGTGAACTTACTAATTAGAGAAAAATGACTATAAGAGTGGTGTATACAATGAAATATTGTTGTATATAATGGTATATTGTTTGATTTCATATGAACTGTACATCATGGGGTCTTAGATGCATTGATGGGCAGCATAGAATGTGAAAGTTTTCAGGAAAATACGATTCCGTTTGAGAGTTCTGATTTCTATAGGGTTGATGTGAATGAATTTCATGAATTATTCGACCCCCCTCATTTTGGAATTAAAGACCAAGAGCTCTCTTTTCTTGTCTTATTGAGTAGTGTCAAATTCTACGGACATTTCACCAGAAGGTTGATGTCATGTACATAATGTCATGTTCATGATGTCATGTTCATCAAGGCATCTAGAGCGTGGGTTTACTTTAAATGACCATGAATTTTCAACATAGATTTAAAGTGAAGTGTTGTTATTTGTCTACTGAATTTCCACGAGGGCAAGTAGTTCCACATTGATGTAAATGGATGAGAAAATCTGTGATTTATTCAGACTGGTGACATTCGAGATCAAGTTGTAGGAGTCTCATATGAGGTGATCAATCTACATGTATTGTATTTATGATGTTTGGAACAGTCTAATTTACGTAATTCATCAGCCTTTCCTTAGTCTGACATTGAGTCATATGGCTTGGATTGGAATAAGAAGAGAAAAAGGCTGGCTATGCCTATGTGAAACTTACAAAGGAGGTGTGGTGTACTGTAAGTTGGTACCATGTGTTTCATCCAAAGGTGGTAGAAGTTGTTGTTCCCTTGTTGGGCTAAGGTAAATAAGTATCTTTGTTCTGTCTATGACACTAAATCTGTGAGTATATTGTGTAATTTATACATTCAACTTTAGGGAATGTTTCTACTCGTTTCTGTTCAACCTTGATTGATCTTTGCATTCTGATCGTGGTCTCCTCAATGAATTCGGAGTCAAAAATCTTTGAGGTTATTTTAAGACTACTTAAAGTAAAACAGAAACTAAAAGAGTATAACTATGATTAACATTTAATGATTCATTATAAAGAACATTTGGACTAAATAAGTCAGTAAAATAGAAGTTAAAAATAAGTGATCGTAAAAATAAGTTTCTAACTTTTCATGCATCTTTGATAATACTCTGTGTGTATTCTAGGTACATGAAAATGATTCCTTGGACCAGGTATCCAGTGGATAATCCTCCATCCATATCATGGATTCTGCCCATTTATGGATTCTGCCCATTTATGGACATGTCAGCTATATCCAGCTCTAAGATTATCTTTTATTGAAGATGAGGTAAGGATTACACCAGTAAAGTTACATTAATAGTTAACATAGTGGATAGTTGATACACATGAATGGATTAAATAACTGTTCTATGATTAGAAAAGTTAGGATGATAACTCTTACATGATAAAGACCAATCATTTTTCAATGACATCTTTTTTGTTGTGCTTTGATTTGATTGACCAGGAATTGATTCCCTCATTACAGATAACATATGGGAGGTTGTCAAGATGATAACAATCTAGAATTTGGAGTTCTATATAGTGTGCAGAGATGATGTGTTTGAGATGGTCACATTTACAACAGCCAGGTAAACCTTATAGCTTTCATATCTATATCTGCATGTCCGAAATAACAGGAATGAGAGAATTGACTTTGAAAAGCTTTGAAGTTTGCATATACATTTTATATTCAACCTGATCAATTTTAAGATAATTTTAAGCACTTTTAAATGCTAAAGAGAAGGCCCATCTTTGTTCAGGGATATTCATTCATTTACAAGTATGTTTGTCTGAGCAATAACTCAAATACTTGTTTACAGATTGGATTCAGTTTTCTATTTCAAAATATGTAACATATCTGGACACATGTTATTACCCCCAAATGCTCAATTATGCAAGAATAAGAGATTTGCAAATGGCTGAATGGTTTTGATTGGATACATATCACCTAAAAATTATCATTTTACTACCTGAGTTATGCCCGCACGTTGAATGAAGTATTATTATTAAGAGAATAGATACAATTGACAAGACTGAGTACATTTCTATGATGGAGTTTAATGAATTATTTTCCAGAACTATTGATTAGTCACTTTCTTTCTACTTCCAGTTCCAAGATGAAGTAAAGCCTGGGACATCCCATGGGTAACCAACCATGGTAACTGTGTTTGAGGGCCAGACTACTAGGATTTGATGTAACATGGACACAATTAAAGACATGATAAAAACTGGTTTTGGAACTTTCAAATTATGACAGCAGTTGTTATTGGACAATTCCACAGTGGACAATATGAGCTATCACAAAATTACTAAATGAATGCTCTAAATCCCAGTTTGTTCCAAAAAACATGGACCAGTTAGTAAATTAGCCAGCAAATGTTTTAATGTGAAAGAATATTGGTACTAATAAATATATCCTTCATTTATGAATTACAAAATATAATTCATTTTTTACAATTATTTTTTAAAATTTATTTATAGTACTAGTATCTTATGCTATCACATGTTGAGAACTACTGTATTGCCCATGTTCAAAAGTATGGGTCTTGAATGCATTTTTATTAAATGTTAGCTTAGTTCCAAACTACAGTACTACTACCAGTATTAAGGCATTAGTCTAGAATGATTCTAGTCCCACTCCATGGGATACTGGAATAAGTCATTGTTCTTTTGATCACACGTCCAATAGATGGCACCGAGGACTATACAGTTATCTTCATATAAAAGAGGGTGGATTAAGAACATAGTCTGTTTGGACAGCCAGTAATTATGGGCCTTAAGAAAAATATTTGGGTTCCAAAAATTTTTTGGGCATTATTGGGGCTTTTGGGTGTTTTTGTTTTTTTAACTTCAGGCAAAATTGTACCCAGGAATCTTCCTGACAATCATAAGTCACAATCGTCAAACGAAACATTTGAAATCACCAGATCAAAATTTGGGTCATTTGTGAAAAGACTCGTGCTGCTTGATGGTGCGATTTAGTGTCAGACTAAAATATTGAATGTGGAATGAATAATCCATGGGAGTACATGTCCAAGTGCAAATTCTTTAACTTGAGTCACATTTGATCTATGGCTGACGTACGGCGGCCGTAGCTTCCCAAATTCGAGAGAAATATGCAGCATGAAATCTAGGAATAAGCAGTACGATTTCGATTTTCTATATTGATTTTGTGTGGCTATGGCTAACGTACGACTGCCGTAGGGCAAATGTGACTGAGGATGAATAACACGAAGAAATGTTACACCCGTTAATTATTTGTTTACTACAATTATCTACATCGAGTATTAGATTCACAGGGTTGGCAATTCATACCATTAAGTGAAAAAACATTAAAAATGGAATTACAATTTATATGAGTTGAGTAAAGCTAGAAATATAATTTATAAATAACATGTTGAATAACCTAATCGGGTGTATTGTAGAATAGCATAGAACTGTATTGAATTGGATTGCTAGTGCATTTTTGAACAATCGTTCAACTATTCCTAATATCCACGCGTTTAATGAAAACCATACGTGTAAAAGCCACATCATCATAAATGATTGCATCAATACAATGGAGCTTATAATATATTCTAGAGATATTTATCTGTACTAGTATTTTTTGTTATCATTTATCACTGTCGTGTATATCTTATCATGTACCCTATTTGTTTGATGGTCGTGATATTTAGTCTGTAGTAGTTCTCCAAGTATACATTATACATGTTATAGTAGGACCTGACTGAATAATGTAGTTGAAACTTGATGTATTTTATTAGGTAGATTCGCAAGAAAGAAATTTAATGTAATTGTGATGATTATATTTACCTATAATTGATAAAATATGCAATAACTTTCAAGAATTAATAAAATACAGAATAAAGATCATAATATTCTGGTTAAAGTATTAAAATGACATTTACCCGAAATATATTTTTAACTTTTTGTGAAAGTGTTAGCAAGATAAAATTTTTACTTTGTGAAGAGAACACCTTTTTGTCAAGAATGCTTTTTAATGGAACTTCATGCAATTCCCATAGTATACAATGTGTGGCATCGCGAGTCAACAATTGGCCATAGGAGTCTGTTTAGCTTGCTCAAATAAAGTACGTCAGTCATTCAAAGAAAGGGGCCAAGGTGAATTTCGATATATTCATCGGGCAAACAGAAGTATAAAGGACGAAATTAAATAGCGTTTCAACTGTTCCCAGTGTTTATCAAATACGTTTCATGACTACCATCGATTTGAAGGCCGGCTACTCTTGCCGTAAACTTCAAACTCAACAACCACCGACCGAGGCTGTCTTTCTAAACATTCTTGGAATCTCTCATACTTGAAGAATATTAATATCATCGCCATGGATACTCAACACAACAATCATCATTATTTATAGGATAATCGTTTAGAAACGCACTTAAATCTCGATCATAATCCGTTAATCCCTTAATCTGGGATTAGGCTATATCGATCAAAAATTCAAATGTTGAAGCCATCAAGGATCAGGGGGATATGAGGATACTTGAAACTGCCATAACAATCACTTGAGGACAATTGAAAAAGGAACGATTAGCACAATTCAAACTTGGTCTATACGCCATAAAAAGAGAAAATAAAATGGACACTATATGTTAGTGATATCCCGTAGTGTCTAAATGATGTGACAAAAGTTAAAACTTTAAATCTGAACTTTCAAAAGTCATAATCATATATATCAAACGCTAATCTAAGTGCGTGACATTTGAAAAAGTATCCAAAAATGCCAAATGACTAAGTTACGTATTCCTGACACGCAAGTCAACTATTTATTGTTCATAATAAGGTTTTCGCAGATAAACATCCAGGATGCCTATGATATATACGAGACGGGACTTCATTCTGAGGGAGAAGGCAATGCAAACTGCGAAGAGTACGAAGGACAGTGGATACGGAAGATGTTTGCTCCGAACGAATGTCCAGGAACAAAGGTATAGAAATGAGAGCAAGGGCAAATGCTAAAAATCGGAGATGCAAATGTAAACAGGGGGGGGGGGATTTTGGATAAATTACGTATTTCCGGACTTCATTTCCAGCTTTATTTGAAAAACGTCTGAATAAACATATTTCCTAAAACTTGTTTGGAAAGATACCCACCTCGCCTGCCACATACCTGTCTCATACCCTTTTACACCGGGGCCGCATACTCGTTTCCCAGTTTGATTTTCAATCATACATCATACCTTTAAAATCCAAGATGACGGGGCCGGGGATGTTTCAGTATTCATTTGCGAATACTATTTCAATGATAACCTTGGTTCCACATAAAAGCGAAACCTGTCAATAATAAGATTTATAGATAAGATTTGGTATATCATAGAACTATAGTAATGCGGTTACGTACAAAGTGATCAACTATACATCTTTTAATAAAAACTCATTCATCCCTATCAATTGGTATCCTTAACTATAGACCGGTTTCCATTACTGTCACTTCAAACGCATGCTGGAATGGGGTTTCCTCTCGTCCGATAGTCTTGAGGCACGATAACCAGTCACAGCATAGACTCCTGAAGTTCATGGACACATCTAGTAATGTGAAAACTAAGTAATTGTGGTGGCATTCATTCCCGGGCATTGTTATTGGTGAACTTAACTTCATGCCTTTAACTTTCTGCCGTGAAGAATCTACATCCGATCAATGTTAAAGTACCATTCTGTGCTCTCTTGTTTATTTCACGATGAATTTAATTTGTACCATTTCTTCCATTACTGTATCTACAAAGATCTAAAAAACAACCTCTAGTTAACTACAGTTTTTTGACATTTTATTTCAGAATGCTGAGGACGCAGCTTCGGGTCATGGATAAAGAGATGCACAGAAAACAAATGCACATAAACCAACAAAAGAAACAATTTATGCAACTGCGCAAGAAACAGCACCATGAACCTACACTCATTGTTGAACGGCCACCATCCCCAGATCAATATCATTATGGATACGAAGACGATTGGGATGAGGACCAGTACTATACCACTTATCCATCCCATAATTTCAAAGGACCTGGCTATATGCAACCGTTGAAAACACGCGCTAAAACACCAGTTGATTTCCCAACTATTGATGCATTTTCCGTCCAAGTGAAAAAGAAGAAAAATGTATGGGAAGAGGCACTTGATGAAACCACCACTCCTTCATTTAGAAAAACGGGCATTTGCTCCCCGCCTCTCACTGAGGAAGAACGGGTTGACCTCTATAGGGGCTGGTTGCTCCATAAGCCAGAGTCACGACAAAAAGCGAAACAACAGACTCGCACACCAATGTACAACACGCAGTTTGACGTTAAATCGGCTATAAAACTGATCGAAAAACGACTGTATGGATCGGATTATGAGAGTAGCACTCTATCTAGACCAACCACACCATTTTTAACACTTCAAGACAATGAGAAAAGGCCTACCAATATAAAGAAAAAGACAGTGACATTTTCAACCCCTGGGGTCAAATCTGCAAATAGTACCTCCCGTGCCAATAGTACTAACACTAACAAGTACACACCAGTTCTTGCCGAGTACAAACCTAAAAGCTCACATACACCTAACTTGCCAGATAGTGTCTCTCATAGCCCCAATGACCATGTGTCAGGCCAGTCAAGTCAAGCTTCCCATTTGCCACGGTTGAACAAGGAATCTGGGAAGCGAAGGACACCTAGCTCAACAATGACAGCGTCGTATCCGTTGAGTGCAACATCAGTAAGAGCACCACCAAAGTCTATGAGACGCTCAATTACTACTTTATAAACATTGTATTTTACAATTTTTCAATTTATACAAGTACATGTATAATTTCTTCCGGACGAGATTATTTGACGCCTTGAGCTTATACGAATGAAAAGCATGTAGAAATAACTGTCTCCCATTTTTCAGTATAGACCACTGGGCAATTATTTGAGAACACGTTTACAACCAGGAAACAAACGTCAGAATGTTGTTTTGCCAATGACTGAATGTACCATGAGAGCAAATATGAGAATCTTCGGTTGTACTATATGAACTATGAATTTGGTGCTTAAATGATCTTTATAAATAGCCCAGTCTTGCACAATCCAAACATTGTTGGATTATTAAAAACACTAATTTGTAAATACAGTTTGGCACATTTTGATTCAAGAAGGTCCATTTGAATGACCTAAATTATAAGTGAAAACGCCAAACCATCTTCACTATTTTTATTGAATCAAACGCTTTTTTAAAACATGCTTTAACACCTTTCCAATGGGGATATTCAAACGTGCTATTCCCGGGGTGCTATTACTGGATCATATCTCTAAGAACGAAAACAAAGAATAGTGTTTTATCTGCTTTGTATTCATGCACAATTCTGTAACAGCATAATTATATCAAAAGCAATACAAAATCAAATTAACTACATTTCAAGCAACATCTTTGTTCTGTTAAAATCAACTGGTCATTGGCAACACATCCACTTGGTTTTGCATCTGAATAAACAACTAGTAATGCTGACTGTACACCTCAATACTTGCTATTGGTTGTGCTAATTTTGTTTCTAGTGAATTTTTGTTGTGGTTTTTGGAGAATCACTCATTTCTAGAAAGATATTACTGTGCGGTTGATTATATTATATTATTTATACAAAGGTGAAGATCTACACATTGTAGGTACAATGTAGTCACAAAACTTAAAAAATATAAATTATAAATGGAATAATGCTTGTACCTAAGACTAATTCGCTTTCCTGATTATCCCATTTTGAATGATTTCTTGTTGGATATTTCCCAGAGAAGGAGGACGGCTTGTAAAGCTTCTTTACAATCCCAATTCAAATCTCTGTCTGAAGCAATGTGGCTTCTAAAGCTTTACCGGAATACCGATTAAAATCCAGCAATGTGGCCTGTAAAGCCTCACCACAATCCCAATTCAAATCTCGATCTGGAGCAATGTCAGATCATTTCCCAGTTCAATGGCAGCTTCACGTATGACTGGAAGTCTATCAGTGGAGAGCTGTTGCAGTAATGTCTTAGGTAGGACCTCCTTTATTTGGTGGATCACTGTCACATTGTTCTGTTCGTATACCAAACTCTGGATCAAGCGGATGGAATGCAGTTTTATTTCAGGCTCTGACTCCTCTGAAAGGAATACAATTAAATAATTTTCTTTTATCAATTTAGGCCGATCTGTTGTTTTTATTTTCAAAAGTTCACATTGCTTTATGGGAGTTGTTAGTTCAGAGTAAAACATAGTCATCATTTAACATGTTTGTTTGAAATGTTCAAGTAACGTTTTTGTGACAATCTTTGAAGTATTTTTATGGATTTTATCATGCAGACACCTCATTTCACTGTAATTTCAATATAAGGGTCATTTGGCCTTTTGAATGAGCATCTCTTCAAATGAATTTTGACAATGAATTCCCTGTTGACTTCCCAAACGAAAAATGGGATGACTTCCCAAATGGTGACATCCTCAATGAATTCTGTGATGACATCCTCAATTTATTCCCCGTTGACTTCCCCACTGAATTCCCTGATGACTTCCCCGATGAATTCTGTGATGACTTCCCCGATGAATTCTGTGATGACTTCCTCGATGAATTCTGTGATGACTTCCCCGATGAATTCCCTAATGACTTCCCCAATGATTTTCCTGTTGAGTTCCCCAGGGAATTCCCTGATGACTTTCCCAATGAATTATTTGATGACCTCCTCAATAAATTCCATGCACACTTCCCTCAATTAATTCCCCAATGGCTTCCTCAATGAATTCTCTGATGACATCTCCAATGAATTCTGCCCCCCAATCGATTTTCAATGAGTTTACCTGTAAGTAGCCACACAAGAAGAGCCATTATGTTGTTCTTGCTGCTTAAGTGCTTCAAACCTTTTTGATTGATGCTGATGTTGAAAAGACTCATCAGGATTAAACTGGAACATATCAATTGAAATCTTTATGTGCAAAAAGGTTGTACAGTATATAACAAAATCAGTAATATCTGGTTAAACAAATCAGGATTTCTTGATATGTATTATTTTGTTTGCAAAATATACTCTTCCTTACTTTTTCATCTTTGGGCACTGCTGCCTGGGTGTCTCAGCCAGGACGTTTATGAAGGTATCTACCAGGCCACTCCCAGCAGGTTTTGTCATCAAGAAGTCTCTGCCATAGGAAGAAGCAGCAATATCTACAAACCATGGAAACAAAGTCACTGTCAGAACATGTATGTAATGGTACGTTCACACCAACGGCGCTTTGATGGCGCTTTAAAGCGGCTTGTAAAGCGGCACCAAAGCGTAACAAAGCTTAATTAAAGCGTCGGGGTCGTAATAAGTCGTAGAAAAGCTCGGGAGTAAAGCGGGATATTCGGCAAGAGCGCTAAAAAATTTAAACTGTTTAAGCGTTCGCACCAACGGCGCTTTGATGGCGCTTTAAAGCGGATTGTAAAGCGGCACCAAAGCGTAACAAAGCTTGATTAAAGCGTCGGGATCGTAATAGGTCGTAGAAAAGTTCGGAGTAAAGCGGGATATTCGGCAAGAGCGCCAAAAAATGTTAAACTGTTTAAAAATTTTGGGCGCTCTGTTACGAAATGATTGAAGCGCCGAGAGCGTATCAAAGCTTAACAAACCGTAACAAAGCTCAACAAAGCTTGACTCAAAGCGTAGGAAAGCTTAACACAGCTTGGTTCAAAGCGGGGACCCCAGTCTATTCACGGTCTGTTACCACTTGACACGCTTCGTTAAGATGTCTCAAGATTTGCTACGATCTGGCATGAAGATCTGACACGAGGTCAGACGCTTTCATCAATATCTGACACTCTTTGTTACACTTTCCTGAGGGACTCTCAAGCTTTCCAACGAATTGAGACGCTTTAATCAAGGATTGAAACGCTTTGCTAGGCTTTGTTACGCTTGAAAGTTTTCACACGCTATATCACGCCGTGCGACAAACGTCATGTCTTCTTCAGATAGGTCATGCTCTGGTCCATCTGGAATTTCTGGATCTCGTTGTTCTGCCATCGTGTTCTCGAGTCAAACATGCAATGGTTTTATGGATCTACTGCATCTTTATATAGTCATTGGATCAAAAGCGGCATGGAATCGGCGATCTCGACATTTTCCAATGCGTGACAGAGCTTAACAGAGCGTAACAATGCACAACAGAGTTTTGCAATCGTATCAGAGCCTCATTTAAAGCGTCATAATCGCATCAAAGCGTAATAATGCTTATCAAAGCTTTTCAAAGCGTGATTTCAAGCGTTACAAAGCCTGATCAAAGCGGGATCAAAGCGTGAGGAACCTTTTAGAGCTATGTTAAGCTTTCCTACGCTTTGGATCAAGTTTTTCTGAGCTTTGTTACGGTTTGTTAAGCTTTGATACGCTCTCGGCGCTTAATCGATTCGTAACAGAGCGCCCAAAATTTTTTAAGAGTTTAAAAATTTTTGGCGCTCTTGCCGAATATCCCGTTTTACTCTGAGCTTTTCTACGACCTATTACGACCCCGACGCTTTAATCAAACTTTGTTACGCTTTGGTGCCGCTTTACAAGCCGCTTTAAAGCGCCATCAAAGCGCCGTTGGTATGAAGAAAAATGACAAAAATGACGGCGCTTTGCTCGCCGATTTAAAGCGTGGCATTCGCCGTTGGTGTGAACGTACCTTAAGGGATGTTGTTAATGTAAAATTCTTACATGGTGGCCAATTGCCTGAAAATTGCACAACTTATACTATAGTGATGGTGAGAATTTTGTTTTATCATATGATTACTGTTGAATAATCTTTGATATTTTTTGGCTTTTTATCTTTAGTAGGGATCATGATGAAGGATTCCTAGATTAAACTACATATATGTTAAATAACTCAATTTACACAGATATACATATGTTATATGAATATATATGATACATATTTGTTATATGAAGTTTATATGGGTCTAGTTTGTGTTTTATTGCTAATGCTTTCTATTGGATACTGAGGAGCTTATACTGTTATAGGATAGGGTTAAGTAGAGGTGGTCAGGTTAAGTTGCAGTCCACACTATTCGAGTCTCAGTCAAAAACCAAAGTAATTCTGTTAAGAGGTCGGGTATAGAGTTTACATGTTAAATTGAAATTAACATAGGTGAAATGTTATTTCCATATTCTTTAGATTGAATAAAATGGGCAAGCCCATAAAACAAGGTACATTGTATATCAAAAATGGGAAAACCTTTTGACCCATGTAACACTGATGTAACACAATTCTTACTTGTAACAATGCCACACAGTGAGAGTACAAACTGTGTCTCTTCAGAGTTCTCAGGTTGGGGAGTGTCATTCTTGTATGTATTACTGAATGTCTCTACTGTGCTCCCTACCAACTGCAAGAAGTCATCTATTTTTGCCTGCAAAATGATCATTCATTTGGAATTATTTACAATCACAACTGGTTATGATTGGTCAATGGGAAAATGAGTTGTTCACGTATGTAGAATTTGGAATTAAATTTAGAAGACTAGTCTAGCATCAGTATTTACCTATTTATAGGAAATAATTTGGAAAATCTGCATTACTGTTTTTGTGATAACTCATATATGGAATATTTATAGAGGATTCATATCTCCAACAGGGTTATATTTTTATCTCAGCCAACATTGATTGTATGGTATCTTCCACTCGAGACACCCTGCAAAGCAGGGTTAGATATTTACCTCAGCCAACATTGATTGTATGGTATCTTTCACTCGAGACACCCTCCAAAGCAGGGCTAGATATTTACCTCAACCAACATTGATTGTATGGTATCTTCCACTCGAGACACCCTCGAAAGCAGGGTTAGATATTTACCTCAGCCAACTAGCCTAAACATTGATTGTATGGTATCTTCCACTCGAGACACCCTCCAAGGCAGGGTTAGATATTTACCTCAGCCAACATTGATTCTATGGTATCTTCCACTCGAGACACCCTCCAAAGCAGGGTTAGATATTTACCTCAGCCAACAATGATTGTATGGTATCTTCCACTCGAGACACCCTCCAAAGCAGGGTTAGATATTTACCTCAGCCAACATTGATTGTATGGTATCTTCCACTCGAGACACCCTGCAAAGCAGGGTTAGATATTTACCTCAGCCAACATTGATTGTATGGTATCTTTCACTCGAGACACCCTCCAAAGCAGGGCTAGATATTTACCTCAACCAACATTGATTGTATGGTATCTTCCACTCGAGACACCCTCGAAAGCAGGGTTAGATATTTATCTCAGCCAACTAGCCTAAACATTGATTGTATGGTATCTTCCACTCGAGACACCCTCCAAGGCAGGGTTAGATATTTACCTCAGCCAACATTGATTCTATGGTATCTTCCACTCGAGACACCCTCCAAAGTAGGGTTAGATATTTACCTCAGCCAACAATGATTGTATGGTATCTTCCACTCGAGACACCCTCCAAAGCAGGGTTAGATATTTACCTCAGCCAACATTAATTGTATGGTATCTTCCACTTGAGACACCCTCCAAAGCAGGGTTAGATATTTACCTCAGCCAACATTGATTGTATGGTATCTTCCACTCGAGACACCCTCCAAAGCAGGGTACAGCAAGCTGCCCCCATACTAGAACAATAGTCTGATTGTTGCGATACCTGTTGGTTCAATTCAACAATCTCACATTTCAGCTTGAATTTTTCCTGAAAATAAAGCAATCTCATTACACACTTATTCAATTTAGAGGGTTCACTTTCGATTTCGGTACACTTGAGAATCTGTGGTGGGGATTCAGGAACCAGCCCCCTTTGAAGAGGGCTGAAAAAACACTTTTCAGTTCAACTGGGGTTTACAACTGGCCTTGTCTTCTGGACCTCATGCTGCCATGTATAAAGTAATATGCGCCAGCATATGCAATTTATTTGAAATCAATCTGATAACCACTATATCAGTTTTCAAATTAATTCATTGTGAACCTTTATTTGCTTGTCAGATATGACAAATGAAAGCCCAATGGGATGAGTCATAAATTGTACGACTATACTTCATTAATTGTAATTTTATTGACAAACTGCAAAACTGTTTCAAATGATATATGTGTGTTACTTTGGACTATAGATCTAATGACAAATTATGCAATACAAACAAACAATAGCTTTGTCACTTGCACTGTTGAAACATGTATTGTATTATCAACATGAATGAACAGATAGGAATATATTATGAAACTCCAAGTTTCACACACATTGAGGAAAAGAAATCATTTCTCTGATCTAGAATTTTGTGATCTAAAAAGTGATCACAAAATCTATGAGTACATATGATCCCCCTGGTAGATAAATCAAGGTGAGACTATATGACAGAATCAATTGGGATTTCAATCCATTATTTTCAAGTTCATGATTGTACAGACTTTTATCATTTGTCAATGTACCTCACGTTCAATATCCTGTTGTGCCAAAAGACCATTATACTTTGCCTTCCAGTGATCTACTTCTCCTTGCAGAGTCTGTACAGTACTCCGGCTCTCATACAGTTCTACAAATGAATCAAATCAAAAATGTATGTGAAGTATGCTGAAGTATATCTTGCAAGAGGTTTTTCACTATGTATTTGGTTATGAGAGGCTGAAAGTGAAGGCCCATAGTCAGACAAATTTTGAATCAGTATGCCTCAAATTTACCAAAATGTTCTACTCAGCCTCCCTAAAAGTCCTACTAAATTGAAAAAATGCAAAATTTTAAAAATGAAAAGCAAAATACTTGTACCATCAGTAGACCCCTTTTTCTGAAAAGATTTTTCGATGTTGGCATAAATATTGCTTGGAGAGTAACTGAATTAATCACCTTTTGAAAACAGAATGAATAAAGTTTTCAAAAAATCAGTGATAAAATATTAAATTAAAGGAAAATCATACAAACAAAATACTTTGGTCACAGGACTCTGAAAGGTGTTTCACTTATGGAGGTGTTCCACTTTACAGGTTTTACTGTACATACTTTTGCAACTTTTACAATCTGTTTATCATTTTATCTTCTACCAGCTCAGAGTGTTTTATATGTCTCTGACCCTTCCTCTGAAGCCTTCCTTTGCATTGGTACATAGCCTAAGCCTACCTTGTTCAACTTTTTCTAAATTACGCATTTCATTCATTAGCTTGTTAGACTGCCTGGCAAGTTTTGGGATACCATCCTTCATGGTGTTCACTTGTTGAATCAATCTCTGTAAGTCTTGTCTATGAATTGTCACAAAGTCACCATTTGTGCTTTTCTGCAATATTAAGAAAAAACAACATTTTAATGGAAGACGATTACATGTATTTATTAAATTTTCTCAGATTTTTTGTCTGAAATGAACTTTTAGCTCTGTATGGGTATACACTGTAGCTGGGCCCTAACTGAGTTATTTTAAAATCAGATCAACCAATTTTAGGCTGCTTTGAATAATGACTCTGAAATATCTCGTTATTCTGAATCTTTCTAATTACTAATATATTTTATACAAGCGTTCCTCTATTGATAAGAGTCAAAGAATGTTATTTAGCAGTATCTAGCAGTTCAGACACGGTAGAAAGACGTGGTACGACTAATTTCTTTGAGATTTGTGAAATTTGAAATTTGACTCATTCTTACTTTGGAATCCATTTTGTACACTGAACGAAAAGACAAACTTTGAATTGAAAATAATCCCGGGTACTCGCAAAACGCCCCTACGTTCTCTGACTTCAAATTGATACAACGTATGGTAACGGATAAAATGGATAATACATGCCCCGAAAAAATAATCATATTGTTTTTCAGACAGTGGCATCTAGATACAGGCCCGTAGCCAGGATTTACCGAGGGGGGGGGGGGGCGGGTGGAAGTTGCCATAGGCATAATACGAAAAGGTGAAAAACTGAATGATTTTGAAAGAATTTCTGGCCAGTGAGGGGGGGGGCTTATTATATCTTCATCTTTCTATAAACGTGGATATCCACAATTTTTTAATTTTCATCAGTTCTGATTTTCCAGATGTGGAACCATTTCTTTCAAGCTCCCTTATTCGTCTTAATAATTTTGATAGTGATTTAGGTCACTGAAAAGTTTTGCCTTTGCATAAGTACATGTACAAATACTTAAAGTATTCACTTCTTGTATCTATTCAATTTCAATGGATGATAACTTCTAATATTATTCAATTTTAATGGATGATAGAAATAACTCTCATAATGACATTGTTGCAAGGTGTGCTACAATTTATACAAGTTGTATTATCACATATTCAGTATTCCCCACGAAAGCATATATTTGCATAATGAAGTTGTTAATTGTTTTTATTTGCATAATACTAGTGAATTATATCGCAACAAACATATCTATTTTGCTACCATTTGTTATGCAACAAGCAAGTAATAACTTATAGCTAAATGGGCATCTGAATCATAAAAATATAAAACATGATTGTGGAAAGAAAGTAAGCATTCAAGAAAGTAATATACAGGGTGTCAAATGGCGCTGTGCCCCTTCCACAGCATAAACTTAGAGAGTTACCAATCAATTCTATGCGTCATTGGAAAGAGCATTCAAGAAAGTAATATACAGGGTGCCAAATGGCGTTGCGCCCCCCTCTTCCACAGCATAAACTTTTTTTATAGTTTTTCTAGAATGTGGGGTAAACCAAGGAAATATGGTGAATTATTTTAAAGAAAAATTCTGTGCCTGTAACCCCACTTTGTTGACAAATTAATGTTTTCTAGTGTCAATTTGCAGCCATTGAATGTTTTCAATGTGTATTGAACCGAACGTGGTCTTTGCGTACTCGGGTTGGAAAGGACTAAAATATGTTGACAGACGACAAAATAGAATTACACCAACCTCATGTTTTTGAATAAGATGGAGGTTTTTGTTGTTCCTGTACGCGACAAAAATAATCTAAGTGTCTCCACCCCCTGAAATTACTGGGCTAAAGAATATACCATTAGAAAGGGTAAATATAATGAAATAAATTTAAAAGGAATTTCACATTAGAACAAAACTTTGCAACGATAATATAATGGAGAAAAAGATTTGGAAAGGATGTTTTGATCAAATTAGTCCAAATGATTTTCCATAATATAAAGCGAGTTTGATATGAATTGTACGAACTAGGCCTAACGAATAAACCATTGGAAAGAGGAAATGTTATGAAGTCGATTCAATAGGAATTTCAAGAGAGAGGGAGAATATTTTGAAAAACAGCGTTTTGTTCAAATGAGTTCAATAATTTTTTAACATAAAATGGAAACTGTGACTTTAACTAAATGTGACGTCCATTTTACTCTAAGAGCGAGGAGGAAAATTCTTAATAAATGGAGTATAGTTGGTTTGGCAGCATTTTCAGTTAGAGGGAAGTCTTGGATGAAAATTCTACTTAGGTGATAGCTTCACAGAGTGGTACATAATTCTTTTTTTTCAGGGGTTAGCCCCCCACCCCCCCCAAAAACACTCCACCCCTGGAAAATATTTTTTTCATTCTCAATAACTTTAGATATCTTGATGTTTGTGAGTTACATACATAGATATTATATATATGAATCATCTGCAAAATAAATAATGCCAATCACTCCTACAGAATTTGAAAAATAGTACAAAGTATGTACCCCAGGGGGCAAATTCGTGACCCATTTTCTTACTATTTAGAGCCTCACTTTTCAACCAGACAGGGAAAGACATTGGAAAATTTCATGTGAAGTGCCCAGTAGCAGAACTATAAGCCCTGAAAGAGTCAAACTAATTGAATCAGTAGGAGCTGAGAAAAAAATTGTTGATTTTTTGAAAAATTTGACATTTTTGAGAGGGGTGATTTTGTGTATGACTATAGCTGATGCCTATGGTTTCCAGATCTATCCCTCTTTGATGATAAATATGGTTTTGAAGTATGGAACTAAGATGTAAAAACTAATTAAAATGGGTTTTAAGGAAGTTTAATGTTTTAAACAAGTTCAAAATTCGAAGAATTGTACAATATCAGGTCTGAATTTACGAATTTTAGGTAAGACCTTGGATGAGCCTTAGATTTTTTACATCTGTCCCCCTTTGATGATATTTATGGGTTTGTAGTATGGAACTAAGATGTACAAAATAATTTAGATGGTTTTTAAGAAGGTTTAAGGATTTTAACAAGTTCAAAATTTGAAGAATTGTATAATATCAGGTCTGAATTTACGAATTTCAGGTAGGACCTATGGTGAGCCATATATTTTTCACATCTGTCCCTCTTTGATGATATGTATGGTTTTGTAGTGTGAAACTAAAATGTAAGAAATAACTTAGATGGAGTTGAAGAAGGTTTAAGGATTTTAATGAGTCCAAAATTTGAAGAATTGTACAATATCAGGTCTGAATTTACGAATTTAAGGTATGACTTTGGATGACCCTTATGTTTTTATATCTGTCTCTCTTTGATGATATTTATGGTTTTATAGTAATGAACTAAGATGTAAATATAATTTTGATGAATTTTAAGCAGGTTTAAGGACTTAAACAAGTTCAAAATTTGAAAAATTGTATAATATCAGGTCTGAATTTACGAATTTCAGGTAAGACCTTTGGTGAGCCATATATTGTTTACATCTGTCCCTCTTTGATGATATGTATGGTTTTGAAGTGTGGAACTAAGATGTAAAAAAAACCAATTAAGATGGATTTTAAGATTGTTTAAGGATTTTCACATGTTCAAAATCTTGGCGCATTGTACAATATTAGGTCTGCAATTAACACTACATTTCAAGTATACCCTTGGTTGGCTCTAAACATTTAGAAAAAATTGTTGACATGGGGTCCCTATTTATCATTTTTCGAATTATTCGATTGATATTTTTATTATCATGGTGACTTCACTTGAAAGAAAACATATTGTTTTAATAAAAACCACTGTATTTATGCCCAGAAAGTACTCATGGTGAAATATATGACTGTCTTAAATCACTTGCCATAATGCACATGGACCTTTTTGAATATTTCTGGCTTATGTCATTCCTTTTCATGTCTATTTGCTAATAATCCCCAAAGTGCACACTTTATTTCAGGAAAACTAAAGATTTCTACAATAATGTATTATTTTTCCATAAGAATGATTACCGTTCTTATTATTTTGAGAGAATTTTCACCCATTTTTGCTCTTTGAATCCATTATAACTTCATCAATTTTTAACACATCATGAATCTTTTTGGAAATATTGTATTAAAGATTGTAAGGAATAGATTGGTACATGAATTGCACATGTTGCTTATAATATTGTCACACCCATAGATCTGATTCTGCCTTTAAACTTCCTTAAAACCCATCTAGATTATGTTTTACATCTTAGTTCCATACTACTAAACCATATATCATCATAGAGAGATACATACCTGAAATTCATTAATGTCAGAAGATATGATATTGTTCAATTTGTCAAGTTATACCTAAAATTAATAAATTCCTGACCTGTTATTGTACAATTCTTCAATTTTTTAACTTGTATAAACCTTTAGCTTCTTTAAAACCTTAAATTATGTTTAACATCTTAGTTCAACACTACTAAAGCATATATGTCATCAAAAAGGGATAGATGTTCAGAACACAAGGCTCGCCTTAATACCTAAAATTCATTAATATCAGCTCTGATATTGTACAATTTGTCAAAATTTGAACTTGTTTAAAACCTTAAACTTCTTTAAAACCCATCTTGATTATGTTTTACATATTAGCTCCATAGTCCATAATACAAAACCATATATATCATCATAGAGAGATACATACCTGAAATTCGTTAATGTCAGAAGATATGATATTGTACAATTTGTCAAGTTTTGAACAGGTTTTAAAACCTTAAACCTCCTTAAAACCCATCTTAATTATGTTTTACATAATAGCTCCATACTACAAAACCATATATGTTATCATAGAGAAATATATGTAAAAAACAAATAAGGGCCATCCAGAGTTATACCTAAAATTAATAAATTTCACCTGTTATTATACAATTCTTCAATTTTTTAACCTGTTTAAACCTTAAACTTCTTTCAAACCTGTCTAAACTTTGTTTAACATCTTAGTTCAACACTACTAAATCATATATGTCATCAAAAAGGGATAGATGTAAAAAACATAATACGTAAAATTCATTAATATCAGCTCTGATATTGTACAATTCGTCAAAATTTGAACTTATTTAAAACCTTAAACTTCTTTAAAACCCATCTTAATTATGATTTACATATTAGCTCCATACTACTAAGCAATATATATCATTAAAAAGGGATAGATGTTAAAAATATAAGGGCCAAGCAAGATTATACTTTAAATTTATTAATTTCAGATCTGATATTGTACAATACGCTAAGATTTTGAACTTGTTTAAAACATTAAGCTTCTTTAAAACCGATGTAAATTATGTTATACATATTTCCACACAATTAAACCAAATATATCATGAAAAGGGGATAGATGTTAAAATCATATGGGCTAACCAAGGTTATACTTGAAATTCATTCATTGCAGACCTGATATTATACAATTCTTCAAATTAAAATCCTTAAACCTTCTTAAAATGCATCTAAATTATTTTTTACATCTTAGTTCCACACTACAAAACCATAGATATCATCAAAGAGGGACAGGTGTAAAAAAAATATAAGGCTCATCCAAGGTCTTACCTAAAATTTGTAAATTCAGACCTGATATCGTACAATTCTTCAAATTTTGAACTTGTTAGAATCCTTGAACCTTCTTAAAATTCATCTAAACTATATTTTACATCTTAGTTCCACACTATAAAACTATAACTGTCATTAAAGAGGGACAGATATAAAAAACAAAAGAGTTGTCCAAGGTAATGCCTATAATTCGAAAATTCAGACCTGATATTGTACAATTCTTTAAATTTTTGACTCATTAAAATCCCTAAACACTCTTAAAAACCATCTAAATCATTTTTAACATCTTAGTTCCACACTACAAAACAATACATATCATCAAAGAGTGACAGATGTAAAAACATAAGAGCCATCCAAGGTCTTACCTGAAATTCGTAAATTCAGAATTCTGATATTGTACAATTTTTCAAATTTCGAACTTGTTAAAATCCTTAAATCTCTTAAATTCATCTAAATTAAATTTTACATCTTAGTTAAACGCTATAAAACCATAAATATCATCAAAGAGGAACAAATGTAAAAAACACAAAAGGGCCGTCCAAGGTCATACCTAAAATTCGAGAATTCAGACCTGATATTGTACAATTCTTCAAATTTTGGACTCATTAAAATCCCTAAACACTCTTCAAAACCATCTAAACCATTTTTTTACATCTTAGTTCCACACTACAAAACAATACATATCATCAAAGAGTGACAGATGTAAAATCATAAGAGCCATCCAAGGTCTTACCTGAAATTTGTAAATTCAGACCTGATATTGTACAATTCTTCAAATTTTGAACTTGTTAAAATCCTTAAACCTTCTTACAAACCATCTAAATTATTTTGTACATCTTAGTTCCACAGTACAAAACCATAAATATCATCAAAGGGGGACAGATGTAAAAAATATAAGGCTCATCCAAGGTCTTACCTAAAATTCGTAAATTCAGACCTGATATTGTACAATTCTTCGAATTTTGAACTTGTTTAAAACATTAAACTTCCTTAAAACCCATTTTAATTAGTTTTTACATCTTAGTTCCATACTTCAAAACCATATTTATCATCAAAGAGGGATAGATCTGAAAACAATAGGCATCAGCTATAGTCACACACAAAATCACCCCTCTCAAAAATGTCAAATTTTTCAAAAAATCAACAATTTTTTTCTCAGCTCCTACTGATTCAATTAGTTTGACCCTTTCAGAGCTTATAGTACTGCTACTGGGCACTTCACATGAAATTTTCCGATGTCTTCCAGTGTCTGGTTGAAAAGTGAGGCTCTAAATAGTAAAAAAATGGGTCATGAATTTGCCCCCTGGGGTACATTCTTTGTACTATTTTTCAAATTCTGTAGGAGTGATTGGCATTATTTATTTTTGAAATGATTCATAAATATAATGTCCATGTATGTAACTTACAAACATCAAGATATCTAAAGTTATTGAGAATGAAAAAAATATTTTCCGGGGGTGGGGTGTTTTTTGGGGGTGGGGGCCTAACCCCTGAAAAAAAAGAATTATGTACCACTCTGTGAAGCTATCACCTAGGTAGAATTTTTATCCAAGACTTCCTTCTAACTGAAAATCCTGCCAAACCAACTATACTACATTTATTAAGAATTTTCCTCCTCGCTCTTAGAGTATTTTCTAATCTAGGATATTTTTAATGCTCTTCTTTGGTTAGGTTTATTTCATAAAGCTACATATTAAGAATAGTCCATTAAGATCTTGAAGGGACAAACACGGCAGCTCCACCAACGTTAGGTTTTACTAAATGTTCTACATCAGTTCTCAGTGAGTTTGTCTCTGTTTCAAAGCATTCTACAGTAGTCAGACATCTATTGCCTTGTGTACTTATTCCACCCATGATGAAGATCTTGGATCCTGGAAAACGTATAAAAGTTTATTTTTTGTCGAGTCTTGGATTCAAACAAGTTAGCAATTAGAAATCAGAGTAGCACACACCCAGATATAACGGGGCCTATAATACGTTGGATAGTACGCGTGTACAAAAGGTTAGTATTTAGGACTCGATCATACCGTAAACAAATGATCAAGTTCACGATATACTCGGGCAATAGAATGTAATAGGAAATGTTTAATAACAATGTGAAGGACCATGGGCATGCATGTAATGCCCCATTGGAAAGGTGTGTGGGGCCGATATAACAGTTAAATATATCACAAGTTTTGTAGCAGATTTTGAACATAACACCGTGGATAAGGGAATGGCGTAAATTTCTTAAATTACCTAAGGTACATAATAAACTAATGATGAAACACATACCAACAACAGCACACATGACGTCATGACGTGGCAGTTTCATTTCCGCCACACGTGACCATGAATCCGCGTCATCATCATACATGCTAATGGATCCAAGACTCGATATGGCGTCTCTAGTTTCCCATTTAGTGGCCCCACCAATTACGTACATCGTTCCTTTGACGTCTACAAGACGAGCGTGGCAACGACCAACTATCATATCGTTCTTCTTTGACCAACTGGAAATTATAAGTTAAGCTTACTAGTAACAGGTAAGGATCAGATCATATTACCCATAGAACGATTTACCAATAAAAATTACGTTTTGGGTTGCCCCACTTGCAATTGCAACAGAAAGGATGATGATTAATTTTGGCCTGAATTATTAAATTTTTGGTTATTTCTAAAATGCCCAAAATATGCGTACATGTACTTAAGGTTTATGAAAATAGTTGCCATTGTTCAAAATCACTTTATATCAAACTTGCAAGGAATCGTTCCTCCTTAAAACTTAACATACTAATGCAAGTCAGGCTTGTAGCCAGCTTTCATCAACGGGTGGGGCTTTACAAATCACTCGAAAAGTGATCAAAGTGTTGAAAAATTGCATGGTTTTGAAAGATTTTTGTCCAGGGGGACTTTATGACAGCGGCTTCAAGCTAAGTCCAATTTTAAAAAAGTTTCAGCAGTTCGGATGTTCCTCCATTTTGATACGGGGTACGATTTTGATACGAGTCACTCACGTGACTTTGGTAAACAAGTGAATGCAGTTCATGCATGATGTATTAGTAGTCTATTGATTGAAAAAATGTCCTAACGTTTACAACTTGAAATATCTACCTAATAAACATGAAGTTATGTTTCATGCAATTCTAATTCGTTTGTTAATATACTCTAGGATGAGTTCTTCATCCTAGATATACTTCACCTATTTTTGTCAACATCGTAGGTGCCAACAACTTTAAGGGCTTTACGAGTATCGCTGCAGTACCCCCCGGCTGCGAATATCTGTCCCCTATGCACAGTGACAGCTATGCCAATGTGACACGATGGTAGTGGGATCACCTCCCAACTATCTGCAGTTTCATTGTACCTTTCCATATTACACAGCACCCTACGAAAGAAAGACATCAAAATGATTTTGTTTTCATACATTTCATGTTCTAAAAGTGAAGGACATTTTTCAAAAAATGTTTTTCAAGCACTGTTTTCAGTAGTGTGTGATATCTCACGTGAGACGATGCGTTGGGTCACATCTGAATAGCGTATATTGGGACATACCCTCCATCATCGTCTTGTCCCCCAATTGCATAGATGGTATCGTCCAACACAACAGCTTCGACGTACATTCGCGCGTGTGTTAATGGCGACATCTTTCGCCAGCTTTCTGTGTCTACATCGTATCTTTGAACATCTTTAATTGGATTAACCAATGCTGTTGGTTCTTTATGGTCAAATGCGGAACCACCTAGAATGAGAATGATGTTCGTTAATGTCGATAAATGTTGTTCCAAGGTAGGCCTACAAGTAGTTCAACAACGCTTTGACCTATTTGTTCACGATTAGCGATGCCGGCTTTCTGCGGTTGATGCCTGTAACCCCGCCTGTAACGAATGGCAGGCTGTGACATTTTCCATATTAATGCCTTGCTAGATATACTACTGTAGTAATCCTGAATCCATTGGAATCATGAAAGCATAGTAATCGACAGTTATCTTGCACTCTATTTAGTTAAATTCTATAAAGAAGTATTTATAATCTCTGTAAGATATTTTTGGCAAAATACCCCCTATTTTACTGATCATCGTAGACTTGCCTTGGCAGCGAACTCAAGGCATCGAGAGGACAATACTGTCATATTTCATCTCTTGAATCACCATTGCTTCAAACAGAAAGTAATTTATACGTTCGTCCCTCATATAATAGCTTGGCAGTTGACAATCCGTTAGCATTATATTTTGCGATATAATCTATTAAAACTAATAAAGTAAACTTGTCACCAAAGCTCTCCATCAAAACAATGAAATCATGGTAAAATGAAGATAGATTAGCACTGTGAGACATCGTTCATTATTTATGATTGTAAATATTAAATAACAGGGGCAACATTTCCTGATATATCCCCATCATTGATAGAGCACGGAGGTAATAGCTAAAGGTAAGTACTGCAACAGTGGTTGATAAATTGGAAGCTCAGGTTAGACGCCAAACATTTCCGCTTTGTTTTGCTAAGAGCCGATGTGCCGTAATGCGAAGAGGGTTACACACCCCTAAATAAAATTTGAAACCAGGAGTTTTCATTGGATTGTTTATCAAAGCTTATCAATATCAAAGTTTTAATTTTCTTCATCAATTACAATTGTTTGGACATTTATATATCAAATATGATGATTTTTAAATCACCCAAATGGATGAATTCTATAAGTCCACCAATCACTTTGTGATCCAAATGAAGACTGTTGTGTGCCAAACTTATGGAGGGGAGTGTACATAAATATCACTCGATTTAGGAGAGACTAATGAAAAGAAACGATTCTTGAGAAGTTAAGATGAAGTAAAAACTACAAGAGAAAACACTATAAACCACTTTAAGCTAGTGGTCTTGAGACGTCATCGTCCATCGGATTTCCTATCCGCAGTACTCGGTTATTGTGCCTGTGTCGCACAATAGGTTGTTTCATTTTTTCGGCCAATACCATATTAGAAAACGCACTCGTTTAAACGTTATCCGATTTTGTTGAAAAAATCAGTGAACTACCAGCACCATTTGTAACCCCGTGTAAAGGGCCGTTGTGAAGTGAGAACATTCTTGAAAAATGAAACACCCGATCGCACGATGATAGATGTTTATACAAGCGCGCAACCTATGGGCGAGGATGAAATCGTTTCTAATAGGGTATTGGCCGAGGACGAACAATTGAAATACCGTGAACAAAATCAGTAATTGTTATCTATCTGTATGATTAAAGTAATACTAACCCATCACTCCAATAAAATAAAAATGCCAATTTGCGTAAATTAAAAACGTAAGCTGTGTCTAGGAGATAAAGATTCTTTGATTACCGGCATTGTTTCATGCTCAAAGTGGGAACAACGACTGGCTCGATTGGTAATGAAAGCCCCCTCGCCATGTCATTGGACAATGGATAATGAATTCCTTAGAACAGTCTTCCCTTGATGTTTAATTGACAATAACAAATCTGCCATTACAAACTTATAATACAAGTTGAGCAGGTGATATCAAACAAAGACTTTAATATGTCGGCTTTTTTAATCATATTGTCTATCAGAAAATTACCTAATCATAGAAAATGTCAGCTCTGTAAAAATAAACTTCAATTATATTGATGAGTTGGTTATCAAGTTAGACTGGGATTAGTAATGTACCCCATGTGCAAGTGGTCCGGGTTCGATTCAATGTTCAGTCTAACATTAGGGTTGTATTTAGATAACGGTCTTTAAGACTCCACCAAATGCCTTAAGTGGACCTTACCTTGAACAAAATGTTCTGTTGTGCTGTGCAAAAACAAAAGATCCCTCCGAGGCACGCGGGTCCAACTATGCACGTTGAAAACCGTTAATTTGAGTTTTAGACCTACTACAGATGTTTGAAAAATCAAGGATTGTGAGTCTCATACTGTCACCATTGTTCTTCAAACTTGCACCATTATAACAAAAATGTCTTTCTGTTGGTACATCATTATGTTATGCAGAGTCCCTCCTTTTAGCGTCGTTTGGGCCCCCAGTTGTGAGTATACGAAACATACCAATTACAAATCACTGGTTAGTACCAGGCGAAGGTAACGGCCGTTACCTTCACATCAAAGATGGCTGAGGGAAGTGTCGGTTTTGATATTTTTAGTTTTCATCGAATTAAACTACTTTATAGTTGACGTAATGCTTTGATATTTAAGTCAAATCAGACTCATATGACATGGGTACTATGGAATATGATAATTTGTTCATATATGATGCGTGGGCGCCAAAGTGTAAGGATATCTTCCACCGCTTAAGGGAAGGTAACTGAAAATGTAATACAGGGTAACGGTCATGTTAGTTTTCAATACACGGTAACGAGACATCACATCTCTCCATTATAAACTCTCATAACTTTACCGCATTACCTCATATCAGTTATCTTATCATATGTAAAACCAAAATCCCAGTTTCCTTCCCTTAAGCGGTGGAAAACATCGTTGAACAGCAGCGCCCAGCCAGAGTTTCCATGGCATATAAGTTGGGTTTAGTTCAAATATCAAAGCATTACGTCAACTATGAAGTAGTTTAATTCGATGCTAACGAAAAATATCGAAATCGACACTTCCCGTCCGCCATCTTTGATGCGCCGGTGACGGCCATTACCTTCGCTTAATACTGACCAGTGAAAATGAGGTATTGGTTGATACATACCAATGACGTAGATAAAATGGTCAATTCGCGCCAGGGCATGGTGATGAACAGACTTAGGAAGTTTAGCTCCCTCCTCCCAAAAGTTATCCCTGAGAGTATACTGCATGATTGTGTTCCACGGATGTACTGGGTAAAGCTCTTGCTTTAGGCTAGTGACTCCACCAATCAAGAGGACACTGTCAGGCAAAGGAGGTAGAGGAAGTGGACTTGGACATGGGCTAATCTGGAAGTGAGAATAAACGTAATATACGCCTTCAAATATGTGTAACCTTCATTATTGGCTATATTCGTCGAGATGACTCTTTTAATTTATTTACTTTTACTCAAATGATTGATCATGAACATTTGAGGTTTTGAGTACCTTTACTTCTTCTGGTTTCGGAAAGTCATGATACCCAGATGGTTCTTGTTTTGGACGCAATGTATCGCGTTTCTTTATCTTTGGTTTCTCTAACAACTTTTTGCGTATTTGTAAGTTCTCTACCGAGGACGGAAGCCAGTGTCTTTTACCTGGAACCTGGACAACACTAGCCAGTGAACTACCCGTGTTCAAGAGGGCGTGATATCTAAAATAATAGATAAATCTCATTTTGGACCTAACCATCTCATAAGTCAGTGTTCACTGAGTTTGATAGGAGAATTGATTTTCCGACCAATTGGCCAAAATATTTTATTCTGAAGTGTAATTACCTCAGTGCTTGGTAAATCATGGCGTTGATTTCCGGAACTTTTATGACGTGGGTTGTTTCAACATGAGTAGCAATATCTTCAGGAGAAATCAGTATAAATCTGACACACTTCATGGCATCTGCTGCAAACTCCATACGTTCCTTTCTGTTCGTATCTAACCAAGCAAGTATTGCGTAAAACACATCGATTTCGGAAATAACATGGAGAGCATCCCTTGATGCTATTTCACAAAGGCAGGAAAATGAGCATTTCAAATGTTCTGCTGACGAAACGATGTCAAGAAAATGTTCATTTATAAATTGATCGAGACTATTGCTAACATCGTCTAGATGGTGCCGCTGGGCAATATCTAGCTGTTCGAACACCGTTAAGGTGTCGTCTTTTAATAGAAATCTTGCACAGAGCTGTATGATTTCTTGGAACCCCAACTGCTTAGATGCGGACAGCAAGTCATCAACTGTTGCCAATGAAATCACGATTTTGGAGGTATAAATAAAACACAATGTAGCAGCCACACCATCTGTTGTGCTTTCATTTAAAATCAATTCTACGTTCTTTCCTTCGTGTAGTTTTGTGAACAATTTATAGAGCTTTGGACTATGTGCAGCAAGAACAACCTTATGTGCCGGGAATTCATGATTTCCAACTTTCAGGACAACATCACAGAGGTGTTTTTCTTGGTACAGCTTTGACACAAACGATGCTATAACCTTATCATGATGCTCTTCCATTGACATGTTAGGGTCATATTTGATATCGATGTCAAATGCCTTGGCTAAGTCATTCTGCTCTTTCGTATTGCCACGTCTCCGTTTCAATTCTATACTGTTGGTCCTGTATACAGACTCCATATCACTTTCAGCATCTTCCCACTCTCCCGAATCCATAGCAGACATAATATCGCCTGGGTTCTTTATCTTGTGTCCTTTGAGTCGCTCATTATTTGTCAACTAATCATTGCTGCTTTTGGTTTTTGTTGTGTTGTCATAGCAATATGTTTTTTAGGAGAAACGTCACATTGAAATAACATTTCTTTAAAAAATGTTTTTATGTGACGCAAAGACATTTAGTTGTATGCCTTTGTGTGACGTAAATAAATACCAAGTGATAAATTTGTTTTCATGGGTCATGTGATTGTTTTCTTGAACAGCTATTTTACCTTTTCTTGTACTAACGCAACAAGCAAAAACATTGTAAAACCACAAAATCAGTGATGATTACATCAATTTCATTAAATTAACCATGTAGTCATGTGTCTCTTCTTTCCAATGGTATGTCATTTGTTCATTTGTTCATGTCTGATAATGTACCACAGAATAATCATTGTTTTTTTCGCGCATGAGTGAAAAGGCATTTGTGCCAAGTTTTGAAATATCCTCAGTCACCTGATCATATTGTGCAATCAGGTAAATCATTATGTAATTGGGACTGGGGATTAAATTCTGGTCACAAGAGTTACATAACACAAGTTTAAGATTTAGATTCACTTGGAAAAATATCTAACTTTAAGTGTTCAATTTTTATGTGCAATTCTCACCATATTCTAAGCTCGGATGGATTTTGTCATGAAAACTTAGTTTTTGATAATTTCATATCACCACATGTTGATCGTATGAGAGAAAATAAGTCTGAGTATGGAACCTTTATTACTTTAAACAATGGCCTTTTGATAAATTGCATCTCGTCGTAATTAATGGGTACCTCTCGAGAAACTGATGGAATTAAGGTAACGGACATTACGTCTGGCGATTATCATGAGTGATGAAGCGTATATTTCCATACGATATTGGAAACTCAGCCATCCTTACCTGAAAGGTGTAATATGTAAATGCAATCATCTTAATAGACATCATTGAGAAAATAAAGAAAGAGAAGTACCCACTGGAGCATGTAGGAGGGGGTTTAATCAAATATTTATTGATGTATTGCATCCGTGTGAGTTCAATTCATTTTAGTTCTTGTTAATAACTGGTGAGAGTGACATTGTCTAAAAACACCCCCTTCACCTGTGAAATGACAGGTTGGGTGTATTTCTCGAAACATCCTAACCATTAAAGCAATGAAAACCACGACGACATAATTGGAAAACCGTTCCTGAATAACGCAGATGCGAGTAGGTAGTTACCATATTCACCACCAGGTGGCTCGTTCGGGTCAGATAGCATGGCGGGTATAGTAGAAAGTTCCCTTTAACTTGAATTACATCTATTTGCGTGGCCCAATTTTCATATAACCCTTGTGTATCTAATAGTTATGCAAATTAAAATATGTCCAGTAAAAGAAAATGTTATCTGTCCAATACAAGACAAGATATTTCACTTTTTGTGATTTTGTAACATGGGGTCTATGGGGAATCAACCCAAACAAGAAGTCACATTTTCAAAAAAAATTAAATTTTCAAAGTTGATAGACAATTTTCGAAACCATGTTTCTAGATGTACTTTTACATGCAGATTTCAAATATGACATCACTTTGACTGAATTTTGGATATTTAATAACGCAAATCAAGATTATTTCTACTCGCATCTAGTCTATTAAACAAGGAGGATTAGCTCCCAGAGTGCAACATCGATATTCTGTCCCATATATGGGCATGTTGTGATTCAAAATTCTAATTCAAACAGCCGCCATTTTGTTCACTTCAACATTTAGATCGTGAATTTTGGGCTTACTTCTTAACGAAAAATTCCAAAACTAACAAGAAATGAGAGATATTGGTTCGAATCTTTTGTAACGTTTATTTTGAATTTACAGTCGGTTATAATTTTAGAAAATAATGACAATTCGATATTTTCATTGTTGGAAAATATCGAGTTTCGACCCTGGCTGCAACTATCATGTTTCAAATAACAGCAGCGGAAATCCTAATTGACGTACATTTCTTCCTCCTTTAGTGGAGTCAGACAGGTCCAAAATTTACAAGGCCTGCTATTATCAAATGGGGCCACTTTTCAACATCACTTCGTTAGATATATGTATTAGTGATACTTATGTCAAAAAATGGTACCGTGGGTACTGGGCTCACATGGTGTTGCTCAAAACTGAATGATGGCTTTTGGCAGAAAATAAAAAAAAACGGATTTAATTTTTTGTTTCTGTATTGATGTTGAATAAAAATAACTTTAAACAGGAATCCCATCGACAAAGTTTAAGGCAAATGGTCCAAAAGTGGATTTCGCGAGACAGATGGACAAATCAATTTTAACTAAAATGGCTGAAAATAAAAAAACGGATATAATTTTTTGCCGATTTTTTGTAACAAAATTATTTAATACAACTACTCTTTACAGTGACATGGCTTTTTATTTCGCGAGACAAAAGTGGCGACCATTTTGAAAATAGGCGAGCTTTTGAATCAGGAGTCATAGGGGAGTTTTCTGTATCGATCTTGAACAATAATAACTTAAAACGGGAACTATCGACAAAGGTTTTAAAGCAAATGGTCCAAAAGTGAATTTCGCGAGACAAGAAAATAGGCTAGTTTTTGAACCAGGAGTCATAGGGCGGTTTTCTATATTGATGTTGAACAAAAATAACTTATAACGGGAATCCTATTGACAGAGGTTTTAAAACGGGCCAATTGTTGACAGACAGACAGACGTACAGACGGACAAGTGAGTGATTGCAATAGCTCACCATGTGAGCTAAAAATGGTGCAATATATCGCATGTGCAATTCTAGGGTTTTATTGCCGTAATTAACTCCACTATACTGTCTTGTCAAAATGTGAAAAAAACAATTGATCATGAGAAAATCTTCGACTCGATCAAAGACTGTTTAAGTTTTGATATATAAAGTGACTCTGGTCATCCTCAATAGCAGATGTAGAGAATCCGTTCCTGGAAGTAGTATGAAGCAGGGGTCTGTTTTTGATAATATCGTAACTTAAAATTCCTTAAAAACTATTGTCTTCTACGATGAACAATAACTAGCGAGAAAAACTAAGTTAGGACGGTTCCAAAATGGTTAAAATTCTACTAGTGATATCTTCGTTGAAGCAACGCTTGGAAGTTCAACGCGTACGGTGGTTGTTTTGATGAATCAATAGGCTAAAAATATGTTCTAGTTGTTGGACAAAACCTAACAGTCGTAAAAGTTATAACTGCATTTATTTCCTTTCTTCTATAATTGCACTTGTAATAGTGTGTTTCTGATATAACCATTTGATATATAAATGAAGAAACGATATTAGGTTTTACTAACGAGACACAGCTGGTCATTCAAAATACACTCTAGACTCTTTATAAACTGAAATACTAGAGTGACACTTTAATATAGTAATGATTTATGATATTTTCATGCTTGTCGAAAGTAATTTCTACTTCTAATATCAAATAATAAATCATTGCAAACGTACATATCAATAATGATGTTTTTCAAACCAAGTCTCTCTCGGAGCCGGCTTCTTTAACTTGTTTTTGAACCAATTTAAGGATGGCAGTGAGACCTTTATACTGTATTAGTATATCAACAACAAAGTTGATGATAATTTATAATTGCATCCCATGGCTCCATTACTAGGGTTGTACTTTCATACACACAGTTCCAGTTTATCAAATAGCTAAGGGTGTTTACACTCGGTATGTTCTTATTGCTATGGTTAAAAATATTATTTAGACAGTATATCATGATGCACTTCCATCTAAAAGTTAATCACTTTTAAAGTGGAAGTTTATTAATTGACTTCATCCAATACCTCCATTTTCACATTTTCACTTTTAAAGTGGAAGTTTATTAATTGACTTCATCCAATACCTTCATTTTCACATTTTCACTTTTAAAGTGGAAGTTTATTAATCGACTTCATCCAATACCTCCATCTTCACATTTTCACTTTTAAAGTGGAAGTTTATTAATCGACTTCATCCAATACCCCCATTTTCACATTTTCACTTTTAAAGTGGAAGTTTATTAATTGACTTCATCCAATACCTCCATCTTCACATTTTCACTTTTAAAGTGGAAGTTTATTAATTGACTTCATCCAATACCCCCATTTTCACATTTTCACTTTTAAAGTGGAAGTTTATTAATTGACTTCATCCAATATAATAATACCTCCATTTTCACATTTTCACTTTTAAAGTGGAAGTTTATTAATCGACTTCATCCAATATAATAATACCTCCATTTTCACATTTTCACTTTTAAAGTGGAAGTTTATTAATCGACTTCATCCAATACCCCCATTTTCACATTTTCACTTTTAAAGTGGAAGTTTATTAATTGACTTCATCCAATATAATAATACCTCCATTTTCACATTTTCACTTTTAAAGTGGAAGTTTATTAATTGACTTCATCCAATATAATAATACCTCCATTTTCACATTTTCAACTCAGTCATTTCCGTGGAAACCAATCGGAATGGACGCGTTATCATGAATTATGCCTGGGTAACATTTGATCCGATTCATCGGCCGGCTCCCTGCCGATTGAGTATTATGTTCAAAATTGTATTGTACAAAATACTCAATAGGCCGAGAACCGGCCGGTGAATCGGAGCAAATGTGACCCAGGCATCAATCAACATAAAACTCATTCATTCCAATTGTGGAAAAAATAATTGTTTATACAGACAAGTGAAGCTAACTTTATTTTACCAAAATTAATAAGGTTTGAGAATAAAAAACTTTTTACATTCAATCAATCTTAAAACTGAAACTGTTTATCGATAGATTGGGGATTTAGTCCTATATGTGTCCCGTGAGTGTGTGAGTATGCAGACTGAGGCTACAAGAAACACTTGGTGCGGTGCGGAGATTATGAGCCTTAGGTGCGGAGCAAACGGTCATTTTTGAATTCGTGGTGCAGTGACACAAAAACGTTTTCTAGAAACGGTTTCCATTTTTAGATATGTCTCCAAGCAAACAAACAAATAAACAAACAAGTAAACAAAACAAACAAACACATGTACAGCGCGTGGTTTTGTTATAGCCATATCAGTTCATCATCTATCCAGGTCTTTAGATAAAAAAT